GAGAGATAGAGAGAGAGATAGATAGATAGATAATGATAATAACTATAGATAGATAACTAGGTCGATAAAACTATAGATAAATAGATAAACAGATAGATAACTAGATAGTTACTGATAGATAGATAATGGTAGATAGAAAATGATCGATAATGATAGACGGATATTGATAGCTAGACAGGTAAATAGATAAATAGATTCGGTGCACGGATGGATGGATAGATAGATGGTAGATAGATAGATGGATGGATGGATGGATAGATAGATAGGTAGGTAGGTAGGTAGAAAGATGGTAGATAGATAGTTAGTTAGATAGATAGATGGATAGACAGATAGATCGATAGAAAGATTGAGAGAAAGATAGATAGACAGATAGACAGAGAGGCAAATAGACAGATAGACAGGCAGATCGACAAACAGATTGACAGATAGACAAATAGACAGATAGATAGTGGATCCATAGACAAACAAATAGAAAAATACAGAGACAGGAAGTTTGACTTCTAAACTTTCCTCGAACATATAATGTTCTTGCAATCGGTACAGGTACGTAACTTTTTCATATTTTTTCTGCATTCTGCCAGTGGCGTCGAACCATGTATCATCACGTATGAGTATCTGAAAAATCGTTATACAATAATCGCAATGAACAGGTGGCCTTAAAGAAGTACGGATGCACAAACAGGTTGTCAAATCTGCCAACAAGCTTGGCCGCAAAGTTTGCCAAAGGAACCCCAAATTCCAGCAAATAACAACATGTGAATGCATTCAAAGCTTCGTATGCAAAGCTCCGTCGGACTATACACAACACCAGCATAGCCACGCTCACGCCAGTTTCCACCTCAGGCGCATAGAGGCCAACAATCAGATTCTATTCACCCCACGCTGTCAGTGCTTCTGATAGAAGTGCATCTTAATTTTTTCCCCACCTGCCAGGTGAGGGTTGTTAGATTTTATGTCAGTTGCCTCCTCCTCCTCCTCCTTCTCCTCCTTCTCCTCCTCCTTCTCCTCCTCCTCCTCCTCCGCCTCCTCCTGCCTCGTCCTCCTCTCCTCCTCCTCCTCGTCGTCCTCCTCGTCCTCGTCGTCCTCGTCGTCCTTGCTCAACTGCGACCCGCGATCCACAGTGTTCTCTGCCGGACCTCAACCACGACCATCCACGCCCAGTGTTCATTGCCGGACCTCAACCACGACCATCCTCGCCCAGTGTTCCCTGCGGGACCTCAACCACGACCATCCACGCCCAGTGTTCCCTGCCGGACCTCAACCACGACCATCCTCGCCCAGTGTTCCCTGCCGGACCTCAACCACGACCATCCACGCCCAGTGTTCCCTGCCGGACCTCAACCGCGAGTATTCATGCCAAGTGTTCCCTGCCGGACCTCATGTAGGAAGATATGGGACAAAGAATGTGCAGAAGAAAGTTAGAAAGAATGTCAGAAAGAATGTCAGAAGATATGCCAGAAGATATGCCAGATAGAATGCCAGATAATATGCCAGAAGATTTGCCAGATAGAATGCCAGATAGAATGCCAGAAGATTTGCCAGATAGAATGCCAGAAAATATGCCAGAAGATATGCCAGATAGATATGTCAGAAGATATGCCAGAAGATATGCCAGAAGATATGTCAGAATATATGCCAGAAGATATGGCAGATAGAATGCCAGAAGATATGTCAGAATATATGCCAGAAGATATGCCAGATAGAATGCCAGAAGATATGTCAGATAGAGTGCCAGAAGATATGCCAGATAGAATGCCAGAAGATTTGCCAGATAGAATGCCAGAAGATATGCCAGAAGATATGCCAGATTATATGCCAGAAGATATGCCAGATAGAATGTCAAATAGAATGTCAGAAGATATGTCAGATAGAATGCCAGAAGATTTGCCAGTAAGAAAATGTATAAATGTCATGGTGGGGATCACACGAAGTAAAGTAATTTTTATAGAGAGAGAGATAATTACTATATGTACACATATTATATATATATAGATGATGTGTATATACTTAAAATCCATGTGACCAACATTCTCCACGGACAGTCAATCCCACTATTATATCAATGTATGACAATAGAATACAATAATATGGATTGCAATAAATTATTATGTATTTATAGTATGTTTACGATATGTTTATAGCTGTTTATAATATATGCCTGTACAATTACATTAGTTTACCATAGAATGTAAACCCTGAATTAATAAACCCTTAGCCTGTTTAATTGGGGGTGGGTCCCATTTAAGTATTGGATTATGACTATTGGAGGAGTACCCCCCTAATTAATAAACAATGGTTTATTAATCCGGGGCTGACATTATTAAATCATAATGGCATAATCATGGATTTAAAATATGTTTACAATATGCCAATAATATGTTTACATACGGTATGGTTATCATTCACCGTATTGGCAAGCCATAGCACATCCAAGGAGCCGCCCGAAGAAAATAGGAGATCAGAGATGCCGGGCACACCGCGCTCTGCGGTGTTAGCTTTGAACCTCACTTTTTGATGGAAGTCCACACCGAAACAGGCAGAAAGCGCAGAAAGTCCAAGACTCTCTCTCTCCATGGCCTCAAGACTGATGAGGCCTGTTTTTCCTGGAAGATATTTGGAAAGGAACATATGTAGTGTAAAGCACATGGCAAAGCTAAATATGTCTTTGGAAAAGCCAGCGGCTGCGATATTGGGCCTGTCAACAATTGGCTATAGAATCAATCGCATATCTTCTTTTCCAATCTAAGATGCTCCGCCAAAAGTACGGTCTTGCCCATATCTTGTGCCCTCTGCAGGTCTAACGTGCCTCAGAGAATTCATTGCAAAGGATGCTCGGAGTGTCAGGCACATGATGCACATGTTGCTCGCTGCTTTTGATGTGGTCAAATCCAGAACACTGCCCAGAACACTGGAACTCTACGCCAACCGCTCTGCAGCAAACATCTGAAACTTATCTGATCTTCCAGAAGGGTTGCAGTAAATTCCAAGGCCATGAGGTCCAAGTCCTGCAGACAGGTGACAGATGCTTCAATATTGTCGATTGGGTCGAGGCCAAGCACGCTGAAAATTATGACATCTTTCAACCGACAGGGAAGCAGTGGAACATACAGGTGGTCACAGAGATTGCACGTACTGTAACCTGGTCATCGTCAACTTGAGGCCGGGGGTGGATGACGAAAGCTAGCGGGGTAGGAGAAAGAAGGAAGGGAAGACGTATCTTCAGTGTCAGCATGACAATGACGGTGACGATGACAATGACGATGACGATGACGATGATGATGACGATGATGATGATGATGATGATGATGATGATGGTGATGATGGTGATGATGGTGATGATGATGATGATGATGATGGCGATGATGATGATGGCGATGATGATGATGATGATGATGATGATGATGAAGCGGATGCGGCAGATGATCGGGATGATTATGAGGAGGAGGATGATAAGGATGAGGAGACGATGATGATGATGATGATGCTCATGATCATGATCATGATCATGATGATGATGATGATGATGATGATGATGATCCCGATGACGAGAACGATGCCAATGACGATGACGAAACCGATGACGATGACGATGATGACGATGATGCTGATGATGGTGGTGATGGTAGTGGGGTTGGGGGGGGGCCCTTTCGCGTGGAAAAATCACGTGATGTCCTTGAGCAGCCCCCGGAATACTTGCTAAAGCAAGAAGACTCCAGCTAGCTGACGCTAGCTTTCGTGAAAAGCCATCAGGGTTCGAAATGCATGCCAAAGAGATGCAAAGAGGCGTCAAAGCATCGGTACGCCGTCCAGCTGCCGGTGGAGAAACCACGAGGCAGGGACAAGATGAAACTCTATGCTTGTCATGAGACGGTCCTTTGCATAAAGCTCGAATCCGATGGAGTCGAAGAGCTGCACACAATAATACGCATCTGAAGGTTGGATGGCAAACATTATTTGAGGCCGGCCATAATGCAGCTGCAAACACTGGTCATCATTCGTCCAGGCGGTCTGGTCTCCAAAAAAAAACACTTGCTCACATGTGACTCTATATATTGATCTACACCACTCTAAACTCATTTTGATGTATTTGGGATTACTATTTGATGTCAGTTTCACCATGCTTGTGCCACTCCAGTCCCACCCCTTCCATTTAAAAATGAGACACGAAATGTCACATCGCGGCACCGGAGCATGGCTTCCACTCTCGCACCCACTGAGCCAAAGGTCACATGGGTGCCTGGTGCATGTATCAGCATGTGAATTACATCATATTACATCATGTTATAGATCTGTGTGTGCAGGTTCTATGAGCTGTATTCCAGAAGGGCATTCTCTGAACATGCGTCTGAACACGCAACCGGCATACTAAAATGTACGCGCACGCATTAATGAAACTCCATACAACTTTCTTGCTGCTGTTATTTATGCCTGTCCACTTGCATCATGATGAAAGAAGCAAGAAATATCTGCCCCACATGCCACATGTTACTTAGTTGAGACACACAGATTGCAGCCCCAATTCACCTTGAACCCCCCTGACAAGAAGGCCGCTGCCAGTCCCAAATGCATTCAAGTCACCAAGGCCACTAAGATGTAGGCTTTGGTCTGGAAGTGGTTCCCAGGTCTGGCAACAATGATTGGAAAAACGGCATGTATCAATTTAAAAAAAATATTCCTAAATAAAGAAAATAGTAGAAAGAACTTCATGATATGTAAACTGTAAACAGGTAATTTCAGGAAACTTCAAAACCAGTCAACTATGAACATCTATGAAATAAGCCCTCTTGGCTCCGTGATGATCCTGTTATACAAACGGCCGGCGCCAGCAAGGTGGGCTTAGTTCCTCCGGTTGCAAATGCCCTTCCAACAACTTCCAAGAAATGTCTGACTCGTTCTACCTGGTCCTACCTCTTCGCCCCTTCTGAGAACGCCTCTAGACCCTGCATACCCAGGGCCTCACAAACGTGAAACATGGAGCCATTGCGATGTACCAGCCTGAGAATGTTAATTAGCAAACAAGCGAGTAAGCAGAAAGCACATCATCATTTTTATACGACTTTGGTGGGAAACCGTTGAGTAAAATTAAAAGCATTCACTGTGTCTGGAACACTGCACACCTCCAAATTCATCATAGTTCGTTTTCCACAGAACAACTTGCTATATAAATCTTGTTAGCTGTTCCCTAAAAATGTAGCATGCATTGGTTCCAAACTGCATCGTCAGTGCCTCTGGCCAAAGACGAAAGTTCCTGTAAGTTGAAGGCCAGTTACAATCAGAAGTGTAACATAGTGTAACTTAATTGATAATTTGGCATTCGCATACCTTTCGACTTCATCAGGTTCCAGCTCTGCGAGGCAACACAACCAGCTGCACTGCATTTCTTTTGCTGGAATGATCATCGGACTCTTCAGTGTCTTCACAGACCAAATTGCGCATGCCCTGCAAAGCAAATTCAAACACCAAGCAATGACCATGAGTAGAGGATACATCCTATCAAAAGAATTCAAACGATACACAACGACGGGGTCTATTCTTGTCACTTCTATGTTCTTCAAATCCTGGATCACAGGAGCAAACAAAATGGGATAACAAACTGTTGAGGGGCTGTCCCAACCTCAGGCACATAGTCGAAACTCTTCTCAACCTGGACGAAGGAGCGATGCACGATCACAATAAGAATTGGAAACATCAAACTACGTGGTGAAAGGCATGCACACTGCACTGTCCCACTTGATCTCTCTCTGTCACGCGATTAAATAAGCATAAGATGCCATAAGGAGTCCATAAGGATCATAAGTGAATCATAAGGCAAAGCAAGCAGGCTGCAGCCCTTGGTGGGGGCCGAGCTGGCCACCAGGTGGACTCGTTAGCAAGCACTGAGCAGACTGCCTGGCAGCTTCACCCGCGCAGCGCACAGCACTGAACTCAAATGGTCTTCCGGTCGTGAAGAAATGTGACGAGCGGATCAAAGTGATCAAAGCACCTGGCCTCAATCTGATCAGCTCTGTGGGAAGCACAGTGAGCTTCATCCACCTTGCAGGCTGTAAGCTGTAAGCGTCCATAAGCACATGGCATCATGGAGCATTGCAAACAAGAGATCCAATGGGACACAAGGCGCTGGCATGCACAAATCTGTAGAATTCGCACGGCAAGGATGCAAAGCAAGGCGCCCCTTGATTTTGGATCAGTTGCCCTCAAGCAGCCCTGTCTGCTGAGGTTATGCCAGCAGTCCTTCCAGAGACCCATAAATCATATGATTGTTTGGCATTGTATGACGTTCATATTGCTGCCATTTCCGCTATCTAGCAGCCACCTTCTCCTGTGCAAAATTGCACTCCCATGGTGCAAAACGATGAATTGCTCCGCAGGAGGCTCCAAGCGTGGCATTCCAACAAAGCGGAAAACCAGCATTTTCTGATTGTGCCTTACGTCAGTTTGGGGCAAGGAGACAGGGCAAGTGGCACTCTGCCAACATTGCACATGCTACACATAATATGCGCGATAAATTTTAAGATGGCAAATTGTTCCAATTGGACAAAACTGCACTGCAAACTATGCAAATCGCGACACTACTGTGTATAGGTTCTGCCAAGAAACATAGCCTTTGCCTCCGGGCGCAAAGGAACCTCAACTCACGCACCACAGACATGGACTTGAACATCTTGAACTGGTCATTGGACTGGTCAAATCAAACTATATCAATGATCCAAATAGATCCAAATATGTAGGTAGATGATGGTAGATGCCACAGGGTCAGAATGGCCATTCTCATAGAACAAATGCACAGAGTGATGTACATAATGATGATGTACGCGCACCAGGTATGTATGCAATTGTATGCATAATTATGCATACACATGTGCAGTATTGAGGTAAGACGTATCTCTCTCTCCCTCTCTTTCCCTTTTGCACTGCCTTTGTAGCTCAGCTACATCACTTTTGGATTTCGTGTGGTCCATGAGCATAGGTGCAATAAGCTCCGCGATTGCAAGTGCTTGGAATGTGAGAGACATAGAGGTCAGATGAGTGTGAAATGGTGGCAGTGAAGGGGTGCTTCCCCGAATCGGACCCACACAGTCTGATGGAAAGTGCGCAAAGCCCCAGCCTTGCAAAAAGTATGCGCACATCACTGTCTTGAACCTGCCGGGACTGGGTGCACCGCCACCATTCTTTCCACCGAGCGCCATCGTTCCTGAGCCCGAAGGAGCTGAGGGGCTTTTCACCATCAGCTGCTGCATGTTGCTATATTGATGTAACATGATGTAACATGATTTAATAATTTTAATAGCTGTTCTCAGCTTTCTCGGTCAGTTTGCGGCGCGGTATTCTTAATATCCCCCTCCATGCACTGTGAGTGTTCAGTGTCCGGGTTTCACTGCAACAGAACAAACACACGGGTCACACGGCTTGACGCTGGCCTAGTCTATCATTAGACAAGTTATCTAATTTAGAGAAAAAATGTTGGAACAAGCCTGGTTTGCACATGGCTGCAGTTTCCGAGACTATAGTACCTATAGTCAAACCTCTTTTGCCCGCTTTCGTTGGACACAACTGCCGCTCCGTGCATCATGCAAAGGCCATCTGGACTATTCTGGACTTGTGCGCCGCACTGTGCCAAGATGTGCCTGCCAAGCTGCCTTTACCACCGGTAGGTCCTTTGCCCATGCCACCCATGCCGCCCATGCCGCCCTTGCCGAATCCGCTTGATGGTGCCTTGCCACCTTTGCCTGTCTCCCATGGGGGCGAGTAGGTCTTGTTGTAGCTGTTCGTCACACCTGCATGCCATGTGCTATCAGCTGGTTCGATTCCACTCGCCCGGTGAAAAATTAAAGGACCGGATAACCCCACATGTCAACTTCTTCCAATAATGAGCAACAAATGTTGTAGCGGGACGGGGAAGGAAGGAAAGACAAAGGAGGTGGTGAATGATCGAGAAGTTAAAACAGTTGTGTGTGACAAAGTGGTATGTGAAAAATGGTGTCTGACAAAGCAAGATGGTGTGTGAAAAGATGGTATGTATGTATGCATGTCTCTGTCTGTCTGTCTGCCTGCATGCCATGCATGCATGCATGCATGCATGCATGCATGCATTCTTGTATGTATGTATGATTGTATGTATGATTGTATGTATGTATGTATGTATGTATGTATGCATGCATGCATGCATGCATGTATGCATGTATGCATGTATGCATGTATGCATGTATGCATGTATGCATGTATGCATGTATGCATGTATGTCCGCGGCGGCGTCAACTGAGACCCAAGCACGCCACCAGAGCCAGTCCAGTACGATAAGTGCCACGCCTGCCACGCAAAGTGAAGGTCGATGTCACCAACTGCCACGCCTGCCACGCAAAGTGGAAGTCGATGTCGCAAAGTGCCACGCCTGCCACGCCAACAGCCGCGGCGACAACGGCGTCAACTGAGACCCAAGCGCGCCACCAGAGCCAGTCCAGTACGATAAGTGCCACGGCTGCCACGCAAAGTCACGGTCGATGTCACCAAGTGCCACGCCTGCCACGCAAAGTGGAAGTCGATGTCGCGAAGTGCCACGCCTGCCATGCCAACAGCCGCGGCGACAACGGCGTCAACTGAGACCCAAGCGCGCCACCAGAGCCAGTCCAGTACGATAAGTGCCACGGCTGCCACGTAAAGTCACGGTCGATGTCACCAAGTGCCACGCCTGCCACGCAAAGTGGAAGTCGATGTCGCAAAGTGCCACGCCTGCCACGCCAACAGCCGCGGCGACAACGGCGTCAACTGAGACCCAAGCGCGCCACCAGAGCCAGTCCAGTACGATAAGTGCCACGGCTGCCACGCAAAGTCACGGTCGATGTCACCAAGTGCCACGCCTGCCACGCAAAGTGGAAGTCGATGTCGCGAAGTGCCACGCCTGCCATGCCAACAGCCGCGGCGACAACGGCGTCAACTGAGACCCAAGCGCGCCACCAGAGCCAGTCCAGTACGATAAGTGCCACGGCTGCCACGCAAAGTCACGGTCGATGTCACCAAGTGCCACGCCTGCCACGCAAAGTGGAAGTCGATGTCGCAAAGTGCCACGCCTGCCACGCCAACAGCCGCTGCGACAACGGCGTCAACTGAGACCCAAGTGCGCCACCAGAGCCAGTCCAGTACGGTAAGTGCCACGCCTGCCACGCAAAGTGAAGGTCGATGTCGCCAAGTGCCATGCCTGCCACACAAAGTGGAAGTCGATGTCGCAAAGTGCCACGCCTGCCACGCCAACAGCCGCTGCGACAACGGCGTCAACTGAGACCCAAGCGCCCCCACCAGAGCCAGTCCAGTACGATAAGTGCCACGCCTGCCACGCAAAGTGAAGGTCGATGCCACCAAGTGCCACGCCTGCCACGCAAAGTGGAAGTCGATGTCGCAAAGTGCCACGCCTGCCACGCCAATAAGTTATGTGTGGACAAGTTGTGTGTGGACAAGTTGTGTGGTGACAAGTTGTGTGTGGTCAAGTTGTGTGGTGACAAGTTGTGTGGTGACAAGTTGTGTGTGGACAAGTTGTGTGTGAGCAAGTTGTGTGTGGACAAGTTGTGTGTGAGCAAGTTGTGTGTGGACAAGTTGTGTGTGAGCAAGTTGTTTGTGGACAAGTTGTGTGTGGTCAAGTTGTGTGTGAGCAAGTTATGTGTGGACAAGTTGTGTGGTGACAAGTTGTGTGTGGACAAGTTGTGTGGTGGTAAGTTGTATGTGAGTAAGTTGTGTGTGAGCAGGCGGGCGGCGGCGGACGGCGGAGAGGCCGGCGGGAATGCACAACCAAAAACAAGAACCCCACACAAAGATGTGGGGAAAAATGGCAGTTTGTGCCAGTGCGCATGACTTGACCTGTGATCTGACTAGCCATGCGAATGCCAGAGCTTACCAGAACAGAATATGTGTCAGCTGTCCCAGGCTACCACACCTTGGGGACTGCCTTTGCTGCCACCGCCCTTGTCATTACCTCCCCAGCCACCCCAGGAATTCATCATCATGCTCATCATATTCATCATACCTCGGTGCACATGACCACAGATTGAGAAAAACTTTTGTACATGAGTCATCACATGTGCACACAGTATGCCACAGCAAAATGCCAATGTCCTAGCTGGCATATCTCTACAGAATATGGTTATTAACAATACTATATGATTACATATTATCTTTCATCCGCGGGCACAAGCACATTACAGATTTGACACAGAGGAGACAACCAAGACTCAGCATGACCCAGCAATAAAGCAATGGCTGAAATCTACTGAATCTACTGCCAGGCTGCCCTTCATCCCTCCACCCTTTCCATCTTTTCCACCCTTACCTCCAGGGCGGGAATCCCGAGGTGTTGCAAAAACCACGGTCACCGGAGTGGCGAGGTTCTGTGGCACATTACCTTGGATGTTGGATGTTGGATTATCTTGGATCCAAAAACTGGACGTTGGAATCTCGGGCCTCTTATCCATGACATTCTATGACATCCTCGGGACATGTCAACATGTCTGCGAGTGTTTGACGAAGAAAATGTAGGAACATGTGGAACATGTATCAAATATCTCCAAATGTCCCAAGCAATGGTTCTGAGGCCAGCCACCGTTGACATTGTCCACAATCCACTTCGCATCGTCAACCTCGGCCCGCAAAACATATCTTTCATTCGGTTCAAATGGACAAATTGACAAATGGACCTTCATGGAGTACATTGCTAGTCATTGCTGCACGTTTGTCCATGGTGTGCAGTACATACATGTACATACTGTACTTCTTAGATCTTTTTAGTTTTTTTTTGACTTTGCAGCTTCGACACTGTATGCATGATGACAAACGCTGCAGCGGCATTCTTTCCGGCAGCTACTGGCAACACTGTGACTTCCTTCACGGAGCCATATTGACTGAAGATCTCCTGGCCGCCACTCAGCTGGTACAGAACTCCTTACATCTTTACGGATTTTCTCCCTGCACATCTATATGATCATCTTCGTGCTGTTTTGGCATGTTTTGGCATGTTTTATCATGGTATGTCATGGTCACATGTCGTGACACAATCTGCAACAGCTGCAACAGCTGTGCGCAGATTCCTGTGATGCTGTGAGGCCGTGCCTTGGTGAAGGCCTGATCGATGTCAATTGGAAGGCCAGTGACAAAAAGAGTTTCGCTTGGCGGAGGTGACCCTTTCGCCATGGCTGTGCTGCAAATAGCGGATCCGACTGAATTTGCACAGCTCGCAGCACAAAGAAGGTTGTGGCACTGTGATTTGGTGCATAGTTCGGTTCAATGGTGTCTGTTGTCACAGTCATGTTGCTTAAGACTCTGTCATTCAATGTGGCATTGGGCATCTTAGCTCTGCGCTATCCGATTGAAGGTCCGTTCAGGCAATCTGCTGTGCGAAACTGGAATTTGGGCCAGCAGCAACAGTCCAAATTTGTTGATGGGTTCTTGAGGGCATCAAGGTACATCAAGATCCATCAAGTAACATGAAGCGAGAGAAAAAGCTCTGGGTCATGCCAGCATATTCCAGCACGCTTCCCTTGGCGCGTCTCTGAGCTATGACCACGTGAAGTGACGTACCAAGGAGCAGCCTCCGGCCCGTCGTTGGCCAAGACATCTAGCACACCCAGAAGTGCTTCAGAAGTAGCCTCATACCGGACTCATACTCAGCGGAGCAGTGGCCAAACCACATTATGTGCTTGCCCAATGTTGCAAGCTGGACCCCAAGTGAATCAACTGTAGTCATTTCTTGCTGTTGCACTCTGAACTGCCATATTGAACTTGATGATATACCTGCCGTTTTCATAATTCCTTTTTGTCTTGACGCTTTCTTTCTTTACGTTAACTGAAACATATCAAGGAAATGGACGTATGACACCTTGGATTTCTGAACATGGGTGATGTTTGCTTACAAGATCGTTTCAAACGGTGTAACATGTACAAAACCATTTAAAACTCCAGCAATCCATGTCGTAAAGAATTGCCTCAAAAGCTGTCCGTGTCTCTCAAAAATCTTCAACTCTGAGGCTCAGATTCCCCGCCTGAGGGCCATATCCACCCTGCAAGGTGCAAACGATCCTCCCACACAATTGACCTCGGGCCATTGGGGAATGGTCGGAATGGTGAGTAGATCTGAGTAGATTGTGAAATTTGTGAACCGTTTGAACATGTGCCCCACTTGGCCCACTGTGGCCTGAGGGCCCAGCAACATCGAGCCGCTGTTCGTCGAAAAAAGGCACTGCTCAGATTCAGGCCCGCCAAGCACGGATCACCCTGCAACAGAGTTCATCCAAACCGTGACAGCATTTGTGCATTCAAATGCGTTCACTCTGCTACAGAACAGTTCGCAACATCCATCTCACTTTGAGCAGTTCGCGCAAATTCAAATTGGAAATTACATATATAGCGTCATGTATTTTTTTCGGTAGCTCGCTGGGTCTTCTCTTGGCTGCTCAAATGCCTCCATACCGTCAAAGCCAAATGCAAGGAATAAGACTTCTGGTTCAAACTCCTGCAGGCTGGTGGGGCCGCATGGGCCGGCTGCTGGGAACCAGCTAGAAAATGATGCTCTCAATAAATGTCAACATTCAGTTCATAAACTTATAAGATATGTTGTGACGACGTACGACGTACGGCAAGAATCTACTGAGAGTCCCACATATCTTCTGAATGCGTTTTGTCAGGATCAGTCAATGAGACCAATGCTTTGACATATCCACTGACAGGCAAAGTCACACGAGAAATGGTCCTGAATGCCAGGGAAGGCGAAGTCCTGAATGCAATGAGACAGAAATCCAACCAAGAGTTTTGACCGTCTCTTCCTTGTCTTTATCCACATTTCTTTACCAGTGCAAGCATCACTAGCCTAACTTGGATGAACCAGGCTTGGATACACGACTAAAAGATACTAAAAGTAGATTCAGCATCCAGAGATCAAAGGCGAAGCACATCTTAGATCATCTTAGTACAGAAACCCTCCCCACTTGTCACAATGTCCTGAAGCCTGAGACTCACCTAAATATTCTAAATGCTACAATTGAAGCAAAAATTGAGTTGGCCAACCCACACGGCAACGGATCTTCCCCAACGACAGAAAAAGTCCAAGTCTCTTGTAGCAATTGCCAGGCTTCATCATCCCCAGCACCTGACCCGGAAAACCAACAAAAACATTGCAAGAATGAGACGCAAGATACGTAAGCTGGCAACAAATATGACATGGCAACTGGCAAATGCAACTCAACGTGTTCTTTTTTGAGTTCAAGTTGAAACATGTTTGCACTATTCTCAGCGACCGTTGAATCTTAAGAATCCTATATGGATTCAGAAACGAGAGCCGATAGCAGCAGCACAACCGGTGGAGCCATTGGCAGCCGAGTAACTGAGTTTGGACACAGCATCCGACTATGACTAAAGAGATCTACAGAAAAGGATGAAAAAGGAACGGCAGCAAGCATACGGAATCCAAAAAGAAACAAAATAGCCCCCACAACAATATGAACTTGATTCAGCTAGGGTTAGACAAGGTCGGATTGTTTAAATGTTCATCGACAGCATTTCAAGCACAGAGTTATCTGCCTTCTTGCAGCGGAAGGTTGAGGGTGTATCCTTTGCCAGCGCCGGAGCCTCTCTCTTCGACCTTGCATCACTAAAAACTATCACGCTTTAGCTATCTATAGCCCCATTATGCATCATTATGCCCTATCTATCCTCAATTTGTGATATCGGTGTAATTAGGTACCTTTAGCTTTGGTAAGTTTGGTAAGTGCATCTGCACTCTCAGGCATGGTAACACTACACAAGGCATCCGACCAAGAATTTCACATGCTCAGGCAGGTCAAGTACTCGGGAATTTCGGAGAACACATCGCCAAAAGCAGATCAAGAGAAGGACAGGAAAACGCACAGAGTTGATGGTCACGTCGAATGTACCTTCCATCTTCCATGCTGCAAATACAGACACGGTGTATATCATAGCCTGCCTTGCCCTTGAGGAAGGGAAAAAAGTGAAGGTCTGATCTGCAGCTGTATTTCTTTTTGGCAAAAAAAAGTGAATCCATCAACGACCGCTTGCAAGACACGATTCAGTTAAACCTATGTGCAATGCGTGGCCTAAAATGACTAAGGCTGTGGCTGATCCAAATGCAAAGAAATGCAAAGAACGTTTGGGTCCTCTCAGGGCAGGCTTCTACAAGAAAACAACAATTAAAGTCTTCAAGCTCACATAGCAAAACTGTCATATGAAACATCAGCGGTCACTTGGAAACGCAAACAGCAAATGATATCATCCAAGGGAAAGTCCCCCGGCCTACAGTAGAGTAGGGGACAATAGGGGCAACTAACTATGGTCCTCAAGAAGAAGAACCCGAAGCCATGGAACCCCAGCGCATTGAACTTTGTAGTTGAATCAACCAAAAACTGTTTGCACCATGAAAGCATCTGCTTTTCAGCCATCCACTGAAAGTGCCTGTGGTTGGCACAGTTGTTTCTAATCTAGCCAAGAAAAGAATCCGGACTCGGCTTGTCATAGCTCGTCCAGGCATTATGTCAGTGAAACTGAGATGTAGCTTGTAACAGTTGCTTTGCAACGTGGTCACACCACTACCAAGTTGATGCTGGCTTTGCCAGAACAAACTTGTGCGCATGCGCATGCAAAATATGCAAAAATATGCAAACCGCAACATGCCGCAACGCAAACTGGAAACCAAAGTCAGAAATCAGAACTGTTCGTGGTTTTCTTCGGTGAGAAGCAACTGGAGCACGACCACCTCCTGGCGCAGGCTCCAGGAGCCCTCATGTCTATGGTAGTAAAACGTTTGTTGCACCATATGGCACCGCATCTCAGACTGCCACTCCACTTTCATAGCTGAACACTTTAAAGATGTCTATAAGACGATTTAAACACTTTAAACATCTTCAAACCACTCGCTGTGGACTCATTCGAGGTGCCGATGCAAAATGTGCTCCCATCCTCTCTGAGATTCTTGATGGCTTGCCGCGTCAACCTGGCGTAATTATTTGGACTAACCGTGACTAACCGTGACTAACCGTGACTAACCCATGCTAATCTGGCCAAGCACCAAAACAGAGTTGTTTGCTATCGTTTTTGAGATATTTTGAGATCTGAAACATCGTGGATCTGGTGCGCTTGTGAAGAATAAAAGGCAATGCTTTCAATCAAACAACATTTCGCATTGAACCCGGGAAACTCAGCCAAACAAATTTCAAAGCGAAAACGATGAAATGGCAGCTTTAGCATCCAGAACACAATATACTTGCTACAGAACTTGCAACAAATACATATAATATTATACAATATGGAGTTTGCAATTTGCGCACTAATTATCACTAATTGCTCTACTTTGCCTAAAGGTTTTGCAATTGGTGCGGTCTCACCTGATGCCACATCTCTGCAGTCAACATGCCAAGCGACTTGTTCTCGAAACTCATCTTCGCAATTTGCAAGCTCTTGGCCGGCCCGTGCAGCTGCATGCAACCACCTGTATCTCCAATAACCCCATTCTTGTGGGCATGTTGCATTGCCCCTTCTTTCTGGGCACTACCAGTACCGTTTGGAAGTGGGTGATGTTCGTGTCTTGCAGTATCAGAGTGATGTCCGAATATGGGTCGAAAGATGTCGAAAGTGTATTGACACGAGTATGACCTCCACCCCACAAAAAAACAGTCGTTCGCGTTCGAGTTCCCAGGTACCCACGAATTCCTCCAAATCAATAGCCCCATTCTTGTCGACATCCAGCAGCACACACAGCGTCCTACCGAGCAAAACGGCATGGGGCATCACAGCTTCAAAGAGAAGCACCAAAGGAAACATCCAAGTGAAACAATTTGAAGTTGCTTTATTTCAAGAGATCCCCACCATGACATCTATTTTGACATTCCACCATCTCACATCCTACCTGACATAAATTCTGAAATACATATACGTTTATATATATGATCTTTTACATACATGTTATGGATCTTTTGGATCTTCAAACATTCAAACGCCTAATATATTTCGACCCTTTTGGTTGTTTACCAATTATGGTCGAAACCGCCTAGTTTTTTTTGGATCGTCATCAAAAACTGAAACGCCCAAAAACAATGGCAATTGGATAATTTTAAATGTTTCATCATATTTTCCTTCCGTCTCCCGCGCATGTAACTAAGTAGCAATTTTTGAGGCTGCCAGAGTAGTGCATTGGAGTTGGGTATGCAGGTCTGACTCCGCAACCCCGCCTACTTTTTCTGTTCAAAGCACTTTTGCACAGAATCTGCAAAAAAACAAAAAACGCGACCAAAACGCCCCGCAAACATCCCGCAAAAATCCGCAAAACGCCCGCAAAAACCCGCAAAACGCGTGCAAATCCAGAAAACAGGATTTTTGGTTTTTGTTTATACAAATATAGTAGCTAGTTCCGTAGTAGTTCTTGCAAGGCATCGAGATAAAAAGTAGTATAGGAGTCAGAAATCGCACCCACGTAACCAAGCAGGAGTGACCTCGATTTAAGGTAGAACCAATGGAAGGCCAGACGCATCGCCTATTTTCTTCGCATGTCGCCTAGTTTTCATCAGGTTCGTATGTGTTTTTTGTGAAACGCCTGGTTTTCGAATAACCGACCAAACAACATAGTACCGACACAAACGACCAAAATATTTTGGTAGTATGAATTTCAAGGATATTCTGCCATATGTCGGATATTTTCTCAGGATTTTCAGGCATCCTATGTCAGTCTGTTTGGCCTTAGATCCGTTTTTCATTGTTTTTCTGTGGCATTCTATGTGACGTACCTTCTGTATCATTTTGTCATTCTATGTGTTTTTTAACATCTAAAATATTATATGTATAAAGGATTTGTTTCTATATATATATATTTACATTGATATATGATATATGTATATAATATAAATATATAATAAATAATCATGTATTTATTTATGTATATTTATGTCAGTTTATTTCGCAAGTCATCTGGCATTTTATCTGGCGTAGGGTTCCGGTGTGCCAAAGGGCGAGCTCGCCATTGGTTGGCGAGCTCTCCATTGCGTTCGGGTCCCGCAAGACCTCGCAATAGAGTGGCTGTGTAGAGGAGGCTGTCCGTGTCTGTGTCCATGTTCGGCGGGATGTCTTGTTAAAATCTAGAGACCCTCACCTGGTAACGTTGGGAACCAAGGATGTTCTCAAGCCGTTGATTGCGCTAACAAAAAATCATTCACAACACTGTGAAACATGAAACAGATCAGTCCAAACATCATCCGTGGAGATGCCCATCACTTCCATGAAGCTTGCAAGTTCTCCAGCAGAAATGGCATCTTCAACCTCCTGCGCTCCAAGATCTGCAAGGATGCCCAAAACAGCTTTAAAACTTCAAACTCGGAATATCTTGGAATTTCTTGGAATCCTTTCCTATGGTCTTTTTCCTGGTCTGTATCGCCTCCCCATGACCAATAGGCTACCCGCCCCCAGTTGCGCTGGGCTGTGCACATAGAGGCTCTTCGATACTGCTACAATATGCCCAATATGCTAGAATGTTTCATCATCAACGAAGCGAACTGCACTGGACCTTGAAACTGACCTGGTTAGAGTGTTTCTTGTCGATCTCAGTGAAAATCTCTCTCAATGCTTCGACCTGTCCGCGTGGGGTAAGTCTTGGATTCGACCAAAAGAAAATTCAAATCCAAACAAAAATTCCTGAATTCCAACATGTCAGACTGCATGAAGGCCATACTTAGTGGCAAAAAACATCAAAAAACAGCATCTGGTAGAGAACACTTTCCTTACAATCTACTAGTACGCAAAACTATTCAAATGACATCAAATGACCCTCTCCAAGCGCACCGATGATGTTCACCGCCTGCTGGGCCTTTGCACGAATTTGCTTGATGGTCGCCACATCTTTGTCTGCCGTTGCGGTTTCTATTGCTGTCGAACAGAACACACCTGGGGTTGACTTACGGGGGCCATACAGAATAAACATGAATAAACATGAATAAACTAAGACTATGAATGAATAAACGATATTCCCAGGTATGATATTCCCAGTCTTCCCAAATGGATCCAAATGGTGGATTGACCAAGTGGAAAATAAACATCATGTTCAGCAAATCCCAGGCACCAGTGACAACCTTAGTTGGTATGCGCGCAATGGCAATTAAATAGCAAAAACATGGCGACGAGGAAAAAGAAACGATAAAAACAAAACAATACATAGACAACATAGACCATGTATAAGCTATGAACTGTCTACTAAGTCGGGGTTTAACTATGTTTAAAGACCCATCAACCAAATTTGAACACCAAAAAAATTAGGGTGCTACAACCGTCCAGCCCTAGCCCTAACTCCCAAACGAGTTCACACGAACCTTGGCACATGGAACAGGGTATGGGTAACAAAGCCTGATCCAGCTGAGTAAGTGCTGGAGACATCTGGAGACAACGCCAAACAATGTGTTCCAACCCCACCAAAAATCGCACATTGTGAAGTCACACAGCCGCCAAACAACGACCAAAGAGTCTGAAATCACCCATCAAACACAGCGTGGAGAGCCACCGGCGACGATTGATATACAAACAGTTCATTCACAAAGACAAGGCTTCGAATTGACAGCCAAACAACCCGTTTTGACATCGATTTTTTTCCAAATAAATGGACATCATATTTTTCGCAAGCAAGGGAAACACATATTTTGCTTCTCAGATCCAAATAGATAAAAGGGCGACAAGTGCACAGCCGAGTGATACCAGCAAAGCATAGCAAAGCTATCCAAATAACAAAACCCAACAAACCAATGAGATGCAACAGGGATTGTCCAGAGAAAACTCGGAAGCAAAACCAACACAATGCATTGATTGTGCTACGAAAAGTCCAAAACATATCCCCAGCATGTAAAGAAACAGGTACATCACGGAATATCAACATCACAAAGGTCCACGGCAGGGAGAGAAATAAAAAAACAGCGCAGTGAATGTTCACAAAGGTGTCCAATGCTTCTCATTTACTTCATCAAAGGAAGTTTGGAAGTCGAGACTTCCGTGTTACGATGTGTTACGGATCATTGGAAGTCACTGCAATGGATGTCACTGGAATTGTTACAGGAATTTTTGAATGTCAAAGCAACGGCTGTCACAGCAATGATTGTCACAGCTTCATCTCTCAGTTGAGGGAAGTCTCGCACGAGAGTGTCGTTTTCACATCTTTAACTTTCCGTTTTTGAGGCAAGTCTCGCATGAGAACTTCATTTTCTCACATCTTTAACTTTCCGTATTTGAGGCAAGTCTCGCACGAGAACTTCATTTTCTCACATCTTTAACTTTCCGTTTTTGAGGCAAGTCTCGCACGAGAGTGTCGTTTTCACATCTTTAACTTTCCGTTTTTGAGGCAAGTCTCGCACGAGAACTTCATTTTCACATCTTTAACTTTCCGTTTTTGAGGCAAGTCTCGCCCCTCGGATTTGACGCGGTTTGAAGCTGGGAAATGGCTGCAGCAAGAAGAAAATGTCTGATCAGAACCAAGTTGGGAGCATCAAGTGACCTGGCATCCCGTCAGCTTTCTTGTAAGAAGTTGTGTACTTGCCAACTTGCACGATGGCTTGCGCACTCGCAACAAAGTCTTTTTCCTCGCATTGTACGGTTCCGTAAGACTTACCAGCACATAGGATGAACCTAGGTTGACTGCTGACTTCAAGAAATTATGGGCACACGCTGCAACCCTAAGGATGTGGCCAGGTCTGGGACTCTGCGGGTTGTAGCAAAGCAGCCAGCAATTTCGAATGTTGTCGCATCCTCCACCACGTCCACTGCCTCACACAAGGATACAAGTGAAATCGATTCTATTCAAATGACATCCAGCACGCCTGCTCGATTCTGCCCGTCGCATGGGCAAACAGCGGCAAGAGCGGGTGTGTCTGGCACTTCGTCTGCAAGATGAAGTTGATGCCGAGGATGGCCTGTCGGTATAGCATAACATTTTTAGCCTTGCCTTGATGAGGTTGGTAAATCATGGTAAATCTACTTCAAAGGCTACATGGCCTCCAGAATGTCTCCCAAACTCTCTGCACTTGAGTGTGGGCAGTGCAGCATGCTCGAAAGACCCAACTTGTGCCAGACCACTGCGTAAGCCGCCTCAGTTATACGGGCAAATGGATGCTGCCGTGCCGGAGGGGTTGCGCTGAGCCCCGAACGTTTCCAGGGTCTACGTAGACGAGGCCGCTGGAGCTGGACCAGACTCCCTTCTGCACGGCAGCTGGAGTGTAGGTCCGGCGAACCGCACCCAAATGGGACAATGCCTGGCAGACAGCTCATCCCACATGTTTTTTTTTCATGAGTTATGTGGCCTTGCGGGTCTTCTTTGGCATGGCCAGCACCATCTGCCACGCTGGCAAGGCGTAGCAGAGGAGTTGTCGTAGGTACCAGAATTCCATATCTGCCTGCAAGCTAACAACAGCAAGAACACAAGCTCCCTTTGTGCAGCCAGCCTGCCTCGAGGGTTATGCTGATGTTACCGTCCAGGTGCATCATTGACGGCAAAGTTGGTGCCACATGCCCCTCTAATGCCCGCACGAGAACTTCATTTTCACATCTTTAACTTTCCGTTTTTGAGGCAAGTCTCGCACGAGAACTTCATTTTCACATCTTTAACTTTCCGTTTTTGAGGCAAGTCTCGCACCAGAACTTCATTTTCACATCTTTAACTTTCCGTTTTTGAGGCAAGTCTCGCACGAGAACTTCATTTTCACATCTTTAACTTTCCGTTTTTGAGGCAAGTCTCGCACGAGAACTTCATTCTCACATCTTTAACTTTCCGTTTTTGAGGCAAGTCTCGCACGAGAACTTCATTTTCACATCTTTAACTTTCCGTTTTTGAGGCAAGTCTGGCACGAGAACTTCATTTTCACATCTTTAACTTTCCGTTTTTGAGGCAAGTCTCGCACGAGAACTTCATTTTCACATCTTTAACTTTCCATTTTTGAGGCAAGTCTCGCACGAGAGCTTCGTTTTCACAGCTTCAACTCTCAGTTTTTGAGGCAAGTCTCGCACGAGAGCTTCGTTTTCACATCTTCAACTCTCAGTTTTTGAGGCAAGTCTCGCACGAGAGCGTCATTTTCACATCTTCAACATTCTGTTTTTGAGGCAAGTCTCGTACGAGAGCTTCATTTTCACATCTTCAACTTTCTGTTTTTGACGCAAGTCTCGTACGAGAGCGTCGTTTTCACATCTTCAACTTTCTGTTTTTGAGGCAAGTCTCGCACGAGAGCTTCATTTTCACATCTTCAACATTCTGTTTTTGAGGCAAGTCTCGCACGAGAGCTTTGTTTTCACAATTCGTTTTCGCAGTGTTGTTCTTGTTTTTCCTTTCCCTTTACTTTTTTAATTAATTCCTTTAAAAGCAGGCTACAAAAAACGTAGTATTTTTGGCTTTGGCGCCGAGATCTTGTTTTGGAGCAGGTTTTGGCTTGGAGAAGCTGCTGTCTTGCCAACGTAGATCCATTGGCTTCTGCAACCTGGTGCTTGCAAATTGCATTGGAGTGGCTGCATCAACGTTGCTGTGCGTTGCTGTTGCGCAGGTAGTTCTATGGTCTTTTGCAGCTCGCTGGTCTTTCGCAACTCGCTGCTTGCAAAAGCATTGGAGTGGCTGCGTCGCAGTTGCTCAATGTTGCTTTTGCTCACGTAGTTCCATGGTCTCTTGCAACTTTCTGCTTGCAAATCGCATTGGACTGATTGCGCCAAAGTTTTGACGATGAGTTTTTGATGATTTTTATCCTTTCTGGAATCGTACTTTTTGTGTTTTTTTGTGGCTGTGGCGCCGAGATCCGGTGTTGGAGCAGGTTGTGGGCCAGAGAAGGGCTGAGATGATCTGAGAATGAGCTGAGATGAGGTGACAAGAGCTGAGATCAGCTGAGAAGATGTGAGAAGAGCTAAGAAGAGCTTAGAAGATGTGAGAAGCGGAGAGAAGAGATGGGAAGACTTGAGGTGAGCTGACATGAGCTTGTGAAAAGAGCTGAGAAAATCTGAGAAGAACTGAGATAAGCGGAGATGAGAAGAGCCGTGAAGAGCTGAGAAGAGCTGAGTTGAGACGAGCTGACATTAGAAGAGCGGTGAAGAGCTGAGAAGAGCTGAGTTGAGAAGAGCGGTGAAGAGCTGAGAAGAGCTGAGTTGAGAAGAGCCGTGAAGAGCTGAGAAGAGCTGAGTTGAGACGAGCTGACATGAGAAGAGCGGTGAAGAGCTGAGACGAGCTGACATGAGAAGAGCCATGAAGAGCTGAGAAGAGCTGAGTTGAGACGAGCCGCGTAGAATGGAGGAGCTGAGATAAGCTGAAAAGAGAGGGACTCAGATGAGCTGAGAAGATATCAGAAGGGCTCGGGTGACATTGACATGAAGAGATATGAGAACAGTTGTGATCAGCTGAAAAGAGCTGAGAAAAGGAGAGAGGATATGAGATGAGATTGGATGACACAGACTGCGGTGACAATGGGATGCAAGGAGCAATTTCCAAGAGAAGCTGCGACGCGTGAGACCAAGGATGAAATAAGGAAAGATCCAACCTTCAAAAGAAGTGGCGCGGGAATTAAACGTCAAGAGGTTGTTGCTCCGAAGCACAGAAGGCCCGCCAGCAACCTATAGGCACAGTCTTTGTTCCGCTCTATAGGCTATATAGGCGTTTCAATTTTGAAACTTCCGCCCCTGGCTTGACCGTGTACTACTTGTAAAGTTAATCAAAGGTATCCCCGGAGGAGCTACCGTTCGTGCTGAAAGATGCTTCCGGGCGGCATTTAGAACCACCAGGACGGCGAGGGCAACGTATAGAATGACCAAGAAAATCGCCAGCGTCGACACTTCACGGAGAGGCCGCAGTGCATCGTCATAGTTCACACCCCCTGTGATTGCCATGAAGAGGGTCAGCATACCTGGCATGCTCTGCAAAAAAGTCTGCGAAGAATTCAATTGTACGCCCCATGTGTAGACTTGAATCACGATTAACATATAAACCGTGGTAGTACCACTGAGCCAACGTTTCTACAACCTCAAAGTGATGTTCAAACACAGGTCGATAAAGCCTGCCCGCAAGTCTCAATTAACACAATGGATGCAAAAAGTTCTTGTTGCATTTTGTAATTTTGTATCATTTTGTGTCATAAGTTGTCATACTACTGAACAATTGATCTGAAATATCTGAAACATCCAAGACATGATCTATACCAATGGCATCCATTGGCCCCAAAATTTCAATGGCATGGACAGCATGGACATCCCTTATCAATCATTTGTGCGGAAGCAGGGGATGATTATGGACTCGACTTCTTAATGCCTTTTTTTCGGGAGGGGTCTGTGTTCAAAACGCCATCTTGGATATATACACTCTGATTCCTTCGGGACAACTTGCAAGTAGGATACTCTCAGACACATTTGACCAATACTTCTCCAGCAAATCAGGGCATTGTGGCGGCCCACTTTCCGCCCCAGCATCAATGGTTGCGTAGCGGCAGTGATCCACTACTAACTGCGTCACAACAACGCCAAAACCTGTGCCCCGCTGCGCAAAACTGATGGTCAGGAAAATGCATGAAAATGCCATGTATTGTTTCGAGGCACTGAAAGAAAAGCAGGGCCTTGCTTCTGTCCGTTTCTTTCGGACCCATTTTGTTGGGGATGCGGATAATGGATGCACTTGCACTAACTCTGGGAATCTCTTCTGTGAGGTCCCATGCGAAATGAAGCGGCAATGGTTCGGCGAAATGAGAAGATCATAGAGGTTGTACGAGGTTGTCGGGCATCTGGGTTTTGAAACAGATTGAACAAAAACTATCTCGCATATTCAAAAATAATAAGTGTTCGAGAAGAAATGCTTGAATGACAGCCTATAATTAATATGTAATGCCCTATCTGCTCCACACAGCTACTCGCAGCGGACCTCAATGGGTTGGCTGCAGAAACAAGTGTGGACCGTGTAGAAATTCAAACCCTTAAAGCGTGAGCTGCTTACTGGAACCGAGAAATGGCATTCACAATCTGGTCACAGGAACCGAACCATTTGGCAATGATATTTTAATACCTTTGAAACATCTCTGCAAGGAGCTGGGAAGCACTTAGTGGAATTGGGAACTGCTACAATGATTTCATTGGACTTATACCAGTAGTGCCGCACAAGGCGGTGGCGGAAGATTTAAAGATAGAAAACCTTTAGGAGAGGTTTGTTTGTTGTGCTGCATGAATGGCAAAGCGAATCCACTGATGGACCGGAAGGTGGTTGGAGCTGTGTGGTTGCAGTGGTCGCCCCGCCCACAACTGCTGGATGTTGTGCGGTGTAGTGTAGTGTGTAGTGTAGTTGTAGTTTCTGGGTTGGTGTTTCGACTGGCCCGAAAAATTTTAAGAATATACTGCGTTTTAGTGGAACTGGGGGTGGGCTGACCAAATGCATCACTAAAATCCAAGTTGCATGCCTGTGCCTGTGGCAACAATGATGATCGCTTCTAAAATTCGCAATCCAAGCAAGTCCCCCCCAACACTCGTCATGTCTTATGGCAATTTTTTCTCGCTTATCAAAGCAATTGTAGCAGCTCATCGGTCAACCTTCACCTGCACAGAGCAGCAGTACAAAAAAGATGAAAAGGCTCTTGTCCGATAAAAATGCTGAAGAAATTGCCCAGAAGAGAATGTCCAATGTTGAAAGTGCCAGCTGGTACAATTTTTCTTTGCCAATAAGCTCCTTCGATAGCCTGCTCCCCATTCAGCGGCTGTTTCTACCTACAACGTATTACTGTAGCTGTCGCAACCATGGGCCATAACATAAGCAAGGTTTTTTGTCTAGCACATGCATCAAACGTATAATAAGGTCTTACAAAATAAATCAAGATGGACAGTGGATCGTGGACCTGCAGACCATGGACCTGTGCAATGGCAGGACAGCACAATAATAAAGCAAACCCCTGCCAGCTTTCATGTTTTTCTGAAAGCCGGCTGCTGGAATGTCAATGATGTACGCCGCTCAGTCAGCGCGGTTGATGTGGGCAGCACCATCTTTCATCCACTTCCTGGACTTTGGCTCAGGGCAGCAAGCGTTCAGCACCACAGAGCTCCACATGCCACAAGACCACATACGAGCATGCCAGCAGCTCCAGGATCCCCGAGTACCAGCAACGCGGGCGGAGGAAGCAATCAGCCCTGTCCAATCCTTGCACCATTCAGCAACGCACTGTTTGGAAGTCGGCTGCCGTCGGTCCAGAGGCTTCATGAGTGGCTTGCCAGTTACAACTTCAAAGACCACGCAGCCAAAACTCCACAAATCCACTGCCCTGGTCAATGCTGCCTGCAAAGCCACTGGTCCAGACACCAAATTCCACAGCTCGGGTGGTCGGTACAAGGGCGTCACATATTCTGTGAAGCGTAGCTCAACTGTTGCCCGTTCTCCCTGCGGTGCCGAAGATTTGGATGGACCGTGGACCGTGGACTGTGGACCTGAAAGGCGAGGTGCAGGCTCTGACATGCCGAAGTCACACAGCCGCAGCTCTCGCAGCTCACCGCGCCACAGAATGTTAGCCGGCTTGATGTCCAAGTGCAAGAGTTTGGCCTCATCGTGCAACACGCAGATTGCAGCCTCCAACTGCAGCAACAAGTGTTCAACCAAGTCTTGGGGCATTGGGCCTCCAGCGTTCAAGCGGGCTGCCAAACTAACCCCAGTGTAGGACAGTGCCAACCAGGGCCATGGTCGTCCTGAGGTGTCGAAGTCCAGGACCATAGGAAACCATTGGCAATGCGGCATTGCCAGCTTCCCGAGCTCCTTGTAAGTAGCAAGCTCAAACGCTGCCTCATGATGTGCTTGCCGGCTGCGGTAGACTTTGATGGCACAAGACCGGCCGTTTGGGCAGCAGGAAGAAAATACCTTTCCATAAGAGCCACTACCCAGCTGATCCTCTACGACGGTGTAATTGCCAATGCGGAACTTGCGCTGGGCATGGGGCAAAGCATTCCGGGGGGCTAGCTCGGATTCACCGCGATCCTCGCACTTGCCCGGCCGCAAGCACTTCCGAACATCGAAACCCAAACGCCCCATTGCGTCCCTTTGTACTTGGAATTCTTCAAGGCTTTTTTTGTGGAAAGGAGCCTTCTGCTTGTCATCCAATTGTTTCCAAAGCGCCGCAACTCTTCGCATCTCTGCTTGATACTCAGACTTTGAAGCTCCTTTCTTCACTTTGGTGTTCTCACCCAGAAATAGGGCGAATGCCCTTCTTGCTTTGGGAACCAAACTTTGCTTCACTGCCATGCGCCTGGCACTCTGCCTAGGCTTGGCTGTTTCGCCTTTGGTCTTCACAAGGGACTTGCGGCCACTTTGTTGCGGCTTGGCTGCTCTGCCTTTTTTCACATGGTCGCTGCACTGGGAAGGCTGGGCTGTTTTGCCCTTGGTCTTCGCAATTGCTTCAATGGCAGTCTTGCATCGCAGTCTGATTTTTGGACAGAAGGCAGCACGCAGAACCATGAGGAGCAGCTTGCTGGCCACGCCCCTGGTGAACCCCTACTGCGAACCTTGGACCTTGGACCTTGAACCCGCAGAACTCACCTGCCTGCATCTCACACCTTCAATGTAAGCAAATCACCTTTCACTGCTGCATTTCCTGGATTTGAGACATAGAAGGGTCATTTGCTGACATCCAAGGCTGCTTTTCTATAAGGCTCCTACTCATCTCAACCCTCAGAACTCACCTGCCTGCATCTCACACCTTTCAATGTAAGCAAATCACCTTTCACTGCTGCATTTCCTGGATTTGAGACCTAGAAGGGTCATTTGCTGACATCCAAGGCTGCTTTTCTATAGACCGCTGAGAAACAAATTACTTTACTTCGAGTTATCCCCGCCATGACATTTATACGTTTTGTTACTGGCAAATCTTCTGGCATTCTATCTGACATACCTTCTGGCATTTTATCTCGCATATCTTCTGGCATTCTATCTGGCATATCTTCTGGCATTCTACCTGGCATATCCTCTGCAATATGTTCTGGCATATCTTCTGGCACTCTATCAGGCATACCTTCTGGCATATCTTCTGACATTTTATCTGGTATATCTTCTGGCAATTATGGCGTTCTATCTGGCAAACATTCTGGCACTTTATCTGGCATACCTTCTGGCATTCTATCTGACATTCTATCTGGCATGCCTTCTGGCATTCTATCTGGCATATCTTCTGGCATATCTTCTGGCATTTTATCTGGCATATCTTCTGGCATTCTATCTGGCATATCTTCTGGCATTCTACCTGGCATATTTTCTGGCATATGTTCTGGCATATCTTCTGGCACTCTATCTGGCATATCTTCTGGCAAGTCTTCTGACATCATTCTATCTGGCAAATCTTCTGGCATTTTATCTGGCACATCTTCTGGCATTCTATCTGGCATATCTTCTGGCATTCTATCTGACATCTTATCTGGCATTCTCTCTGGCATACCTTCTAGCATTCTATCTGGCATATCTTCTAACATTCTATCTGGCATATCTTCTGGCATTCTATCGGGCAAATCTTCTGGCGTTCTCTCTGGCATACCTTCCGGCATTCTATCTGGCATATGTGCTAACATTTTATCTGGCATATCTTCTGGCATTCTATCTGGCATGTCATGGCATTTTTTCAGGCATATCTTCTGGCATTCTATCTGGCATATCTTCTGGCATTCTATCTGGCCGTTGAGGTCCAGCGGTGCACACTGAGCTGGGCAGGTCCCAGGTTGAGGTCCAGCGGTGCACACTGAGCTGGGAAGGTCCCAGGTTGAGGTCCAGCGGTCTCGGAAGTTGGCGAAGATCTTGGCGAAGAGTTGGCAGGGCGGAAGTGAAGGTGGAAGTTGATGCAGACATGGTCGAGGAGAAACTGGAGGAGGAGGAAGAGGAGGAGGCGGAGGAGGAGGAGGAGAGCTAGCCGAGGAGGAAGAGGAGGAGAACAACTGTGATAAAATCTAACAACCCTCACCTGGCAGGTGGGGAAAAAACTCAATGGACTGCAAGTTCACCACTGGCAAACACGCCTTTTGAATCAAGGTGGTGGTTTGTCTTCTAAGAGCTGCTGCAATTTGATCCTATTGAATGGAACAAAAGCGATATCAAAATTGAATGGAACAAATCCATTGGAAAGCCTTTTGCTGCTAAAGGCCTGCAAGGTAGTAGAGCTGGCTGAAACGAGCTGTTGATATCCAGTCAAATCATGATTAGGGAGCAGAATGAACTTTGGACCGTGGGCCCTGGACCTTAGACCATGAGCCAGCTCTACCCATGCCGGCACCATTGCTCACTCATTTGGGCTTTCTGGCTCCAAAGGCTGAGCATCGTCTTCTTCCTGGGCCCTTGCTAAACAAGCAATGACGTCTGGAAATGATTTCTTCACGGCAGTGGCATTCTCCTCGGCAAATAAGGAGCTCCCCTCCACAGCAATGAGTCCGCACGCTGCTCTGTCAGCGATAGCCTGGAGCCACTGCAGGTGCTCTTTGTTCAGACCTCGGAAAAATGTCACATCGACCATCCATTTAGCTGTGATGAACAGGCGCTGGCCTGATGTGATTTTAATGGACGAGGACAGGCATGGCATTGGCTGGCAGCAAGTGCTAGAAAGACATCATGTGACACAGCCAACTCAGGTCAAGGCAGAAGCCATGGTAGACAATGCCACGTGTGAGAGCTGCTTCCATTAGGGCACCACTTCCAGGGCTACAATCCAGAACTGCATGAACTTTCCATTCGTCAAGCAAGGCACACCACAAAGCAATGGGCTTGGATTCGTGCCAAAACAGCGGACAATCTTCTCCATTGCGTTCCACCCAGTCCTCTGGGAGCTTAGGCACTGACAAGATGTTGTTTGGATCCAGCAGCTTAGACTTCTCTTGCATGGAAATCAATGGGATTTCACTGCAGGCTCGATACGAAACACCTGTGTAGGTGCCCTGGTATGTGCTTTCTTCGCCGCACGCGGTGAAGGTCTCCTTTTTGGATACCTTGATGCGGGACCGCTGCACGGGGCATCTGATGGCCATAGTCTCCAACTTTCTGCCAGACAAGGGAACTTTACGGGATCTCCCGGCCCGTGGGGGGCAGCCACCAGTGTAAACAATTGCACCTTCACAGGCATGGGCTTGGCTGAGCAGATCATCTTCCTTGCGGGCTCTGCGGCGCAGCAAAGAACAGAAAGCAAGAGCCCACGATCAAACTGACAACGCGACAGTATTAAAATCAAAGTTGATGCACTCCCATGCAATGGCTAACTAGATGACCCAAGCCAAGCTGCACTCAGGCGGCGCATTTCACGCATCCTCCCATCAAATGCCATCACGAAGTCTGCTGGCCCGGTGGCGCTGGAGCCCATGAAAGCTAGAATCTCTTTCCAAAGGTTCGGTTGAGGAACAGAAGGGGTAGCCCAAGGCTCATCGCCTTGCTCAACCAAAAGATCAGCAGATGCACAAATCAATCTGTGATTGCTGTTGAGCTGGCCAGAATGTGCGAAGACCTTCCCAGAAGCTCTGAAGGATGCCAGAAGACTTTCTTTGGACCAAGCCTTGGGGATTCCAAAGCTAACAAACCTTCTCCTCTCAGATTGGATCATTTTGAAGTGCCTGTCACGTTCTGCATCGGCCTCATGATCAAGCTTCCCTTGGGCAGTCAACTGGGTCAGCAGGCTTGGGGCAGGTGCAGCAGTGCTTGGAGAAATGGATTTGGAATGGCCATCAAACATGTCCGTCACAATCTTCAACTGCTTGAGGAGCTCGAAGTCTTCTTGGCCACCCATGTTCTGCAAGGCTTTGATAATTCCACCAGCTTGGGAAGCAAGCTCCTGACAATCGGAAAAATGTTTTCCAGCGATGAGGTCCAACAGGATATCAAGCAGCAAACCAGTTGCTTTGTTGAAGCTCTCCTTGACCAAAGCCATGGAGCCTGTTGGCACCAATACTGCGCACTCTTCGTCGATATCATCCTCGTGCAAGCACCCAACTTCCGCTGCGGCTTTTTCATCTGGGCGAAGGAACTTCTCCCAGCACTGCGCCGGGGACAGCAAATCTTCGAGAGTTGCTTTTGCTTTCGAAAGTTCGGGCTCGGGGAGCTTTGCAATCAACTTCTCGGAATATTCGAATACCTGTCCACATGCCAAAGGCTAAATGACAAGAAACCTAGGAGCTAGGAGCCTAGCACAACAGGCTTGTGAATAAACATTGAACGGATGGCGCAGTTTATTTCCAAGAATAAAGGGATTATCCTGCCCATGCCTCAAGACACCCGGCCTGGAGAATCACTCCTGTGACCTGCCAAAAGCCTGCCACTCCTGTCTTCCGGTCCTTGTCCAACCAGGATTCTGTGGCTTTGCTGGGAAGCCGCATTTTCGTTTTGAACGCCAGGATAAGCATCTCAATCATCCAAGCAACGATTTCAGGTGTGGACCGCGGACCATGGATTGTGGACCATGTCGTTCCCACAGATCTTCCATAGGCAATCATCTTTGACAGCTTGGAATATTCGCTGCTGAGAATGTCACGGCCGAAATGTAACTCCAGCCTGGACAAAGCGTTCTCCACAGGCTGGCCTGTGTGATCCAGGATGCCACCAAGCACAAGGGCAGCCTTGTGTATTGCAGCATTGTACACAGTACCACTGTAGGCTAAGCCCAAAGCAACACCATCCTGGACCTTTTCAATCTGCAATTCCTTCACCAGCCGAGAAAACACAGCGAAGCTGTCGCTCAGAGAAGCATGGCCCAATGCCTTCACTGCCTCAGACTGTAAGTTCCTTGCCAGGCTCTTCTCTTGCAATCCTGGACAAAAGCGAACCTGGACTGTCACCGACAAAGCTGCTTCCCAAAGGAGATCCAGATGGTCTTTGTCCTGAAGTAGAAACTTGACATGCTGGGAACATCTGACACCCAAACAAATTAATGCATGCTGAAATAGAAGCAATGCAAAATAGCAAGGGGAACGAGCTGAGTAGTCTTGAATTAGTTTCTTGTTGCTTGCTTGCACAAAATTCTTTGGCAACAAGACGTTGACAAGAAAACGTACAAATGCCTGAATCAAAAATGAGGCACTCCGGCCCTGATGGCTTCGTGCACTGCCAAGTACCATGCCCAGAGAACAAATTTCCCAGGCCCAATCAATGGCAAAGATCCCTCAAAAAAGTCCTTGCAAGCAGTTGTCACGGAATCCACGCCGCAAATCATGGTTGTTGGCCATAGGATGCGTTTCCGCTCGCTCTTCTGCTTCTTGGTGCCGACCATTCGGGTGACAGACGCCTTGAAGGCAACCCGCTTGGAGAAGAACTTCTCTTTGAACCCGTCAAGGCTGGCCCAGTTGATGTCCTCAGTAGCAGCGTCCCCAAATATACCGGTCTGAAGCCATAAAGCCAAGCCAGAGGCTTCGTAGATGCCACTTGCTGTCAAAGATGTGTTGCATTCCTCTGCTGACCACACGCCAGCCTGTCAATGCCGAGTAGCTTGGCTTGGATCAATGTCACAATGTCATGATGGCTGCAAAGCATGCACTGATATCTTCTAAGTCAATTAATCAAATTTAAAAAACCCACCCATGCTATAATAGCCATTTCAGCCATGACCATGACTGATGATCATCTCTCTCCTTGAAGCCGACGTTGTCATTCATCTTTGCCGAGCTCACAATGGTTCATTTCAGCCGACGTGGTCAGGCAGCAAAAACAATTCGCCTTCTTCTTGCGGCCCCTCAGCATTCACTTCCATGATGCTGGCCACGGTTGAGCCATCTGCTGAAAGCGGACCACTGTGCGACGACAATTGCGTAAGAAGTCGTCCTAAATCACGCTCCAGTGTGGTGGTGTTGATCTTCAATGACAAATAGAAACCAACCACAACTTCACAATCATCATTCCAAGCCATGGTCGGAGCGTACCTTGCACGCCAAGATGGGTGAAGGATCCAGGTCCAAGCCTTCCGATTGTCCACTCGGAATCCATGTGCGTTGGCAGCCTGGTACACCTTCACTAGCCACTTTGCAGCTGATGCTAGCATGGAGCCTGTGTTTGCCCCGGCCACAGAAATGATGGAACAAAGTCGCTTGAAGTGGTCCTTCAAGACCATGTGGTTGTTCCTCTCTTTCCAGCTGTCCAAGTTGAATGCCTGCAAAGCAACCGCAATCTCATCCTCTGCAAGATCCACCTGAACTCGCTTCAGCATTGCTTGAACTACCTCAGACATGGACTCCATGATAGGCCTGATCTCTCTGGCTGTTGCTTTGGTGCACAAATAGTGCACACGGTCGCCATAGTAAATCCTGGCAAAAACTGATTCCCAGCTGTTTGGTTGGTCCCAACGAATCTTTTCAAAACAAGAAAAGATTTCCGGAAATAGTTTCAAGTTGGGCCAGGAATCGGTTCTGCAGTCTCAATTTCCTCAAAGACCATTTGACTTGCAGTCTTCTCTGCAGCAGAGCCAGCAGCGCGGGACGACAAGATGTAGCCATGCACAAAAAGGGCTTGCATGTGTGCATGAAAGCTTTCCACTGACTGCACAACAGTGGCAGGATCCGGGTTGTCAATGTCAAACCCAGTTCTTAGGAACTGCAGGCACTCGCTGGTGTAGTCTGCTGTCAAAGCTGCTCGCATCAGCTCAGGCCCTACCATGTGCTGAAGTGCTTCTTCGGCTAGTTGTCGAACGTCTTTTGGATTCCGTACCTTGGAGGCTTTGCTGAGTGGCTACTTGAAATCACTTGATTCAAGTGAGTCATCAGCAAAAGTGAAAAAAGCCAAGCCACATCAGCTGCTTGCATTCCGCACAGCAGAGCAATGGCCCGAATGAGGCTGCAGAATTTGAACAGTGGACTTGCTGCAAATCGAATCGATGAGGAGCAAAGCTCAGTGATTGCACTGCTCGGTCACAGCCGCCTTGCGAACCATGAACTCGCAGAATCTCCCGCTCACAAGCCAGCAGCTTGGTCTGCCACACCTTGCTGTGCTGTATTGCTGGTAGCAACGCGCTTTTGCCACTGAAGAGCCTCTGCCACTGTCTGTCGAAATCGGGCAAAGCGTGCAGGGGGTCTTTGGATGCGATGCGAATCTGGTGGGCAGGATCAAAGCTCAAATATACCAAGTTTTTCAGCTTTTGCCCGGCAACCAAAACCTTTCCAACCTTGGCTACATTGGGTCCTTGATCTGATGCGAAGTGCCGGACATTCATCAACACCTTCTCCAGGGCTTCGCTATCCACTTGACCTTCAGGGTCCTGGCAGGAGCGCTTGATCACTTCTAGCACTGTCTTGGCCATTGCTTCACTCTTGTCCTCATCGTGGGACTGCAAAGTGTTTTCAGGCACATCAGCACCGACTCTATAGACTCCCAAGATCCCAGAAGCAGCAAGAACAGGCAATTCAGCCCACTCATCCAATGTTTTTGGTCTTGCAGGGCCTCTAGCTGATGGCTCTTGCTCTTGGACCATGGACCCTGGACTTTGGACGTGGACCCTGGGCCTTTGACCTTGTCTTCGGGACATTGCAAGTTGCACTGGTATCGCGCTATCCTGTAATCCTTACGGTCGTCAATCGAGACACTGATGCTGCTGGATTGCAATAATTTCTTCAACCTTGCCTGTTTCACGGCCCAGTGCATCACCGAGATCATGTTTTTCAAGCCTCGAAGTTGGAAAGGCTTGGAAACCCTCAAATGACAAACCCCCAGCCTGAGCAAAATACATTTCGAAAAAAAAAACGGTAAGACAAAAAAGGGCAAGGAGCCATGTTTCTTCGTTTTTGTCTGCCTGCCAGCCGCAAAGTCGTCGGTCTGGAAGAATGCTAACGATGCCACGAAAGAGGACGGAGTCCGACAGGCTCTCCATGCACGAAGCCAATCGTCAGGCTGAGGCACGTTGCCTTTCCACAAGCCCTGCTGCTGCAAAGTGTATGGAAGACATTCTGATACAGGTCTGTCTGGAGCTAGAAAAGATTGCTGGGCAACCCGATGTACCGTCCAAGAGCCATGTTGCTGAATGCAGCTATACTGCATTGACTTCCTGGAATTCTGAGAACGAACCGTCCGAAACAATGGGGTGCACAGCATTAAGCTAATTCAATGTTGAAAAAGAATGCCAAACCTCGAAGCTGAATAGTGGACGAGCTGCAAGGAGCGAACTGTAAACGATCCCCATTTAGTGGAGAACCTGCTGCCCAACCTGTCAATGGATTCCAAAATCATCAATTACTTTACTTCGAGCTATCCCCACCATGACATTTATACGTTTTGTTACTGGCAAATCTTCTGGCATTCTATCTGACATACCTTCTGGCATTTTATCTGGCATATCTTCTGGCATTCTATCTGGCATATCGTCTGGCATTCTACCTGGCATATCTTCTGCAATATGTTCTGGCATATCTTGTGGCACTCTATCTGGCATATCTTCTGGCATATCTTCTGACATTTTATCTGGTATATCTTCTGGCAAATCTTCTGGCGTTCTATCTGGCAAACATTCTGGCACTTTATCTGGCATACCTTCTGGCATTCTATCTGACATTCTATCTGGCATGCCTTCTGGCATTCTATCTGGCATATCTTCTGGCATTTTATCTGGCATATCTTCAGGCATTCTATCTGGCATATCTTCTGGCATTCTACCTGGCATATCTTCTGGCATATGTTCTGGCATATCTTCTGGCACTCTATCTGGCATATCTTCTGGCATATCTTCTGACATCATTCTATCTGGCAAATCTTCTGGCATTTTATCTGGCACATCTTCTGGCATTCTATCTGGCATATCTTCTGGCATTCTATCTGACATCTGATCTGGCATTCTCTCTGGCATTTCTTCTGGCATTCTATCTGGCATACCTTCTATAACATTCTATCGGGCATATCTTCTGGCATTCTATCTGGCAAATCTTCTGGCATTCTCTCTGGCATTCTATCTGGCATATCTTCTAACATTTTATCTGGCATACTTTCTGGCATTCTATCTGGCATATCTCATGGCATTTTATCAGGCATATCTTCTGGCATTCTATCTGACATTCTATCTGGCATATCTTCTGGCATTCTATCTGGCCCTTGAGGTCCAGTGGTGCGCACTGAGCTGGGCAGGTCCCAGGTTGAAGTCCAGCGGTGCACACTGAGCTGGGCAGGTCCCAGGTTGAGGTCCAGCGGTGCCCACTGAGCTCGGAAGTTGGCGAAGAGCTTGGCGAAGAGTTGGCAAGGCGGAAGTGCAGGTGGAAGTTGATGCAGACATGGTCGAGGAGAAACTGGAGGAGGAGGAGGAGGCGGAGGAGGAGGAGAGCTAGCCGAGGAGGAAGAGGAGGAGAACAACTGTGATAAAATCTAACAACCATCACCTGGCAGGTGGGGAACTTCACTCACCTGGCAAAAAAAAACAGAAAATTGAAACCATAATAATAATATCTTCTACTTGAACCGACAGCTCTTAATCTTATTGCTGCAACAGGCAAGAAACAACAGCTTGCGCTGCTCTGGGTCGGTTGCCAGCTTGTGCATGAGGTGCGCGCAGAAAAGGCATCCTATGCCCCACAATCCTCCTCGACGGCTGGGCTTCTCGCTCAACCAAGGAGTCTGAACAGCTTTCGGCCCCCACGATCGATGAGAGACAGCGGTGCGCTGGGCCCACTTCTTTGCAAAATGCAAATACCTTGTTGGCATCGTGCAAGCCTTTAAGGTAAAACACTACTACCTAAACCATTCTACCTTGCCTGCAACTGACAGCTAAAGAAATCAGACACTGACTCAGTCACCAGCTAATCAATCGGTCCCAGGAATTGAAACCAAAAGACTTGCATCGGGCGCACTGTGACCGCATGTCCTTGCCTCCATGGGTTGCGTAATGCTGCTCAGCAGTTTCCTGGGCCAACCCCACTGCAGACTCAGGCAAAGGCTCTGCATCCTTTGCATCATCTGCCTTTTGCGTGGTGTTGTTTTTCAGCTTCTTCCGAGAGCAAGCCGACGATGCAGGCTCGGCCTTTCTCTTCGGTGGCTTAGGCTGCGGCTTGACCGAGATGCAGAACCGCTTAGCCAATCGATGAACCACTGAGTCATCCACAGACCTTTTCCGACCTGCAGGCATGGAAGACTCTGGACCTTAAACCTTGTACCGTGGACTGTGGACCTTGAGCCACAAGCAAGACAAACAGACATCATCTCCACTGAACATGCACATCAAATCTGGTGCCCAAGGTCGCCGCATCTTCATGGCTGCAGCTGCCCAGATTTCAACTCTGCCTGACAAAAGGAAATTGTCCCTGCAACTAGCTTGCGATGAACTTGCAGCTGGTGAACGCGCAGTGTCGTCAAATGCATTCTGTTTCTGATAAAGATGAATCTTTTCTGCACTATCGATCTGTGCCACGCGTCTGGGTCAAAGACGTGTGTTCCACACAGCTCCACCAGACAAGAAAAGCAACCGACCAAAGAAGCATGTCAGTTGTCGAATTTGTTCTGAATTTTGAATTTTATTTTAAATTAAAGCATGATCAGGATTCCCACAGAGTACCACGCAAGGCTGGCATCCTTGTGGAACAACTACGTTTGGAAGCTGAAGATTTTTGCTTCTTAATTACTACTGGCTTGCTTTTTGGCAATTGCCAACGAGCAGCCAAATTGGTGAGAACACTGGAAACTGGCCGCTTGCTGGACCTTCGGCCTGGGACCTGAGAACTTGGACTTCTGACCTTGGACCTTGGACCTTGCACCTTAGACCTCTTCGGCGTCGGTTTCATTGGCAGCTCACCACATGGCCTTGCTACCGCAGGCAGGCTCCAGTCCACCATCGCAAGTGCCATGAGCATTGCAGCTCCCACCACATGCACGTGCATGGTATTGCCCCCCATCACCTCCAAATCCTTCTGCGAAATGTGGTGGGGAAAGCTCATGCGGTGCACAGGAAAGCCGTGCAACATGATTTTCTCCAACGGGCTGACTGTTCTGCCAGCCTTCCGGACAGCCAACACACTACCCGGTGTGATAGTAGGTAACTTCCCATCTGTGCGAACTCCTGCTCGGGTCACGCTCTGGGACAAATCTGCTACCAAGTCTGGGTCTGAGTGCGATGTGCTAAGCAGGCTCCATGCATCCCGCTCCCTTGGAAGGTGAAGAAACAAATCGTTCGCAGAACATCCTGCAGCAACTTTGCCGGCTTGCTGCTGCCACTGGGAAGCATGCAAAGCGCGCCACTGGGGTTCGTCTTCTTGTCTGGGAAGCCAGCAGCATGGGCCTGCATGGCAGGGAGGGGATCCAGGCAAGAATGAAACAAGACAAGATGTCAATCAACCACCCCGAACAGCAACTGCAAAATGCTACGAGCTGTCGCTGCTACTTCACGGCTACCATCATTTAAATTATACTCTCATTCAAGATTTGTATTAGATTCGGCAAACACAGCAGAAAACCAAGCCTGGAGCCATCTTTCCCTGCGGCGAAGCTGATGCTCAACAATCGTTGAATGGGTGTTCGGAAGCATCCTTGCTTCCAAAGGGACTGTGGACCTTGGACCGTGGACCTTGAACCCGTTTTTCACCGTCTTCCAACAGCCCGCAAGAACTTCCTCCAGCTGTGTTTGGCTGACCTTTGCCACGTCAGCCCTGATGCCAAAGAAATAGATCCTCGGCCTCTGCAGAGGCTCTGCCAAGTCAGACGGATCCATCTTCAAAGCAGCAACCAAGTAGAAGCCTTTCCCTTTCAAAGCTTTCACTACCTGCGACTGCACACGCACAATGCCCTTGACATTCTCAAGGACAAAGCATGCTGGCCTCACTGCCATGATCCGATCCACAACAGACCAAAAAATCTGGGCCTGTGGCTCCTCCAGCAATTTGCTTTGGTGATGTAAGGTGCTGAATGGTTTGCAGCTAAAGCCGCTGATGTAAAGCTGGACGTACTCAGGCTTCTGGACTTGAGACTCCAGAACATCTTTGTAGAGGTTGCCAGTGGGAGGCGTGTTTGCCAAAAGAACATCCCTGGGTGCTGCCTCTAACTCAGAAGACCAACAATGACGGTGAGACACGTCCAACGCGCGAAGCGCATGAATCGGAGCTTCAATCCCACTGCAACCCGTGCCGACAAGCAAGTTCGGTGCCACTTCCCCAGAAAGGCCATGCTGCTGGAGTGCTGCCATCACTTTCTTCTTCAAGCCTGGACCCCACTCGTCCAGCCACGTAAGCAGAGAGGCAGGCAAAAGCTCGAAGCTCATCCCGATGGACTGTGGACCCTGGACCCTGGACCGTGGACCGTAAACTGGGGGCCAAAAAAAGCAGTGACTATAAATAAAGTGACCGCGCACTTGGCAACAATGTCAGGTTACATGTCAAAACAACTGCATTCTTCATCACCAAGACAAAGCCCAAACAAATCAGGCCTTGGCAAGTGCAGGTAAATGTAGATCAGCCCAGGCAAACCTCTACGAAGGACAACTCTAAGCACTGAAGTAGCATCCAACCAAATTGAAATAACCCGCAAAACAGCTCAAGTCGGAAACGTTGAATGCACAGCCTTCACTCATTGAATGATTGACACTTGAGTTTATTGCCACTGTGGGTGCCAAGCAAGAGCAACAACTGCATATTATGGTAACAATGACATAGCATGACATAGCACCAATGCGCGTATCAAACCACACCCAATTATAATTCATATGAAAGTCTCCACCGCTCAGAACAAGCCAAGGCCAAGGCAGCCTTGGAAAGGTACACCGGCCAGCAAAGCCTCTATCAAGAAAACATTACCAAGCAATCCAGCATTCATTCAACTCAAACACTGACTTTGATGAAACTTTGGTTGAAGTTGCTTACAGAAGCCCACGTTTGAAACGCGGACTGCTTTCTCAACAAATTCAGCACATTTGTCACCTCCTCTGCGCTGGAGCAATGGGATGGCCACGCCTGGTCAAGAGGATGGCAGCTCACAAGTTGCAATCTAGGTCACCAATGTTAAATCAACGCCTGCCTGTCACACGCTGAAGAGCTTTTCGCCACCCGCGACCTCGCAGGAATGAAGCTCGCATATGTGATATGCAAAAACATGACAATAAAAAGAGAACGGCAACAATAGGGACAACTATGATGTCGAAGACCCTATTTTCCTCAGCTGCCAGGCCTCAAAAAAAGAGTTGTGGAAGCCAGCGATCTTCTAGCCAGCAAAAGACCTCCAGAAGAAATTATGCTAGTGACTTCATTTCCTCACCAATGCAAGACATCTGGCTCCAGATAGTTTACATGAGGAAAAATTGGAAGACACATTGCCGGCACACCTTCCCACCTCGCTGAGGCAAAAAGAATTGCGTCCCAGCCTGAGCCGAGACTAGAATTTGCATTCTGAAATGTCTTTTACTCATGCTGGGTTTGCTCAAAGAATGGCCATGCATGTAATAATCGAATCATTTCTGGGTCAGTTCTTGAAGCTAGTGAGCCTTTTTACATCCATCGCAAAATGTGCCAATGCAACGGCGGTGGAAGAAGCATCATCGGTCGACGATGCTATGCATTTTGCCGGCTGCGTGCCCAGCCCTCAAGCAGCTGTCTCTGTGCAAAACCTGTTGGGCTGTTGCCTATGGACTGTGGACCTTGGACTATGGACTTTGGACCTTAATAGTGATGTTACATTACAATTGTTACCTTGGCACTTTTAAAATGCCATATGAGGGCAAGCATATGCAGCACCAGCCAGCTAGACTCAATTCGTCATGCCCCAGGGGTCGTCCATGCCAGGAGCTTGGTCAGGGTCAGGAGCAGCTTGCTGTGGCTGTCCGGCAGGATACTGCTCTCCGCCTTGCGCAGGGCCCCAGCCGCCAGGCTGCTGGGGCTGCTGGGGCTGCTGGGCCTGCTGGGGCTGCTGTGGCTGCTGGGGCTGCTGTTGCTGCTGGTAATGCTGTTGCTGCTGGTAAGGGCCATGAGCATCTGCACCACCGCTGCCCCAACCACCAGTGTATTGGGCGCCACCGCCCCAACCACCACGATCACCACCACCAGGGCCTCCGCGATACTCCCCCCTGCCACGACGACCACGCTCCTCCTCGAGGTCAGGAGGGACCATCGTCCGCCCAGTCGTCAACGCCATCTGCAAGCCAGGTCCCCACTTGTAAACTCGGGCCAAGTGGAGCTCGAATGGTTTCCATTGGCAGTCTTGCTCTCGTTCAAAGGCCAAGACAAGAGGCACCTTCTTATTCTTGTAGCAGATCGCCTGGACCTCGGTGAAGCCGGTGCAATTTTAATTGAGACAGAAAGGACGTGCTAGGATTAAAAGAACTCTTTGAAGTGTGATAGCGCCGCCAAATCGACTGCTAGGATTAAAAATGGAGGGAAGAAGATCTAAAAAAAATTGCATGTCACATCCAAGATGCAAATGAGAAACCGTTGAGGAAAAGCCTGAAATCTGCATTGTTCAGGCCATGCCAGCCACATGTCACTTCGCGTTTGTGTGTCATAAACCAGTCGGAGAACGCCTCGTTCATGTCGCCTTTCAGAACATCGGCCTAAGCTGTTCTATAGGCAAGCTGCAGAATCAACTAGAAGGGGCAACCCTTTTAAGAATGCACAATTTTCAGGCTACAACAAACCCAGCAGAAAATTATAAATTAGCAAAGTCAAGAAGCTTTCATCACCAGAGTTGGAGTGACAAATGCTCTGTGGCTCACATCTGCAGCGACGTGGCGGAATGCGTAGAAGTAGCCGTCGCTTGTGCACCACAGTGAGCGAGTCCAAGGAGGTTGCTCTCCAGGAAGTGGGGCAAAAAACTGCTCGGAGCCTTGCTCGAGAGATCGCGTGACTTGAAACTCCTCCGCGCGCCTAGGATGATCAAAGCTTCAAACAGACCCTTGGGCGTCAGCAAAATACCCTTCAATAGAATAATTTAAAGTTTGGAGGCTGTGAAAGGCCAAAAGGTCACACCGAAGGGTCCATCTGGCTGAATATTAACCAAGAAGCAGCAGCCACGGATGATCAATGCCCAGCCTCACACCACACAGTTCCATCTGGCGCATAAACTCAGGCGTGAACCGCTCCGTGAAAAAAGACTTCTCAAGCAAGGAGAGGTTCCTGCCAAAATGAAGCAACGACACGACAAGTAGACTGCAATGCAAAACCAAAAGGCTCCCTGTTCAAACCTATTTTAAATCAATGAATGATAAAGCCCAGGGTGGTCAACCCTGCTGGACAACCCCTCTCCTGTCTTCCCTGGAGCGGAGCTGGGATGCTTGGGCCATGTGGGGCAACATCCTTGGCTCAGCCCGGGACATCCCACTCACTTTCATCAGCAGCTTCACGTAGGAGATGCAGTCTCGCCCATAGGTGCTGATGTCTGGCATGTTGTCGACATCACGGCACCAAGGAAGTGGCCATCCTTTCCACTGTGCATATGTGTCCTCACTGGCCACTTGCAAGCAAGCTGCAACCAGGAAAAAAAACAACTAACTATTTTTTTAAAAAAGAGCACTGCGTAACAAACCTTCAAACTTGATAGCTGGAGATGGGGCTCGAAATACTTGAGCGTGTGCCCCTTTGCCAGCGAATGCAGAGTGTACGGATGCATGATCACATTGTAGGTGCCCTTGCCGTTCCCAAGGGGATCGTCGATGATAAACTGCTGCAACAGCTCGCGGCTGTGGCACACCAACTTAGATAGCATGTTCAAGAGAGGTAAACTCATATTGACAAACATGAACGCGCAAACCAAAAAGAATGATAAGATTGTCAGAGGTTAATAATCTGCACACATCTAACAGTTTTTCCCACAAAAACTTCAGGCATCCCTGCAACCAAGAAGCGCCATGCAAGACTTGTTGAACATTCTGGCGCTCCGGCAACTTGGACAACACTTCTTGAGCAGCCATCGCCACGTCACTGTCAATGACTGTGAAGCCTGTGGGCCGCCAAAGCCCCAAAGGCAATCAAAACAAATCAATTCAGCATGTTGCCCCAAGTGGTAAAAAACACACGTTCAAGAAAAAATGCTCTCAGGTTTGCCATGAAGCTTGCACAGAGGGCAGCGGTTGCTTCTGGCGTACGCCGCCCCTCGGGGAAGAATGATGCCCTGGCAAAACTGAAGCCGGCAAATGCCCAAGTCCAATCAGAAGTCGGCTCATAAGTTCTGCGCATGAACTGGGGCGCAGTTGCCATTTGCCTGAGATGTTGTTTGAAGTCGCCGTCCAAGAAATGAAAATCAACAATCAAATCTATCTGCAATCCAAATCCAACAGCGCTTTAAAAGATACTAGCCACTAAACTCTGTTTCTCAGCCCAAGCACCCATAGTGCCCCACAATCCTGTCAGAGGTCAGGTCAATGACAGCAGGCGAGACTTGGATGCCTTGTCGGAGCATTTCATTGGCAATCTCTGCGCTGGCTTGTGGAACAACTTCTTCAACTGCAGGGGCAGGATCAGCAGCAGGTGGCTCCGCAGGTGCCTGAGCATCAACTGCCGCAACAGCGCCCGCCACAGCTTCGGCCAAAGCCTCTGCAGCAGCGTTTAGGTCTAGCTGCTGCTCTGCCATTGCGGACCGTGGACCCTGGACCGTGGAACCACTGGACCGTTGAACCAGGGGACCTTGGACCAAAAAACCTCATAGTCGGCCCAAGCTTGTGCACCAGCGCTGTCAATCCCTCACCAAATGCAGCACAGTTTGTTGAATGGAGGGAACAACACACTGACATGCCTGATGCAATTGAGACTTCAAGTTGCCTAATTGCCACCTGAGGTGCTGGCAATCTATCAGCAGAATTTGCCAACCGCCAGCCAAAGTGCAGCAGCAGCCTCACATCAACAAAGACATGATGGCACGTTAAAAAATGATGCCACTTTAAAGGATGAAAAAATGAAGACGCCATCATACGCCATCAATGTCCCAGCATGGAGATGCAAGATCTGCGACTGCCTGCCTGAATGGGAAAGAAGTCACGGGCAGGAAGGCTTTCAGACCTGGGCAAGGATTTTTAGGGGCCATGAACCTTGGACTATGAACTCTAAACATTAGACCTTGAACCTTGAAGGAGTGGAATGTTGTGGACTGAGGGCTAGGCTTGAGTGCTTGATGAAGGAGGATGGACCATGAACCTGGGACCTGGGACCTTGAACCCTTGCGGCAGCAAAAGGTTAGGCAAAACAGAAAAAAAATTAAAAAAACGCGAAGTGGCAACCTAGGTTTTAGTGCATATATATATATATATAGTCTAGTGTAGTTCTAGTTGTACTTGTAGTTGTAGTGCAGCGTAGTGTATAGAGTGGTAGTAGTAGCTGCATTTGTTCTGTTAGTTGTAGTTGCCGTTATAGCTGTAGTTGTTGTAGTTGTAGTGGTAGTGTAGTGTAGTGTGGCATAGTGTAGTGTAGTGTTTGTAGGTGTAGTGTAGCGCAATGTATCTGTAGCTGTAGTTGTAGCTGTAGTGTCTGGTAGTGGTAGTTGTAGCTGTAGTAGTACTTGTTGTAGTTGCTGTCGTTGTTGTATAGTTGTTCTTGCTGTTGTTGTTGTAGTTGTTCTTGCTGTTGTTGTTGTTGTTGTTGATGTTGTTGTTGTTGTTGTTGTTGTTGTCGTCGTGTGGTACCGTTGAACGTCCAAAAAGTGGTCCTAACGTGGTGCGTTTTTAACATGTGTACTTCAAAATGTGCTTCGTGCTAGAACAAGGTGCACTTTTTCGACATTGCAACTTCCAAAAGTGGTCCGAATGTGTGGTGTCTGAAACATTTTGACTTCGAAGCGCGCTTCGCGCCACAACACCGTGCACTTTGCAACATGCAACTTCCAAGTTTCTCCGGAGCTGCGGCGTTTTGTACATTTTCACTTGGAAATGTGCTTCACGCCACAACGCCGTGCACTTTTTCAACATCTCAACTTTCAAAAGTGCTCCGAACCCACTATGTTTTTCACATTTTGACGTCCAAATGTGCTTCCCGCCACAGCGATGTGCACTTTTTCGACATCCCCATATTGCCAAAATTGCTGAAACATTGGAAAAACACAGTGTTTCGCGACTTTTCTACCTTTTCGCGCACCTGGATCTTCTCTGATCTTCTTTCTTCTGAATCCTTTTCTTCTCTCACTCTCTCTCTTCCCACCTCTGATTTTTCCATCTGTCTAAATTGTCGGAAGTTTGACTTCTAAACTTCCTTCGATATTATATATATATATAGAAAATAGGAACTTCTCTGCCACATGTGAGCAGAATCCAGCATGATCCAAGATGACAACTCCAAGAATTTCGGGTTAATCATTTTTTCTCGACATGTATGGTCCAGAAACTGTAGAAAAGAATAATCAGAAGTGCCAGTGTCCAGACCAGCGAGCCCATTGTGCTCATAATTGATAAAACCAACGTGCGCAAGGCTGTGACGTAGCGGAACAGTCGCACCACACGCAGACCACGTAGCGCTCGAGCTAAACGGATAGATCGAATCAGCCGCAATTGCCCCGTGTCCACCGACGATGAAAAGGACAGCACCCTGACAGTGGGGGGTCAGTTCCTATGTGCACTAACAGTCCAACAGACTATTTCTCGCCAAGTTCTGAGGCTTCGAATGGGGCTACTTGCAGGTGAATTACTGTAAGATACTGTAAGTATGCTAAGCTATGAGTCACTATGAGTACAGCAAATCTAGCCAAGCTAGCGCTGCCTTAGAGATTTGCACGATTCCGGTGGGGGCCTGCCACTGACTAAAAACTACAATACATCCAACATCCTAACCTCCAAGCGTCTCCAAGCGCCCCAGAAGACATACATGATTCCAAGCTCGACTTGAAATTAAAATCACAGCCCATTTGAAACATCAACTGCTTAGTCAAACAGCTGCTAAGCAAACATGAATTTTGATCTTACTATAGGTTTTTGAATGTCTTTGATAGCCGATCATGTAGCCAGTCACGCGCTGCTAGAATATTTGAACGAAGCTGTTCTCGGGCGCGGTCAGGTTCACTGCATTGGACATGGACAGGAACAAACATTAAGAGAGTGGGACGCTGTGGAGGCCCATTTTTTTTCGGTGTTTTTTGTGTTTTCCATGTTTATGTGTATTTCCAATGTTACTTTCACAATAATATAACTTATTGTCCCTGAACAATCCCTCACACATACATAAGTTTAAGAAAGTTTAAGATAGTTAGGGTGAAAATAAGGTACATCCCTTAATCTTATATTCTCTTGTTTTTTTTTTGAAAATATGAACAAACTTGTTGAAAACGTTTGTTTGGTAGAATATGTTGACAATATTTTGAAGTAAAACATATCTATCTCTTCCAAAGCATGTCTTCCTTGATATATCATCATAAAACTAGGTGTGTTGTGAAAAGAGCTGTGTATTCTAAGTGATTGAGCTGCATACATCTCAGAAGGAAAACTAAATTAAACCATGTCCAATATCATGCTGATAATTGCATCAGCAAAGGAAAAGTTAAACTTATGTTGCAAAATTCCTCTGGAAAAATGCGGATGCTAATCCCAAACTCTTCAATAGAAACAACTCTGCTTGGAATTAGAAGGGCCCCAAAAACAAAGTCAAAGAATCCAACCTGGAAAGTGAGGGTAGGTTAGGGCCAAGCCTTACAATCAATGACATCCCTATGATAAGGCACCATGGCAATGCATGCAGCATCTCATTCTTTTCCAATATTGAGACCCTAATTCTTTTCATTTACTGTGCATGTCATGCTAAAGGATGCGTGTACTCAACCCAACCATATAATTACATAATCGAATGCATATAAAATCTTACAATACTAGTCTGGGCTTTAATGACATACATTGAAATATATTGGTTTCAACCTGATCCAGAGCATAAACACTCCAAGAACTTGGCCCCAAAAAGAAAAAACACATCGAATTCTCCTGGTATATAACAAGGCTTTTACCACTTCCTTGTGCAGATTCCCCCAGCAAACTAGCAGTTCAAATCAAAAAGGGAGGTTGGAAGATCAAAAAAAAATCAGTGCAATCTGGCAGCCCACAGAGACATTGCACACAATCACTGTGTTCAAATCAATCATGCCCATGAAAGAGAATACCCTTGCATAATGTTGAGGTATGCAGTTGTCCTTCTTAGTTTGTAGGCTGGCAAAATGGTTGCTAGATAATACGGAACAAAATTTTGAAAGATACTGTCCATAGCAACATCTATGGAGGTAATCTTTGGCTAATGCAATTGAGATCTTAATATTGCTAATGATATATACGGTTATGGCAAGGAGCAGACCGACAATACTAAGTCAGATGAGGCTATGGCAAAAATTCAAGGTGCATGCTAATATCGCATTGTTATTACAAAAAGGTGGAATTTGAAGTAATTTTTGGGCACAATTTGGCTTGGCTAAACAGTTATAACTATTTTTGAAAATTATAGTTCTGATTGATGACTGCCAATCATAAAAGAAAATGACCATTGCAACTTGCCATATATTGCCACAAAAATGATATATACATAGAAAAGGAAACTTGGTAGCATCATTTCTATGTATCTTTAATGATATTAATTATCAATGTTCTGGGTTTGACTAAATTGTTTGCGTTTCGCATGAGGGTATGTATATTGATCATACCCATACTGAAGAAATAAATGATATACATTGCAGCTATTTTCAAGATTACTTACGAAATATATATATATATTCTTGTATAAGCCTGCTGAGTAAAACCATGTTTGACATACAAAGATGACGTTATCTTCACATCACTCTTGATCATCTATTTTCTTGCTGTGTATCATGCAATGGCCTATCCATTGGCAAAATAAATAGATTTATAAAACAATCTTGGCAACATATTGGTTCACCGAAGCCTTTGGAAATTAAAACGGACCAAACATTCACCGAATCATTTGGGGGGTCACCATTTTTTGGGGGACCCCCCCCCTCAGAGGTCTCGAGGACCAGATAGCAGCAAGATATAAGTCCAAAAATTGGCCCATATCTGGCCATTCCTCTTTCTGCATTAAATTGATATGGCTTAAAATTAAGATTTTTTGGAAAATGTAAATATAATGGATTTTGATATTCGAAGTTTGTATGTTGCATTATTTTGTTTGTTAGTACAAGAAGATATCGCATGAAACAATTTTTTGGTTGATCTTCATGACCTAAATCAAATAATGAAACATATCACAAAAATAATGAAAACAATGAACATTTGAGGAAATAGTGACCAAAAATGTTTTTAAGTGACTTTTTCAAAACACCGTAAAAATGGGGCCTCCACCACGTCCCTTTCCGAACATTAATTATTGTCAATAAATCATCAAACAAAGGCAATCGTTTTGAATTTTAAATAGTAATAATAGTAGTAGCGCAGCTTGCAAAAAAACAGGGCCACGGCACCATTCCCTTCCCAATAAACAACTGGCAAGATTCTGTGCCACGGCATCCAGCACCACATCAACCACGGAGACGAAAACAATCAAGAAGTCAAATGCATTCCAGGTACCATCTTTGCCTTGTTCTAAACCAAAAAGCGGTACCTAAAATTAACTGAACACAGGCTATCTTTGAAAATGGCGCTTATAACATACGCAGAAAAAAACGCATATGGTTAAGCTATCAGTTAAGCAAGCTTCCAAACCAAAATTCGCGGCATCCAAATGCCACCATCTTCAAGCCGATCTCCACAATAAAGGCTCCAACCTGGAGGTGCTCAGCGACAAGCAAAGGGCCAAAGGGAAGGGGACGAAAACTAGTTGGGCAACGAGAGATGTGTATCGAGAGAATATATGGCGCAACCTTTTGAATGTGATTTTTGGAACGAAATAAGCTACCATTCGATGTTGCTGACACGTTAACAGCAGTGTATCATGATATCCTAGCTCGCATGCACCATAATCATCCCACAACCCTCCCCCTGACATCCTAGCATAGCAGCGTCAACACTATGTTCCAACGCGCTTCGGTTAAGCCACTTTGCAACCATCTGATTGAACCTCTTTCCCTCGGCCTTTCCTTCCTTGTTCCTTTCCGTGACATTTCAGTTACATATATATATATACACATACTTATGTCCATGATTAATATGTTTAAATATCTCTACCTGCATAGCTAGATACCGATATATCTAGTTTATATGTAGACATATATCCACTATACAAATAACCCAGTCTTAGAATCTGGTAACTGTGGTGCACACATCCATCGAGCAACAAATTCTTGGGAATCTTGAGATGCGCATTTTCCCTTCCTCGCCATGACCTGGTAATGTTTTCATGCGGACCTCTTGAGGAAATGGAATGCAAGATTTTCATCACATTATATTACATTACGTTACATTACGTTACACTATACATTACTTTACATTAGTTACATTACGTTACACTACGTTACCTTACGTTACATTACATTATATTAGATTATATTCAGGTTAGACTAGATTAGATTAGGCTTACATTACATGAGGTGTAACTTACATAGATTAGGTTAAATTGCGTTACATGAGATTCCATTGCATTAGTTAGATTATATTAGATTAGATTGCATGACATAATTATCAAAGGAAGTTTAGAAGTCAAACTTCCGACCATATGGACAGATGAAAAGCAGAGATGGGAAGAGTCAGAGAAGAGAAGAGAAGGAAAAAAAAAGAGAAGATCAAAGAAGAGAAAGAGTCAGAAGAAAGAAGATCCAGGTGCGCGAAAAGGTAGGAAAGTCGCGAAACACTCTGTTTTTTTCAATGATTTGTGACTCTGGAGGGTCGAAAGGTAGGCTCGCTAAAGCGGCGGATGCGGAGCAATCTGGCCAGATGAGAGATGAAAAATTGCATTCAGTTGTGGCGCGAAACACATGTCGAAGTCAATATGTAAAAAACACTTCGGCTTCGGAGCACTTTTTGGAAGTTGAGATGATGAAAAAGTGTACGCCGTTGTGGCACGAAGCAAATTTTGAAGTCAAAAGGGCAAAAACTGCCAAGTTCGGAGCACTTTTTGACGTCAGATGTTGTTTTCCGTGGCAAGCGCAAGGGATTCTGCACGTTGCCAAAACTGAGCAAAAACGTGAGGATTTTGTAGCATTTTCAGCTACAACCACCAGTACACTACACTACACTACACTCCACTACACTCAATTACATTACGCTACACTACACTTCAGTACACAACCCTACACTACACTACCCGGTCACTACCCTAAATACAACTACAACTACAACTAGACTACATTACATTACACTACACTACACAACACTAATTACACTACACTACACTCCACTACAGTACACTGAATCACGCTACACTACACCTACACCTACAACTACTACTACAACTGCAACAACACTACATTACACTACGCTACACTAATTACATTACACTACACAAATTACATTCAACATTCAACTACGCTACACTGCATTACACTACATTACACTAACTACAACTACGTACAACTACAACTACATTCCACTACACTAATTACATTACACTACACTACACAAAACTACACTACACCCCAATCCACTACACTAGACTACACCTCACTACACTACACTCAGTTTTTTACACTACACTACACCACACCACACCACGCTACGCTACACTACACCAACTACAACTACGGCTACAACTACAGCTACAACTACAATACATTACAAAACGCTACAACTACACTACACTAATTACATCACACGAAACTACACTACACTACACCCTACACTTCACTACACCACACTACACCACACCACACCACACTACATTACACCACGCCACACTACACTCAATTACAGTACACTATGCTACACTACATTACTCTACCCTACATTACATTACATTGCATTACACTCATTGCACCACCACACATGCAATTGCAACTATACTGCACTAATTGCACTACCCCACAACTACAACTCCGCCACACTACAAGTACAACTACAGCTGCGTTACACCACACTACATCCAGCAGTTGCAGGTGACCATTGCAACCATTCCAAAAACACAGCTCCAACCACCTTTCGGTCCATCGGTGGATTTGCTCTGCCACCCGTGATTCACAACAACCAACCTCTCCTCTAGGTTTCCTATTTTTGAAACTTCCGCCACCGCCTTGTGCGGTACTACTGGTATGACATTGCATTATCTTAGCATTATATTCAGAGCACTCACGGTGAACATCATCTTGTACATGTGTGTGTGCGCGTGGGCATGCGAACCCGTGGTCACAGATGAAACCCAGAGGGATGGACGCAGCGGGGTTTGAGCCTGAGGGGCGTGTCACTCTTCGACATGACTAGTCATGTCCAACAGCGGGCCCCCAAAACCAGTTCGACATGAAAGATCATGGAAGCTGCATCCAGCCTGACCTCAAGTCATTGCTAACGCAAATCCAACTCTAGCAAGCTAACTTTCTTGAAAAACAAAACCAACATGAAGTGAATTGAAATGGTATGCTGTGAGTAGTGAAGATAACCATGTATTGCGCGATGCAAGTTGCAAGTGCAAGAGATGTGCAGCAACTTTGAAAACTTTACGCAAACTCATTCACCAAGCGGCAATGAGAACGTTGACAATGCCAAACCAGTTTGGCGTGTCAGACACATCCAAGAGGGAGGCGGTGGTGTCAACTTCCAATCCCAGCAATATCAAATTCAGGGAAATGAGGAAGGTGATTGCAATTGCGAACCAAGAAGAAGAAACAATGTCCTTCACGAAGGATCGGGTGCCTTTTCCCTGCTGCACATTCTCTGGCGCAGAAATGGTTTCGGCCCGATGGTTGGCAACCTCTATGGATCTGGCCCCATATTCAGCCATGTTTTCTCGCACAAATGATTGGGCTGCTGAACCCAATCGATTCAAATCTCCGTTTCCCTTCTCACTCACATGTCGCCCGGATGGTTCCCTGATTCTGGGCTGGGCCAATGCCCGTGAAGCACATTGTGCTACCATGGGTGCCATCTCCTGTAACAAACACTCCTGGTCATAGAAACGCTTCTCCACGAGATCATGCAAGGCTTGAATCTGCCCTCCTAAAGCCAAAAGAAGTTCGCCTGCATCACATGTGGCAAGGACCTCTCTCTCTGTCTCTCTCTCTCTGTCTGTCTCTGTCGTTACTACACATTGAATTTCTCGGGTATAGTAGCAGCGCAGCACTGAATAACAATATAACGTAAGCTGCTTTTCAGTGCAAGAAAGCAGATACGCAAAATAAAGAAAAAGGGTGCTAGTAATTGCTAGTATCATCCATAAACAGTAAACAATGTTTCGGGCAAAACCAAGCAACAGACTATTTTCAGATCCAAAGCGCTATCAAAAACTTTTACCTGGCCAAAAAGTTTTCATATAGTCTAGACCTGAATGGTGTTTTTCAGGTCAGGGAAGCAGCGGAACAGGCAAAGGTGCAATTTCGTTAATGGTTTTGACCCTGCTAACAGCACCCAAAGCCAACTGTAGGTCAGCACAGAAAGTCTCGGAAAGTAAGTTACCTCGTTTTTCAATTTTTCGATGTTTTTGTGTCGCTTCTGTAAGATTTCTGGGTTCCACTTCCGGCAGGTCAACGCGATCAGGCAGACCATACATGGGACATGCGGTACTCTTCTGTTCAACAGAGTATTGAACCGGGGTATACAACAAAGATGAACAAAGGATAACAAAGGGTGTTGAACGACTGCTATGCAAAAACAGCGCGGAGCAGAACTCAAAGAAAACATCTCCCTTTGCAATCTTTGTAGGATCCTATGTTCCGAATATTGCCCGCGCACCCACAGCATTCCAAGTTGGTACGGCCTCGTGCATGCAAAATGGCATTGAACGGGTGCTGAACGGGTGTTGAACGGGTATTGATGGTATTGGTCGGGGTATTGAACGGGATCTGGTGTCTCAGGGTCTCCTGTTTTCTGCGACTGCTGACGACCCGGCAAGGAAAAACTCTCTGCAATGAAAGCTGCTCTACATGCGGCAGCAATGGACCAGCGGGTCTAAGTACCTTTGTCAGGGTGTTGCTGGCTTGTAAACTGCTGAACTTGCACTTGTACGCTTGCGGTGTGGTGTGGCGCCGTCATCCTACCACGCACAGGGCTTTTAGTTAGACCTTCAAAAGCCATAGAAAATCGACAGTCTTCAAAGGCTGGAATGTGAACAAGACCTGGAAAAACCAAACGGCAAAAAAAAAAGCCTCGGAGGGTCTGCGGCGCCTCCAGTTGATTTGAGGCATTTTTTGCTTTGCTGAGGCATTTTTTGTTTTCTGAGGCGTTTTTGTTGTAATCCTTGTTTTTCACTATTTTCCTTTTTCTCTGCTCTAGATTGTTCTGGGATGGGTAAATGACAGCGGACATTTCTTTGATTTCAATACCTGCGAACGCAAAGCCTTGGCTAAATCCAATTCCAAATCTCAATAGTGTAAATAACTTAAAACTGGGGGCGTAGCTGCTGCGTGGCTAAAATCTGTCAGCGAGACTGTCATTGCCCACAAAATGCTGTCTCACTGGAATTGTTTGTTGCTTTTTGGCATTTGCAGCATATTTCCAAAAGGCAACGGAAGTGAATACGACAAAAATTGTTTTCATGAGGAAAAACAAAGGTAAACCAGGAAAAACTTGAAAAAACTGAAATTCAGAGGACAGAAAAAGGCGGAAAAGGGCGGGAAAACGGCGGAAAAGGACGGACTCTGAACATTGAAGTCCAAATCTTGCCGGAAACATGCCCAAAAGGTTGTATCACGGATTTTGAGTCTTCTAGTTTTCTTCTTGCCGTGAAATTTTGTTGAAAGCTGCAATCCAAGTGATTCAATGTCAATGAAAGCCAACGCTTCAAATGTGCAACTATGAACACATATATACTGCAGTAGTGGTGCCAAGGCCCCTGAATGTTGGCAACATGAGGGAATGATGCCCTATTTACATGATTTGGGGATCTTTGGAGTCAAGTATGTGAATAGGCAAACATCTCCCAAAGCATGTGAATACCAGATGATTCGCCAAACACGTGAATATCACATGATTGGATTGTTTGGGCTGTATATACTGTATATACTCTAGGGCTTGTTTTCTGCATTGTTTTTCTTGCAGCGTTCATTACATAGTGATGCTACTCTGTCCAACGAAGCTACGCATCAAAGAGGGAAGCATCCACTGGCCATGGATGTGCACCTGCACACATGTTCTAACAATGTTTTTCTGTGTCCATGAATCCTGTGATCCTTCTTTCACATTGCTGTTCGTTTCGATTATATGTTGCGAAATTTTCTGTCATTTTATGGCAACTGGGCTAAGCCACCCAGCATGCGGAATCATGCGAATTAAGGACGCAATAACTCAGGACTCCTCAAGGCGAGCACAAGGTCTATTAACAGTACCTCCACAAAAAATCCCAATCTCCAGTGTGTGTGTGTGCGCGGGGAAGTTCTGTAGGGTCTCTAGAATCTAGAGACCCTCGGGTGGAGGCAAGATGGTGGTGGCCTCCATTGTGCCAATTGCTCGTCAAACTCTTTTCTTCCGGAGGACCTTCCTTAGACTTTCCTGAGAATCCCAAGAGGCAGTCCTTTACTAATAGTAGGTTTGTCTGGGTGGTTCTGTATTGTGCTTCTTGTGAGATTTTTACCCAACCCCCAAATCCAGCATTCCTTTACAACAGCTCTTGCACCTTGCTGCCCACCATTCATCTGAAGTCCTTGGAATGCCAAGATATGCCAAGGTTGACAAACAAACACAAAGAAAAGAAAGAACAAAGCACAGGAGGAAAGAAAGGAAGACAGGGAATAAAGAACAAGAAGAACAATACGAAGGAAGAAAGGACAAAGGAAGAAAGTCAGGATGAAAGGAAAAAAGCAAGAAAGAAATAGGAACCAAATGGAACCAAATGGAACCAATGGAAGAACGAAGGAGAGAATGAAAGACCGAAAGACAGAAAACCATGGGACCATCCTATATTTACGAAGGTCGCTCCTCGAAAATCCTCACAAATCCTCTCCTTCATCACCCATGAGCCCAACAAAGAAACATTAATTGAAAGAAGATTCAAATAAAAACCATTAAAAACCCTTATCTTCAGAATTTCTTTACAAAGGAAAATGAATTGAAAGTAGAGAATCAGAAGGGTTAAAATCCTTACTTGGGCTTCTGACCCCTTGTTCCCAAACCTGGTACCAACATGTCCCATAAATGCCCATAATATATACATCGACATTCATAAAGTACTCCTCAATTGGTTGGGGGGGAGCGGTCTCCACCGATCATACGACCACGCCTTCATCGACACTCTTGGGCTTGACGACCCGGCTTTCCATGATCGCTGACCACACACAATGAGTAGGCCTTTTGGAAAACACTGCTGAAGTGGCTCCAGCTGAGCCAAGTAATCATGCGGTGCATTGCTCCAAAAATATGGCCATATATGGTGATGAAATGTGATGAACTGATACATCCTTCAGCAACTCAAGCTTCTGATATCTTATGATTTAATGTGACGATCTGGCAGCAACTGAACTTCATTCAGCAAGCTTTTTCTCGGGCCTTGAAAGTGGGTCGCCACCAATGGTCGAGTCACTACGCCGGATACGATGTGTGCAATCCCACATCCTAAACTTTCCCATCCATGCCCTCGGGATCGCAAATTCCCTCAACCAATAAAAATGAATAAAGACTATCATTGGGAATATTTTGGAAATATATTATAATATTATCTCATATATATAATATATAACTATAAATGATGAATAGTGACCCACGTGAAATACCTATCTATCCCGAAAAAGTGTGCCTTGACCCAATTTGCAACAGAATGGCAATGGAAGGTGTTGAAACAATTAACATCATCTAACCATATTCCCGCTGTACCAATACTTAGAAAGCGACATGCAAACTAACAAGAGCCATAGGCCCAGGCAGCTAAATGTTGTGCTACATGATCAAAGGTGGAAGGCAAACAGTTCCCTTGAAGAATCATGGAAAGGTTATCAGTATGGTCAACGCATGGCAACTTGTACTGTATGCACCCGGACTCTTCCTCAGCGATTAGGGGACTGATACAATCTCAGTCGAACTTGACTTGCGATGCTTTGATTTTTGCCTGATGCGAGACTCAATCTGAAAAACGAATGATTGTGAACGATCATTTCCTGTACTTTCCTCGCAGTCATGAACAAACACAATGCAAGCATTTTGGAAAAACATCGAAGAAAAACAATCATCTTCATGCATGAGAAAAAATATACAGGCATTGAATATATAATGATGAGATATTCGAACCAAGCATTGTCTTCAGTTCGTGGCAAAGGGTACTCCTAAATAGTCTCGATCTTTCCTTCGCTAACAGCCTTTGTTTGGCTTCTGTTTTAGGTTGCAAGAGTAAGGGCGGCAACAGATTAAACAACATCTTACAGCTTTGCCGCCAACCGTCCACCAAATGAACAAGAGGTGGACCATACCGGGTATGTTCTTTTGCAGTGTGGGGTCTTGCCAGGTGTAGTTTAAAATTGTATAGTATCTTTTTGAGAAAGGCGTATTTGTATTCGAGATCATCTTGGGACCATACCTAGGTCTCAATCGCAAACCGCGGCGCAACACAGGCGTGCACACGCACACACCATATAGATCACTAAAGAAAAAAAGAATCTTCATGCCTTTTTAAAACCACACAGGGTTTTTGCTTAATCCCTACCCCCTTTTACTAAACGTACCCCAAACACGGAAAACTAGGGTCCTTGATAAATTTTGGGAAATTTCAGACTGGTCAATTTGATTTTTAATTGATCCCCTTTGGAAAACAAACTAAAATTGAAGGTCCCATTTGAGGGCTTCACCCCCTAATAATAAAAACAAGTCAACCCCAGGGTCCGTCTCTAAAAATCGAAAAGCATTATATTGAGGTTGTTAATTTAATATTAGGGGAAAGCTTCAAAGTCCAATTTGGGCAATATGTTAATTGGATTTTAAATGGAAGATTAATGGATGTTGAAATATAAAATTCTAGCTTTCTATATTATATATTATATATATTATATATTATATTTATTATATATTATATTATATATAGTCTTTTTGATTCAACATTAGGAGAACGCTTGGAAATCCAATTTTTGGCAATATTTTAATTGGATTTAAAGAATAAATCTAATCGATTTTGACATGGAAAGTTTTAGTTTTTTAATATAAGGCTTTAATCTAAGATTAGGGAAAGCTTCGGGAAATCCAATTTTTGGCAATATGTGGATTGCATTTTTTAAAAGTAATCAATTATAAAAACTTCAATTTTTAATTTTTATATGACTGTATATGAATGCGTTTAGCTTCAAATATAAGGTTTCGCACCCTAATACTAAATGCATCTAAATACCTCCTAAATCCTCCTAATACTAAAAACTCCTCCAGGTGTTTATTATTTGTCATAGGGGGAAGGGATCAATGCAGTAGTAACTATGATATCACTCAGTTATCTACAGCAAAATCATGCAAAATCTATACAGTCAAGCACGATCCCTCAGACAGGGTGAAACACACAGAATCATCACACGTTGCGCGGTAATGTACAAACTCATTTTCCGATCATATGTGACGAGTTCTGTCCATCTAAAAAACGCTTTTTTGCAGCAAATTAGCAAATCTTGTCCGTCTCGTGCTGGATACAGCAAAGGTCTATCAGCCTGCCCAGTGATGATTTCATGAAAACGTAATTCTGCAAAAGAGTGTCCCTCTGAAGAAACCATTGAACATGACCCGTTTTCTCATAGAAGCAGCCATCTGACTTGATGTTGGCACCTGTAACAGCACTATATAGTTTTGTCTGAACCCGTTGGGAATGACATACTGGTCCGCTACAATCTGTACCAAGACCAGGCTGAATTTGTTTTTTTTACAAAAGCCATGGTCAAGACCCGAACTCAACCGGTCTGGCCTACAAACCAATTCAAGTACCTCAGCCAGTATAGGAGGATATGTGCTGGGCAATTTGCAATCATGAGACTGCAGTAGTGACCGTTTCAAACTATTGGGTCTCGCTGATTGTTTTGAACCACATGATGCAAGCAAGGACGAGTGAGGAAAACCATAATTTTTGTTTACTTCCACCAAATGGGCTCAATGAGCCAACAGTGAGCCTCTTTGCTCATACATGGGCTGAAAATTGTAACACCTCTTGCAGCTACAGGGCGAAACCACCGGTTTCATCCTCAATAGCCTTCTTCGCCTGCATGAAACTGTTCATTCTGAGTCTACGGACCGAGCCAAAATATGTTTTCTTGTGAAAGTCGCCCATGACTGTATGACATGCTACGATGCACTGGGTGAATTGGCAATTATATCAATTATGTTCAATTATGATAGAATGTCGAATACGTTTTGATCGTTTTGATACGGTCCCGGAGAATAACCCGAGTTGAGCAGCTTGGTTCATGTTGTGGTTCAGCGCCTGCATTTTCAAATCTTTTCGTTCCATCCCCTCGAACAGCTCTGCCACCTGACCTTTGCCGTGACGGTGTGGAATCCCAAATTAGCAAACCAAATGACGCTCACAAGTCATCATTTAAGCATTGACAATTTACAACCAGTGCAACACAAGAGGTTCCACTGAAAAAAATGAAATTCTGAATCCGGTGCTCCATATCCATGCACCTAAAGGGGGCAGCCTACACAGCACATTATATACCCAGGTTTACAGCAGCCTTTGGCTTGTTCTAGATTCTAGGTTGTTCCTATGTTGTTCCGTGAAACATCTTGCAACATCTTGCAAACTGGGTTTAGAAACGTTTAGAAGTTTAGAATGTTACAGTATGTTTCAACACCAAAATCTCTAAATACCATCCAAGTGATCGGAGTTGGCAAGTTGCTAGTGAACTCCTTCAGCTGCAGGATCTGTGCTAGCTTCCTCCTGTCGACTAGCACGAATTAGCACGATTCTTTTGGTATCGTGCACTTGTGATCACGTGTGTTCATTGGATGATATCTATCGCATATTTATTGTCGTCATAGAATTGTGACGTCCAAGAGCGGCCGGTACTCAATCTGTAGTCAAACAAGGGCGCTTCAAAAGACACAATTCAAGAGTTGCCTTTCTCAAGGAAAACCCGCGATACATCCGTATAATCAAATAATCTAGAATCATGTGTGTGAATATGTGAATATGTGCAGTAGTTTAACATGTTCCACGTCTTCTGCAACTCGAAGCCATAACTAGGGCAATACATCCACGCAATTGCACCACACGGCTTCATTGATCTTTCAGGCCTGTTATTGGCCAAGAGCTCAGAAGTGCGCGGCAAAAGCAACCGCTCACCTTAGCCAAATGATGTCTTCTATTGTGCCAACACCACAACATGAGCCAAAAGGTGCACTAATTAATTTGCAAGGTGCAACTGCCTTTCAAGCAAACAATGACAGCCGATTCACCCGAAGGTCTTTTTGCAAAATATTGCAAATAACATGCAAGTCGACAAGTAGCAGGCTTTTGAATCCTTTGAATTGCTAGTTTAGTTCTGCGCCAAAGCACAGCAAAATTCAAGTAAGCCATCTGGCACTTGAGTTTAGTCATAAGATATAATGATACCTTGTGGCAAGTGAAAACTACAACCTGTAGCCTTTGGGACGCCTCGATTGTTTTTTTTCTCAATACTTCTCGTCTCAGTTGATAAACTCAACTTAGCTTGCCAGGTCCCATTCTTTTAACTTTTGCAAATCTTCCCGAAAGAGTCAGTCGCAACGGATATCCGTTTGTACACAACGAAGGTAAGAAGTGAATGATCTTGTTGGAAATTCCCCGCAGCTTTCATTGAAACAACCCGAGTTGCGTCACAAAAGAGGATCTTGTTTTTGATTTTGAATCATCTTTCTGTATCAAGCCTTTGTAAGGCCCCAGAGCCCTAATGCGTTCAACATCTTTGAGCACCCCTCGCGTCCAAGCTGCTCAAGACCCCTCTGATTTGAGTCTCGGTGTCACAAATGCGAAGTGCGTTGGTGTAGTTGGGCAAGAAAATTGGAAATTTGACAATGTATATAATACATGGATTTGCTTAAGGAACCACCAAAAAATAAAAAATATTCCCTATAGATTGCCCAAGAAGTGGATTTCCCATGGAGAAAATAAAAAATCATCTTCAGCAAATCCAAGAATATGCAGGATGATATGTCTGTTTAAGTCTCTCTTTCTGATTGAACCCTGGACGAAATCTGCGACACAACAGCCAAACAAATCCAAAAAACAGTTTAAAGAGGCTCGGGCCGCACCAAGATTTCTGTCGCAAATGCTGCCTTGAAACAAATATATTTATATAATTTATATACATGTAGCAGCAGTTCATAGGCTATGAGCGATGGTAGCAATTCACAGTCAAGAGACCACCTTCCTCAACTCAGCTAGCGTTTGGCGGAGTATCTGATCGATATCGCCATTCCTCTGAAGCAAATGGTATGACCTGACCTCAGTCCGTAACTAGACTCTAGTGACATCTAGTGACTAGACTGTCAGTAATCCAAAGCCAAGGCGCCACACATCTCAAAGAAAAGCGTCTGATCACAAAGAGATCAAAGAGGCAAATAACAAACAAACAAATCTGGAGAGTGTTATGAACTGGTGCAGTGCAGCTTAGCTTCTGGTCCTATTGCCGGCACTGTGACCATTAAGATCAGCTGTGGCAGCATCTTCTCAACCTCCTTGCAGGCAACATGGACCTACCCTCTTCGCGTGATAAACGTGCTTAAGATTGTTTAAGCTTCCAGCCAACTTCTTACTTTTTTGACTAGTTGCGTTTGTGTGAATTTCTTCCACGTCCATCTGCAATGCATGATTGCAAGCTGTGATCTATACAGTAAATATAGCTGGAACCCAAAATTCCCCGTTTGGATATTTCATACAGCATTTCATTTTGGAACCTGTCGATCAAAAACACATGTTTAAGTTTAAATAGTATAGTGCAGTATAGCATAGTATTAGTATTAGCATTAGCATTGCCATTTGTATTATATAATTAGTTTAGTTGGCCACAGTTATACCTATAGTCCTGATGAGTAAATGTAGGCAGTGTAAAGATACCCCCTTTGCTTTCCCGCACCAGCATTTCGATATACCCACATGGCATCGCAGCAAATATAAATTGACACTCCTTCCTGTCATCGAGGCTGAGCCGAGCGACATTCTCCTTGAAATAAAACATTTCAAATCTTCCTTCATGAAGTGCTGGTGTGGTCCAATTCTGATGAGACTTCTCAGGATCTTCCTCACAGGGGTTGAACAAGCAGCCAAAGGGTCAAGCGCAGTAGATTGGAGAACGCTTTAGAAAAGTGTGCGCTTCACTCATGAACAGTGCCGTTCTTAAAGCAGCAAATGTAAGATCAGCATGATAAAACACAGTCATTAATGTAGTGTATATAAAGAATAATCAAACAATATCAAACAATATCAAACATAGCTTGTAGACTCTAGACTGATCCCTCCTGTCCTCACTCCAATCCTCAACTCCTTCGGGCTTTTCTGCCCAACAGGTCTTCACCAAGGATGACAGAATTGTGAAGATCTGCTCACTGGAGTATTTTTGCACATCCTGGAAGCGGCTGGAAGCCGCTGCAAGCGACATAACAAAGCTCAAACGGAGCTGCCAACAGCCGCTGGTTTGGCATCTGGGAGTACACAAGGCAACGATTCGAGTCTCGTCATTAGCAGATGACTTTTGCAGCCTAAGGCATAGAGAGGCCATGATTAATGGAAGAGGCCATGCCAAGCGATGCATCCTCTGGCTTCGTGGATGCACGGCTTGATGGGGAACACAAAGCGTCAGGGTCAGCCTGTCGGGATGAGCGAACCCCACGAGTTTTGATGTGCACCGCCCTGGCTGGCCCATTGAACAACTGGTGCTCACCGAAACACCGCAGCACGAAGGAACAAATAGGATCGATACATTGTGAATGCAAGGCAAACTCAGCAAGTGGGTTGTGTTTGAAATTGGTGCAAAACATTGCAAAACATGAATTCAAAGCTTCAAAGCAGCTGTAGCATTTGGATTGCGAAGTTTTTTTGAGTGAAACATACATGTCTCGCATTCTCCTGTTTCTGGTGAATTGTTTTTGGAAAAACAAACCCTTCGCAGCATACATCCAACAGACTAGAGAGGCATGCTAGTAGCTGCTAGTTGGCATCTCAGGCCTTCTCATCTTTGGGCATCCGCCTTAACCGAGGTTCCTCAAGGCATTCAGATTTACCTTTGTAGATTGTAAAGTCATTCCTGGTTTGTGGCGCAAGAACTGAATCAACAACTTACTTCTTCGAGAGGCTTTAAAACTATCAGAGTTCAATGACATTAACTCTTGTTTCACACAGTTGCATCCTGCAGCAAGATCACATGCACCGGCACACCATTTTTGTGGAATCTGGACCCCTGGAGTTTTGAGCAGAACATGATCGTGATTGATCATCATTATCATGGGGTTGGACGGTTGGAAACCTGATGAAATCTGGTGTTGAGTGCCCACACCCACTCGATGGATTCAGCAGTCACGCCATGCTTGCGATTGTAGTTCTCCTGTACGGAACAATGTTTTCAGTACAGGCCCTGTCCGCTCAAAAAAGCAACCCGCCTACATAAAGTGAGGGTGAGGGTGAATGCCGACATGAAACCGTGGATTGGCTCACATCATTAACATTTATGAATATCTAGAAAATATGCCTCGCTCTAAATCAGAATGTCCTAGTCACATTGGACATGGAAAATTGAGAGCTGGAATAAATGTATCTCTTGCCAGAAGAGGAAAAAATACTTCACTTCGAGCGGTCCCCCCAACGGACATATATTCTAACATTTTGTCTGACATGTATTTTGGCAATCTAGCGGGCATGTGTTCAAACAATTTATGCAACGATTTTTTTGATATTTAATCTCGCATACATTCTGACATTTTATCTGGCATTTTCTCTGAAATATTTTCCATTCTTTTTCGGCATTCTGTCTGGCTTTCTCTGGCACAGTGTTCGGGCCCGGCGGGGTGTAAAGAGCCTGCGAGCTTGCCATTCTGTTCAGGTCTTGCGAGGCCCAGAGAGCTGGGGACCTCGCGCTAGAGTGGCGGTGTAGAGGCTGGCGATGACGTTGGCTAGAGCTCGGCGACTTGGCAAGGAGAAGGAGGAGAGAAGAGGAAGAAGGACCAGCCTACATGAAAAAAACTAAAGACCCTCACCCGGCATGTGAGAAATACTTCAAAAAAATACATAAGATATAATCAATAGTAGTTGATTAGTAGAACAAACCGATGGACGCGAGTGCTTATGTGCATACACACGAACACATACACACACATACATATATATATATAATGTTATATATATATGCATATATATATATATATGTGTGTGTATTGTACATCGACATAAAGAGAGAGAGAGAGATCAGATAGATAGCGAAATTGTGTACATCATAGCCTCTACCATTCTGTCGCTATCTATCACATATGCATGTGCATACATTATATATTTAATAAATTATATACGCAGTGAAAAAATGTGTTATATATATATATATGCGAAGAATTAAATGTATACATAGTCACACGTATGCATCGTATGTGTATTCAGTCATATAAGTGTCCAATTCTATACATCATATACATGTTATCATATACATTTTAAATATAACAATAACATATGTGTATATATATTTATATATATATATGTATAGATATATATATATATAATACATAGATATACAATTATATGTGAATATGTGCAACATGCAGTATGCATCTCTGCACACAAACACAATGTAAATCTTCATAATAAAATGTGCATATCTAATCATATGTGCATAAACAAATGTATATATATATATTAATATATATGTATATTATATAAATATGTACCGTGAAAAAACATACTATATATGACTATTATAGACAGAAGCTGTTCATATCTTGGGCATTCTTGGACAAATCTGCATCATATTGCTCGTTGACTACATAATGGAAGGGAAACGCGTGTCCTGCCGAATGCGGCGCTCTCTGTGCTGCTTGATGCAATTGTCGACTGCGTCCTTGAGAAGACAGCTGGAGAGAGGGAGAGAGAGGGAGAGAGAGCCCACATCTACTTCAATGTTCATAACGTTGGCCATCACGAGCCAAATGCATCCAAATGCGCAAATCCAAACAAAATGGGCCAAGTCACAGTCGGCCGCCCATCTTCAGTGACGAGGAAGAACCTGAATCAGAACAACAATTGATCCAGCTGTCAAGTTTCTCGGTGCAAGGACATGTTTGGCTAGCAATGGCTAGCACTAGCCTCTTGTAAGATATTGTAAGAATCTTGGCTTTCTTTGAACCAATGAGATGAGCGAAAAGTCCATTTCCCACTGGCGTTTCTTCTGTGTGCTGGTGTTTGCATGAATCTAAATTGCAATTTACGATGGTGTGTTGGCCAATTGGCATGGATTTTATGGCGTAGCACCATGTCATGTAGCTCCCTTGCCCTGCTTTTGCATGCTTTTGCCAGGGAACGCTCTTCCTGATGCATGTCTGGCAGTGCGGCCCACCAGTTGGGTAAGAACCGCCTCCTTGGATTTAGGGAGAATCCGCCAGGGATCGCTAGCGCTGCAAACAATCCCTTGCCAGCGCAAACATTCCATTGATTGGTGGATGTTAGATGTTATTGGGAGAGACAACAAGCTCTGCACGGCATTTGTAGATGCTGAATACATGTCTAACATTTATAGACTTGCATCATGTACATTGATATCATTGATGCAGCCCCCCTCGGAAGCTCCAGCCAACCTAATTTATCAAAATCGATGCGACTTAATCGATACTTAATGCCTTGACTGTATCGGATCTCTTTCTTTGCATACACTCTCAATCACTCTCATATCTCTCATCTACGGGACAACCATTCATGCATTTCACTGGCATCGGCCCACATCGGCTTGGGAGACCTCCCAAGGCTGCTAGAATTCGAAACCTGCTTTAGCTGCTAAGGACTAATCTGGCAAGTTGGACCATACCCCATGCTAGGTGCATCTAGGTGCCTACCTGCAAATCCAAGAACTGACAACAATAAGACATCTGAATCATTTTGAATCACTGTAGGTTTGGCAGGGGGCAGTGCGCAAGAATCCACTGAAGTTGGCATCAGGGACAACAACCAGAGCAACTCCAGGAAGATCTAAGCCTGCAGGAGCGCAATGGAGTGCATGGTGTGGAACGCTGGAAAGCAGTGCCAACAGAAACCGATTGATTCTATTAATTCTGCTGATTCATGATCAATTATTATTGAATATATTGAATCATTATTGAACAATAGCACCATGTTTTGAACACATCACACTGCTATGGAACGCGCCCCGGTTTTCTTAGGGCCTTCAATCACCATCTTGGAACCGCAAAGAACGTCGAGCTGCCCGTTGCGGAACCTGATGTTGCCGGTGCCGTCCCAAGCATCTGGACATGCTGGAAGCACACTTGCTCCATAAAAAGTCGTGCGGAGTATTGCGGAGTTGTCTGAAAATTAGAAATAACATGAAATAACAAGGAGCTAAAGATTCAGACAAACCTGCACAAACACCCTCTCCGAGGTTCTCAAACGTGCTGGTAATTCGCGTGCATTGAATTTGCGCAACAATGCACCCAGCCCTCACTTTCTACATAACAATCCATTGCCAGCCAAACAGCTGTTTGAGAATTTCCATTTTCTCTTCTCTGGTCTTCTCACCATGTACAACGCCACACCTGTGGTCCACCTGCAGTGGCAACTTGCAAAAGTCTACAAGCCTATGCACAGCTAGGAAGCCTCGCACTTTCACTCAGCAAACCAGCAACATCCCGGAGATGCTGCCCCCTTCGCGAAATGACTTGATAGTGACTCTGACAGTCCTTCACACTTGCATCATCAGTCAACACCACTCAGCTGCTTGCGCTGATGAAGGAGTGCAAAATCTCAGCGGGGTTTCAACAGGAAAAGGATACTCGTTGTGGGGTCAACATGGCACAGGATCTCCAGACTTGGTGACCAGAGCAGTGTGGAGTCGAACATCACCAAACCATCACAATATTTATGTTGTTTCAATGTGTTTCATGTGGTTCCTACCGGAAATAAAAATCCGCCCACACCGCTTTGGCGGTGAAGGCGTGCTTATTGGGGGGCAACAGCAACACTAAATGCTCAATGACATTTGTTAATATAGCAGTCGCTATATCAGCTTTAGCTGGGGGGGGGCCCAAAAACGGTTTCGCACCGAGACCAGACCCCAAAAACGGTTTCGCACCGAGACCAGAATTCGGTGGTGTTTTCGACATTTTTCGAGGATTTTTGGGTGTCTGAGCGCAAGAGGGTATTGAAATGGAATTTTGGGTCATTTTGGTAGCTTTCCGGCAATGGAAAAACGGCCAAAAATGAAAAAAACATTGTACATAGCAAGATTTTGCAGGGTTTTTGGATGCCAGAGCATTGAAAACACTGCAAAAACAAGTGTTTTGGACTGACGTTATAGCAAAAAACGTGTAAATTACCGTATGCTTGACTGGAAACATTACAAAAACACTGTCAAAAGCAATGTTTTGGAAGGATTTACTGCCTTTATGGCAAAAAACGTGTAAATTACCGTCTGTTTGACTGGAAACATTGGAAAAACACTGTCAAACACAATGTTTTGCAAGGATTTCTTATATATATGTTGGACTTGGCTACCGGCATTGGAACATGGAAAAATTGAAGAAAACACTGTAAATAGCGGTATTTTCAACGGTTGGGGAGATAAGGGAATTGGAAGCATTGTCGAACATGATGTTTTCGACCGGTTTTATGGCGACAAAAGTGTAAAGTACCGTGCTTTGAAGGAAACCATTGCAAAAACATGGAAAACACATTCAAAGAACACGGGATTTGGGGGACTATCTAGGCGTCGTTGTCTAGGTATTTGAAATTCCGCAGCTTGGAGAGCCTCCAAGGGAGGGAAAAGTGAAAATTCCATAGCTTGGGAAGCTGTCACGGCGGGGAACAGTGAAAATTCCCTAGCTTGGGAAGCCCCCACGAGGGGGAAAAGTGAAAATTCCCTAGCTTGGGGAGCCCCCACGAGGGGGAAAAGTGAAAATTCCCTAGCTTGGGGAGCCACGGGGGGGAAAAGTGAAAATTCCCTAGCTTGGGGAGCCCCCACGGGGGGGAAAAGTGAAAATTCCCTAGCTTGGGGAGCCCCCACGGGGGGGAAAAGTGAAAATTCCCTAGCTTGGGGAGCCCCCACGGGGGGGAAAGTGAAAATTCTTAGCTTGGGGAGCCCCCACGGGGGAAAACCACCCTTAGCCCCTCTCACGGACCGAAATAAACCTGCGGTGTGGGCGGCCACCCCACGCGAAGCGGGGTGAATAAATATATGTGTTTCATGTGTTCCAATGTTGTTTCAATGTTGTTTTCAATGAGTCGGACTTGAAAAACGAAGTATCAAACACTTCTGAAGCTTCAGAATCGCAAACCGGCGAAAGCGAGGAATAGGTTTGTGAAGCAAAGCTATTTTGTTGTTGATGGTTGTAGGGCACAAATCTGGTTGCCATTTAAACACCACCACATACCACCACCATCAGAGATGTCTAGAGTCTAGAGGACTCTAATCCTTATTTAAATTGCAGAAACATCCACAGGGTTACTCTCCACGCTTAGAACTATTCATATCTTCTCCAAACAATCAACTTTAGGAGTTAGGACACACATCGATGGGATGCAATTGCAAGGTGCCCAAACACTGTGCTACTCATGGTTTGCCCCCCCCTGCAAAATCCTTCAAGACGGCCTCTTTTTTCTAGATACAAAATGTTAATGGCCAGGGACTCAAATCATCAACATCATCAACCGACTTGAGGATCAGAACCCGAAGACTTGGAAATGGACAAACATATGCTTGTATCATCTTGTGTCATCTTGTATCGTGTATCATCCTGACATCTTGGATAATATTCATGGTTGATCAAAGGTATATATATATATATATTATAAAGGTATTCAAAGGTCACAGGTCCATCTTTGAGGCACCCGACATCAGCCTGATTGCACTCGACTGTTGCCACTATGGCCTGGTCTTCAGGTCGCCCTTGGTGACTGCGACAAGAGTCTGCTGCAGCAAATTGCATTTTGAATCATTGGGATCTATACCGTGCATATACCGTGCATATACCGTGCATATCCTTTTGCAGGTGCATCCTTCTGAACGCAACCTTTTGCAGCTCTCTCTCCCTCTCTCTCGCTCTCGCGCTCTGATGCATATTCTAAGGGCAATGCTGTCCATAAGAATGGTTCTGACACTTCCAAGCAAGTTCCTTACATCGACCAGCGTTGTCTGCATTCCTATGCAGCAAGTTTCTTTAATGTGGCTGGTCACGCTCCTCAAATCAAACACGATGACTGATCTCATGACTCATTTGAGAAACTGGATGAACGTTTCACCACCTGCCAAATATGTAAGGAATTCGGGATGTTGCTTTAGCATGCTTTGGCATATTTCTAAAAACACGATGAATTAAATGCCTTGGCAAGTCACCAAAGGTCGTGCTGTGACCTTCGTTGCTCTGCTGATGGGTTCCATTTTGTGACAATCTTTGTGATCACCTGGGATTGAGACGTGATCTAGGACAGACTTGGGCCTGGGCAAATCTTTAGATGTCAAATGAGTTTCAAGATGTTTCCAACATAATCAACATATTCCAACATCACAAAACAGTCAAGCTCTTGATGACCAACATCACAGGCTTCACAGCAACCTGAAAGTATCTATGGTACAGTCAAAAAGATGTGGCTGGCCACAGCCGATGAGCACCATCCACCAATATGCCTTGCAATGCTGATAGTGCTGCAAAGCTTCAGGATCGCATATGTGCGTCGGTCGCATCTCCAATGAAACCATGTGGCCCAAATCTTCCTGCAATGAAATTCTGCCGGATTTGGACGCAGAAAATTAGAGAACAATTACTTTAGGAGTTTCCAGGTTACTCCTGAATATCTATAATTACATAATTAAATTTTATATATATATGATATGATTATATATATATATATATCATCTCTCTCTCTCTCTTTCTCTCTCTCTCTCTCTCTCTGAACACCATCATACCGAGTCATACCATAACCGGTGAGAATATGTGAGAACCACAGATCTTTGCGAAGGGCATCGATATCTGGATCTATCGCCCGCTATCTGGATCTATCTTCCATCCACAGTGTCTGCACGCAGGGAGTCCCAGTGTTGGCAAGCCTGGGATGGAGGGGTTGCAGACATGAAGAGCACCTAAGCTGCGCGCCCTGCGCTCGAAGCGCTCGAAGCATGCTGGGGTTGACAGCAACACAACCGAACAGGCCGAACAGTAGATGTTGTGAGCATATGTTGGCGATGTTGGGCCGTTGGGTTGATTTGGGAAGCCATGGGAAGCCATGGGAAGCCTAATGAGGCCAAAGCCACTGAAGAAGGCAAGCGATTCTGAATGTCTGCCCAGCTCAGAGGGCCAGTGTGTCTGTCCGTCTGCAACCTGAATCAATACATGGCATGTAGCATGGCAGTCTTGGCATATCGTGATGTCCAGAGACCACATATGTTTGGAGGCATGGTGCCGAAAAAAAACTAACTATGTGACGTGACTATATAGATCTATATAGTGACTATGTCACATCCTCACAAGGAATCGCAAATCAGGAGACATGTGCAGCTCGATGAGGAAAAAAAGGCAGCCAGCAAATGAGGGTCCACCAAAGCACGCACTCTGCATGTGCCGTGGGGAGCAGGGTATGAAACATGACTTTTTTTGAATGAAGCATCCACAAAACCAGAAAAACGTTGACACATGACTGGGAAGGGACCAAAACTAAGGGTCATTAAGGCGGTCATGATGCAAAAGTTATCGCTATACGTAGTTCACTATATCGCTTTGCATGGAAATCACGTCCGTTACTGTAATTATATATAAGTAGTTCACCAGGACCTCTCATGTAAAGGTTTCTGCATGGACCTTTTAGGTCTTTGCTTACGACGTATACACTGACACATGCACTGGCATCATCTCATAGAAAGCAGTTGCTACCCCCTTGGGTGTGACCCTCCTTATCTGGCGGTGGGAGCAGGTAAGTCAAATAACTGCTCTAAAGAGCCCATAAAGGCCTCAGAATCCTTTATACAAGTAGTGCCTCTAAAACCCCTCATCATCCTTTATAGTGACTCTTACACCCTTCATAATGGCTCTCAATCCCTCTTGAGTGCTCTTAACACACAAGAGGCACGGACTCAACTCATAACTCGCTCATATCAGCTCTCAAGTGACTCTTTTGGTGATGCTCTAAGCCCGGGCTTAGAGCAGCTAAGAGCAGTTTTCAGATGGGGGGTCAAATCAATGATACCTGCTGTTTTACAGGGTTTTGGGCCCTCACACCAACAACTAAGCAACAGGTTCCGCTCGATTTTGGGTGCTGTTCAAAGTGGCTCTTCGAGATGACGGGGGTCAGATACAGAGTGCTCGCTCCTTTTTCTTGTGATCATCTGGCATCAAAACTGATCCATTTACCAACATATTGTCTGACATATATCATATATCATCATATTATATATCCTGGAATATCCTGGATTATGTCGACATATTGACTGACAGCCAGGGTTTGTTTCATTTCTACCAAATCAATAGATCCCGATAGTGGTTTTATCATGCCTTTGCAATCCCAAAAGGTGTTTGATCCTCGGAATCAGAAACTTGGTCTGATATCTTTATAATTCTTTATATCTGAATGTATCTGAATCATTCTGAATCTATCCCCTGCATGGTCGCGAACGCATGCGCGAGAATACATCAAAATGCGGCATCGAATCATGACTGCGGCATGTGCAACGTTGCCACGATGTTGCCACGAATGGTAGTGCAAAGGTTCGAGATGGTTCGGGTGCAAATTTGATCCATTCTGTCGCATATCGGACATATCGCATGCCCACAGCATTCCAACACTTTTTAATCTAAAGAAGTTCCAAGGGAAACAAAATCCAATAAACCCATATAAACCGACAAAACCATCTTATGATGGAATTAAACGATCATCCGAGTTGCAAGGTACGTCGCATGCGACCTTCCGCCACTTGCTTGATTACCTCAACGCGGGTGTCTTCGCTCTCAGCCGGAACATGACATGCAAAACCTGAACCCATCTGAACCACACATATATCATCATATATCCCAAACGCAATGGCTTCAATATGCTTTGATAAATTGACGTTCTTGCGTGGGGATGTGTGGGGTATAACATCCAGGAGCCTCCTATAGCTATATCGGATCATATCGGATCACAACTGCCCTGGGAAACCTGCGCAAAGCATTCAAAGCGTTTGTCACTATTGTTACTTGAGTTGTCTTCTTCAACCTAAGTGATTTGGGTACCTATTTCTAATGGGAATCCAAGAAGCTCGAGTCCTGTGTGCTGCATGCGGTCCCTTCATGGCAGGCACTGTGCTGTGGCACTCGTCGACTATCATCAGCCAGTCTCTGCCATAGCACTCCTTAAAGTTTGGAGGAACTCACACGCTGCCAAACACCCTTGAACACAATTTGAACATCCTTGAACAATCCTACAAACATAATCAATAGTAAACCATTAGTAATCCCTTGCTCTGCGTCACCTCATGGCTGGTTTTTGGACTTGCAAAACTGATCGCATCACAACATGTCAAGGTCCTGCCATTGAAGGCAACTGTGTGATGTCTTGAAGTCAGTGCAACAGGAACGGCATCATAAAGGCACAAGATAGGCACACGCTTCCTTGACCCCCAAAGTTGGTGCACTAATATCATCTAATATCACTTCCACCGGAGGCACATTCATCTTGTCGATGAAGGTCCGCTTCATCCTTTTAGGCAAAAGGTCGTCGTAAAACTCCTTGGCAGCCAACGGCAAGTTGGCCGAAAACAGTGGGACACAGTAAATGAGTGAAAGCCTCTGTCCGAATCTCAGCTAGCAGTATCCTTGCATGTCAGCCAAGCAGCAAAAAGGTTAGGGCAGGTGCCTTTCGTCTTGAGGCTAGTGATATCTGCCTCTGCAAGTCTGGCATGCAGCCGCGTGCGCCCAAAGAATGCTTGCTACTGTTCATCCTTTTCAGATTTTAAGCGTGCATCAATCCATCAATCACACTGCCCAAGCCACAATTCAAAATCAAGCCACCGTTCATGCCCAAAAATGCAGAACATGACAGGAACATGGTATGGACAAAGAGGTACGGGTAGCTTGCAGAGTACTACAGCACATCAGAAGGAGAGCAACCAAACTGCCAAAAGTGACAGCATTGTGGACACTCGGTCTGATGGTGCCGTTCCGGCCAATGTCATGCGATGTCATGCGATGTCATGCGATGTCATGCGATGTCATGCGATGTCATGAGTCATATGAGTCATGCGATGTCATGCGATGTCATGAGCATGCCGAAGTTACCACCGTCATGTCAGCATGTCGCCAAAACATGTCAACACATGTCAAAACTAGCTAAAATAGCAAATGCCGCTGCATGCTGCCATTCAAGTGTGACTTCCCCTCCAGGCTGCACGCCTCGATTCGGCGTCGCAATGCTTCAGTGCGACCTGACCGTTTGTTGCTTCACTGTATTCAACTCAACACACCCGAAACATGCAACAACTCCTATGCAAGACAGCTTCTAATTCCTTACAACGACCAATCCCACAAGGAAATTAGGGTCATCCGAAGACGAGATCTGCAAAACGGATCAAAACGGTGCAATGATGTTGCGTATAAACTGCATTAGTCACGGTGTGATGGCAGGATATGTTGGGAGGGGCAACTGCAGTCATGTGGCCACGAGTTCGGACTGTTATATCATAATCGGCTAGATCGTGCACTTCTCGCTGCAGTTCGTCGACCTTAGATCTAACCTGAAAATTCTGAGGCCCAACTGTCGCCCAGTGCTGCGCAGAAAGTTCCAACTTCCAACCCTTCACTGGTTTGCCAATGATTGCCGACTTGTGGCGGTAGGGGGGATCATAAAGCACAATCCAGGACCCAGGACACTGACGCAACACCTCGACGTAGGAAATTCCGGAGATATGTTGCAGCCGCGTGTCAATGCGAACAATTTCCTCTTTGGTCAAGTCTCCATCACCCTGCACAGAGAAGAATGGCTATCGGGGCAAGAAACCACAAACAGTCGAGACATTGGCAAAAGCCTTCAACTTGTCAGTTTTTCTCAAGGCCACACTCTAAAGCACCTGAAAGCACACTTGAGGATACTATAGCTTAGCATGCACTTTCATTCAAGACATCGGCTCAGGAAAAAACATAGTGTACGTATGTGTGGTTACTATACTTTGTTCCTATTCGATGACCCCTGATCATCTCTATATCAAGGATCTCTTCGGGCACAATATCTTCGGGACCTTTCTAATAGTGTTGGATCGTGTCTTGCCTCTCCAAGCCGCATAAATAATATAAGCAGAGATGTTCGATATTCTCTTTGTAGGCAAAGTCCCGTCGGCATATTCATCATGTTCATCGTTTCTTCATTTTTCTCGCTAAGATTCTATGCATGACCATCAATCTTTAATCAGGTACGCACACACACACACACCCACACACACAAACACACACACACAGACACACACACACACACATCGCACACACACATCGCACACACACACACACGCACACACACACACACCTCTGAGACCTCCTAACTGTCTCGCGAAATGAAATTGGACAGGGGTGACAGGGCACCCCCCAAAAAAAAACGGCTCCGGTGTCAGGCGCCTCGTCGTCCGCAAGAAGAGAAGGGCAATCTTGGAGACCGCAGACAAAGGTCATTCCATGTGTTTCCGCATCAGGCAGAATGACAGTGTTAACAATTCATGGCTTAGGGAATTCAGGCCCGAACGCATTCAAAATTCAGGTGATGAAAAAGGTTGATGAAGAAACACAAGAACATACTGTATCAGCAGGGCAAAACCAGGATGATTCCACGCCAACCGAAAAGTGAACTCGATGATAGATGCCAACAGAACCAAAATAATATTTTATGAAGCAGGTGCCACCAAAGGACAGAATAGTGAAGATGTTGAGGAAGTGACAATGCCTGATCGAGTGAGATCGGCTGGCCATGTCTGTTGCTGGCACTCAGCTATACTCAGTTGCATGATGCAGGAAACATCCTTCATGCGGCCGTTCAAATTAGGACCCCTCTGTTCGTTCATTGATATTGCGCCATAGTGTGGACTAGATGGATGTCCTGGGAACTCTGATCCACTCAAATGGTGGCGTGTGACTAATCATTTCATTATCTTTAACTACTATCATTATCATGTCTATCATGTCTCGATCAGCAAGTAGTTTTGCCAAACATGTCCGTATGTTGTGTTGCAATTACAAAGAATCATGCTGACAGAAAGCAGCGGGGGTGCTAGCGGCTAGCGATCACAACACGAGTTCATCCAATGATCACATTCAAAGGGAACATGCTCCAACCGCCAATCATCGTAATGCAGCTTTGTTGCAAGGATCTCCTGGCCGAAACTGGCAGGACTTGTTTCTGATTTTTTTTGTATATTAAAAAATAACATGCACCTGGTTGTGGACATATGATGATATAGTATGTGACTGTGATTGTGCCTTTGTATGTCACAATATATCAGGGGCTTTGCAGGTGCCTACTTGGCACTTCAATTTCCATACACTTCTTCGACAAATCAAAACAAAAACAGACTGCGGACAGCGGTAAGCAATGAAAAGTTTCAACAATCTAAAGAATCCTCCGTTCACCGCAGCAATCGTGTCGATCCGGATTTGCTTTGCATCCTGGCTTGCTTGCACCAATGGGATCTCACTACCCGCACGCTACTTGGGAGTTAGACCCTCTGACGCACTTCAGACGGAATAAGAAGACCCATGTCCTTGAGTTGACAGAAGGGAAAATCTAAAGAAACTAGGTTTCCTGTAGATTCTAAATTTTCCTTCCAACCGACCCATTCAATACACTTGAAAATGATATGATTAATTGAATGTTACAAAACTAATGTTGACATTGCTGATGCATATTTAATATTGACATTGACTGGCCACAGTTTCTGCAGTGTTCCTACACCTGCACTCAAAACCGCTTGCCTTCACTTTTGTCTCAGCTTTGCGTCTCGGCACCGTGACCTAAATCCATTGGATCCTGACCAATATGCATGGGCTAGACATGGGAAATTGGGCCCAGAGCATCGGCCAGGTGAACAGGTGAATATCTATGTGACATGTAGTCAAGGCAACTGGGAGAAAACTGCGCAGATTAAAATTCTTCTTTGCCTTAAATCATTGAGCTTACTTGCCTACAGAGCGCAACGATAAGCAGAATACGCCTTGGCCTTGGGCCTGGCAGCTGGCACTTCCGATCTAACTGCCTCAGATCCGGCTTCAAGGTTCCATTTTTCGCCGTCCGTCATGTTGTAGTGCTCCGTCAGGCCGCACAGCTCAATCACTTGATCTGGGTTGGCACCAAAGTCTTGGAGAAGGATGATCTGCAACAGCTTCTTCTTCCACAGCGGATAGTGGTAGAGCTTTCGACCCACCTCATTGCACAAATCCGCACTTGCTGCATCTGACGAACGTTCAACCGTCTCATGTTGATGGCGTCCATCACATACCAACGGCTCCAGCATCGCCGCCACTGCCATAGATAATTTCATGAACTTCCACTTCCTGTGGGTGTTTCCAGGTCTCCACAAATTCCAACATCTCTTCCAAACTCCAGGCCTTGCTTCCATTCGAAGACTCAAAAAGATAGTGCTTGCCAAGCGCCAGCTGTCGATTGGCCAACTTGAGACACCACCGCACCATCGCTTTTGCCATTTCTTGTTCTCGTATGACAGCTTCTGGGCCTCGGCGGGCTTCCAGAGGATGCATAGCTTGAAGTCGGCTCAATGGACCACATGGAGGTGTCATCACCAGCACTTCCGGCGGGGAGAGCTGCAAAATTTGCCCTGCCCGGCGGGGATGAATTGGTTTCTTCCAATCCCAGCCATCAGACAAGTCAAAGGAGCCCATGGATTTAAAACCGAATCCTGCCGCCAGTTCTGCAAAACGTCCTGGGCTGAAAATCTCCATGATGGTCAGCTTCTCATCTTCTCTCACGGTCATCACTTCATGCAGCTGCTTCCAATGAGCTCCCAGGCAAAGCAACTCAGGTTCGTCTTGATCCTCCTCTTCGCCGTCCTCCTCCATCTCTTCAACGGCAACCTTGGGAGCCAATCTGGCCAAGTTTTCAGCTTTCACCATGAAAACGTCCACCTCCGGTGTTGTGACAGCAGGAGTTGGGGTCATGTGTCCAACAAGTCAGTCCACTTGGCACGACCCATCAGGTCTTTCAACCATCTTTGTCGTGACTCACCACGCTGAGGTAGATCTCATTGCTGTCCATCGCCACTCTTGCCCCCAAACTCTTCAGGAACCGCTTACTCACCAGCAATGGAACGTCTCCAGGAACCACATGCAACCGTATCCGCATTTCACGGCCTCTGCATGAAGATGGGCACCTGCACCCTGCGGCGGGAGACATCTGCTGATCCATTGCCGTACCTGAATCTATGAGGTTTGGTGGCCAAATCCTCAATGTGTAGACCGCGTTTGGAAAGTGCAGCTGTGTGACGTTTCAGCGTCTCCTCTCCAACCACTCCTCTGCCGCATCCTGTGTCGGCTACCCCAAATCCAGCAGGGTGGACTAGGTGGCAGGCTGTTTCAGCAGCATCGAATTCCTCATCCTCACTTGGAGGTTATTCATGGATCACTTTCTCATTCTCAGGCTGGAGCTTCGGCTCTTCCTCCTCTGGCTGATCATCGACCATCCTCTTGTAGAAGATGGTTTGACCATGTTTGACCAATCCATTCCTCTGCTGTCAGCCTCCTGGATTCACATGGATCACCATAGATTCGATCTTGACCTGTTTCTCTCCTGCCGTCCGCATAGAACATCTCTGTGGTCCTATCGGCAAGCAGCTCTGAACCATCTGACGCAAAACATCGCTTCCTGGGGACCACGTGCTCACGGATTTGCCTTCCACCTGCCAGTAGTCTCTAGGACGATTGGCCCAGCCCTGCATCAGCAAGATCACTTCGTCCTCGATGTCGTTGCTCATTGATCGAACCGCTCACTCTGGCTGTAGAACTGGTTGAACTGGCCACAGATCCTTTCCCCTGGCCTTTTCTGCTAAGGCAATTGCGGGAGAAGTGACCCACCTTCTTGCACTTGAAGCACCTGACACGTGCCTCCATCTTCTTCAAATCTGAGTCCCTCCTCCAAAACCCCTTGACGTTTTCTCCTTGTTGATCTGACTCCTGGTCTGCTTCCATGTCATCAAAATATTAATGGCATCCCGCTCCTCGATGGGTTCTGTGGAGCCGTCATCGTCAAGGGCTTCCTCGACTGCATAGATCTCGTCCTCAGCAGGCACATAGTCACCCTCAGGGTCATAGAGCTCGTCAATCTCCACTGGCGCTACAGGCGCTGCAGCGTTTCCAGCATAGAGCCCTTCCGGGTATGTGGTCTTCAACGCCGCCGCAACGTCTGCTTCGGCGTAGGACTGCCTAGAGGCAGCCAGCACCATTGCTATCTCTTTTCAGCGCTCAACTTGGCGGATCATCTGGAAACTTCACTCTTTCAGCCTCCGCAGCACTGAAGGCTGACTTGGCCTTTCCAGTGAACACCGCCGTAGTCTCCCCACGTTCCACCTGGAGGTCAAAGATGTTGTCTAACACCTCCTCAATGCGGTCGTGGCTAGCCTCTTCTGGGAATCGGTTGTCCAGCACCTCATAGATCACTTGCTGAACCCCTGCAGTCTCGATCTCATCCATTGCCACTGAATCGAAAGCCCGCAAGGCTGTTCCATCCAACAGTGCTTCTTCAGGAACCCCTCGAGCCTTCTGCGCCGTCAGATACGCTCTGGTCCACCTCTTCCATCGGCGGTATTCTCCCTGAGCATCTTGACTGTCGCTGGCAGACCTCTCGACATAGCCCTCTTTCCCTCCATCACTTGTGCTCGCCATGCCCTCTGTCAGTGCTCCCCGCTACCAGTATTGACTGGTCACAGTTTCTGCCGTGTTCCTACACCTGCACTCAAAACCGCTTGCCTTCACTTTTGTCTCAGCTTTGCGTCTCGGCACCGTGACCTAAATCCATTGGATCCTGACCAATATGCATGGGCTAGACATGGGAAATTTGGCCCAGAGCCTCGGCCAGGTGAACAGGTGAATATCTATGTGACATGTAGTCAAGGCAACTGGGAGAAAACTGCAACGGATGCATGCGACTTGGAGGGTATAAAATAATGCCTCTGAATGGAACGATGTTATGTTCCAGCCAGCGCCATCCAGCCAGCGCCAAACCAAAGAAGCATATATTTCGGGTGCCTTCATTTCATGCCTTCATTTCATGCCTCTCTCTCTTCACATCTATTTATCTATTTATCTATCTATCTATCTATATCTATCTATATCTATCTATATCTATCTATATCTATCTATATCTATCTATATCTATCTATATCTATCTATATCTATCTATCTATCTATCTATATCTATCTATCCATCTATCTATCCATCTATCTATGTATCTATCTATATCTATCTATCTATCTATCTATATCTATCTATTCTATCTATATCTATCTATATCTATCTATATCTATCTATCTATCTGTATCTATCTATATCTATCTATATCTATCTATATCTATCTAAATCTATCCTATCTATCATATCTATCTATATCTATCTATATCTATCTATATCTATCTATATCTATCTATATCTATCTATATCTCTCTATATCTATCTATATCTATCTATATCTATCTATATCTCTCTATATCTCTCTATATCTATCTATATCTATCTATATCTATATATATCTATCTATATCTATCTATATCTATCTATATCTATCTATATCTATCTATATCTATCTATCTATATCTATCTATCTATATCTATCTATATCTATCTATATCTATCTATATCTATCTAAATCTATCTAAATCTATCTGTATCTATCTATATCTATCTGTATCTATCTATATCTATCTATATCTATCTATATCTATCTATTTATATCATATCTATCTATATCTATCTATATCTATCTATCTATATCTATCTATCTATCTATATCTATCTATATCTCTCTATATCTATCTATATCTATCTATATCTATCCATTTCTATCTATATCTATCTATATCTATCTATATCTATCTATCTATCTATCTGTCTATCTATCTATCTGTCTATCTATCTATCTATATATCTATCTCTATCTATCTATATCTATCTATATCTATCTATATCTATCTATATCTATCTATTTCTATCTATATCTATCTATCTATCTCCCTATCTTCGATATCTTCTCTCTCTTCTCTGTCTTCTCTGTCTTCTCTATCTTCTCTATCTTCTCTATCTTCTCTATCTTTTCTATCTTCTCTATCTTCTCTATCTTCTCTTTCTATCTATCTATCTATCTACCTATGTACCTATCTACCTGTCTATCTATCCATCTATCCCTCTATCCATCCATCTATCTATCTACCTATTATATATTTACATATGCGAATGTATAGACAATTAAATACTTAAGGCCAAAGGGACCGGGACGAAAGCTAGTTGGGCAAGGAGAAATGTGCATTGAGGGAATACGTGCCGCGACCTTTTGAGTCTCAGTTTTTGAATGGAAATCAACTACCATTCGATGTTGCTGACACGTTAACAGCAGAGCATTATGATATTCTTGCTCGCATGCACCATAATCATTCCACAACCCTCCCCCCTGACATCCTAGCATACCAGTGATACCAGCGTCAACACTATGCTCCAACCGAATGCGCTTCGGTTGAGCCACTTTGCAACCATCTGATTGGACCTCTTTCCCTCGGCCTTTCCTTCCTTTTTCCTGTGTATGTAAAAATATCTATATGCATATATATATATACATAATATCCATCGAGCAAGAAATGCTTGGGAATCCTAGGATGCGCATCTTCCATTCCTCGCCAAGACAAACAGGGTCATGTTTTCATGCAGACATGTTGGGGAATGCAAGACTCTGAGTGGTTGTTCTCGCGTTACATCGCATTGCATTACAGTTCATTACATTACATCACGTTACTTTCCATTAGATTACATTACAGTACGCTACATTAAGTTACATTACAGCTCATCAGAGTAGATGACATTACATTAGGCTACGTTACATTAGATTAGGTTACATTACATTGCACTAGTTTAGGTTCCATTGCATTAGATTAGATGAGATTAGATTGCATTACATTATTGCATTACATTGCATTACATTCAGAACACCCACAGCGCATATCATCTTGTATAGTATAGATTATAGATGTGTGGGCGTGGGCAGGCAAACGCATGCTCACAAATAAAACCCAGCGGATCCCAGCGGGATGGATGCAGCGGGTTTGAGCCCCAGGGGGGGGCCCAAAAGAAGTTCGACATGAAAAATATTGGCAGCTGCGTTCAATCTGCCCCCAATTCATTGCTAAAGCAAATCGAACTCCAGCTAGCAAGCTAGCTTTCCTGATAATTTTATATGATAATGAATACTTATATAGGTTGTAATATATGCATGTATGTATGTATGTATGTATGTATGCATGGATGGATGTATGTATGTATGTATGCATGTATGTATGTATGTCTGTATGTCTGTATGTCTGTATGTCTGTATGTCTGTATGTCTGTATGTCGGTATGTCTGTCTGTACGTCTGTATGTCTGTATGTCTGTATGTATGTATGTCTGTATGTATGTATGTATGTATGGAGGTATGTATGTAATGTAATGTAATGTAATGGTATGGTATGGTATGGTATGGTATGGTATGGTATGTATGGTATGTATGGTATGTATGGTATGTATGGTATGTATGGTATGTATGGTATGTATGGTATGTATGGTATGTATGGTATGGATGGTATGTATGGTATGTATGGTATGTATGGTATGTATGGTATGTATGGTATGTATGGTATGTATGGTATGTATGGTATGTATGGTATGTATGGTATGTATGCATGCATGTATGGATGGATGGATGGATGGATGCATGGATGCATGGATGCATGGATGCATGGATGCATGGATGCATGGATGCATGGATGGATGGAGGTATGGAGGTATGTATGTATGTATGTATGTATGCATGCATGCATGCATGCATGTATGTATGTATGTATGTATTTTTAATCATGAGATTATTTTATGTAATTTTAAATATTACATATTTTTTGTATATATAATTATATTAAGTTGTAATGTTATGTGATATATATCTTTATTGAATATGATTGACATGCTGTTGATGTGTGTAGTCTACCCTAGCCCATGGCCCCGCTGACAGCTCACAGGCCTCGTCAATGATGCGCCGCCCTTTCTTGACCTCACAGCTGGTGAATGCAAACAGCCCTCAGGTTTCATGACAAGACATACAGTGCAATGAGGGCAAACGGGGCAAAGCGTGCCTCGATAATGCCATTGGTTTCAATCACTTCAGGGGCACTGTAGCCACCTGAGGAATGCCATGGGGTTCCAAAGGCAGGGCCGCCGGCGCCGGCAGGGGTCCTAACTCCCATATGGCCCCTGGATGTCGCAGGCTTACAATGGCAATGAGTCCTCTATGTCATGGCACTATTTAAGCTGAGCAGCTGATCTGTGAGATGAATACCTGGGAAATCGTATCCACAAAATCAGCCGCAAAGGCACATTGAAGCCTTGCAATGTGCGCGCTGTCATGGATTTTCATGAATCATGTGCAGCATATCGCTTGAATGGTTCTGAAAACCACCCTGGACTCCAACAACACCGAGGGGGAAACTGGTGCCGAAATCCATTTGAGTCACCTCGTGTTTGGTTTTCGTCTATTTACAGTAACTCTCCACTTAGCTTTTTATACGGTGAGCCTGTGGAATTTCTGCAACTCTCCAGTTTCATAATTGCAAGTCTTACCGGTCAAATCGTATATTATATATATAATATCGTAAATAAAAAGTAGAAATGTTCCATGCATCCAAGATTCTGCATCGCCAGCGCCTGTGCAAAGTCGGATGTTGGCAAAAAAAACAGTGGATCCATGTGGATCCTCATGAATCCTCATGGCCTACACAGGCCTACCATGTTTCATATGTTTCAATACATATGTCATGTTCTTTATGCAGTACTATGGTCATGCATGACTGTATTTTTTGAAAAACTGTTTCATGGGTTATGACGTGATAAAAACCATTCTGCTGACTTGCAAACCCGCATTCTCCTCCACACTCTCGATGCAAGGTGATGTCAAACATCAAGGAGCCACTCGGATCTGCCTTCACCGGCACCAGGACCAGGACCGCTTTGGGCTGCATTCTGAAAATGACCTTGTCAGTTGACGTCCAGCTCTTTGGATATCTTTAGATCATTTTGGGATGGGACCTTTGCTAGTGATGCTAATGATTTTGTCTCATCACAGACGCACAAGGGTTTGGACGACTACATGGCACAAAAACTCGCAAGCACTCATGGTCTCAAACAACGAATTCTGCCACCAACACCATGTCGACCGGATCAACAGGATTGAACAAAGAAACACAATGCAATTATTCGATCAATTGAATGCATCGTTGCAACAATGACAACATTAAAGCATACCCAAAAACCACCGACCCCAACAACAACAACAACAACAACAACAACAACAACAACAACAACAATGAAAGCAAACAACAAGAACAAGAAGAACCAGAAGCGAACAAATGCTAATTATTATTCATAATTATTCCACATTCCACATTTGTCTTCATCACTATCATCCTCAACAACAACAACACGGAGAATAAGATACAAGGACACACTGATATGCTCTTCAGAACCACCCAAAATACCACTCTAGCAAAATCATGCCAACAAAACGGCCGCTATCCACCAACGATCAACATCGATCAAAAACATATGTGATAAATTGTCATAATCCTCACAACAGGTGCTTAGGTCTCACCAACCTGAACGCTGCCGGTACTTGTTTTTGCAGGTTCAGCATTTGGAGATGAGATGATACATGATGATACTGGTATATCATTTTTGTACAGTTGCAGAATGTTACAAAGAAATAGTCGTCGAGAGTGGGTTTCAAGGACATCCAAGTGCCTTCAAGAATTGCAACAGTGTATAAACAGATCCACCTTGTGATGTAGCTACCAACCAACACCACTATCCAGGCTAAGTCAGACAAAGTTAGAAAGTCTGAGATAACTACGGTGCAATCCCATCAAATTGCGTTTGAATCACACGTTCACGAGGGTTGGAGTAGGCTGGAAGTTGGACTACTGTCCGCAAATCATTTCAAGGCACATTTGAAGCTACCCAGGTCTTTCCAGAACCTGTCGAACCATGCAGCGTGACTTTTTGTTCAGCCTGCAACAGCAAGGGCTGCATCAGAACATTAAAAGAATAAACGGCCTGCCGCAGTGTAAATCAATGCCACCATCCTGTTCTGTCAGGTATGACCATGGGACTAGACTACAGCCATGCCTGGAACCTCTCCATGATTTCGTTGACTGCTCGTTCTTGTTCTGCATGCAGCCTTTTTGCCTGTCCATGAACTTGACTTGACGCTGTGGAAGTATGCGAGGAATCCATCAAAGAAGCAAACCTAACATGCAACAAAATGCGTAGTGTCCTTTACTGGGGACTCCCCCGCCTGGCTAAGCCGAAATCGTGGCTGCGTAAGTGGCAGCGTTGTTGGCCTGGTGGCGCTGGACCCAGGTTTGGAAGTGATATGATATGAAGTGATCAACTTGCTGCTGCAGTCGCGCAAGTCTCAGGCCTCAATATCTTCGCACCCGCCCTGGCGATAACAACCGCAAGACGCGGTATCGAAGAAATCGTCTGGGAATTTCTCCGACTGAACATTTGTAATGCATCTTCCCATGTTTATTTATCTTGAAAACTCCATTCTTCAAGCTTAGGCTTAGCTAGTATATAGTTGCAGCATGTTGCAGCTAGTTGCATCAGTGTGGCTTCGCTCGAACTTGCATCCAAACATGCCCAGACTTCTCCAAATTGCCACACAAAGGAATAGCAACTGACAATCATGTGTGCCCTTCGGACAAGTTGCGGGCAAAGCTGGTGCTGTGGCATTTGCTGCCGTACACGCCTCACTGTAAGATCGCATGATACAACTTCATGCCGCACTGTCAGTGTCCCAAGACTATACTGTCACCCAATGCATTACGATTATTTGACTTTCATCATCGTTCATCCCTAAAAGTAATACAGTATCTGCAATTACGGTATATTACAGTAGGTCATGGCCTCCAAACACTTTCCAGTTGAATTGCTAAACTGGGATGCAGGCCGCCTAAAGTTTCTCTCATTTGAAGCTAGCTCACTTGCATACAATTGCGCAGTTTGCACTGGCTGCTACGCATACATTACACAAACACACAGATTGAGTCATCGTATGTCATAGTCTTAAATTTGGCAGACAGTATGATAGAAATTGATTGTCATAGTATATGTATATAAATGATTATAAATGTATATGCAGTATGTGTATACATATATATACTAATCTGCAATATTAATATCGTTTAATCATATAATCATACACTGTATCTGCAATTGTCTTTTCCCGTGGGTGTGAAAGAAAATGTGTTTTGATGGGGGCTGCTACATACTTGGCATCTTCAGATACTGGGTCTCGTTGGTAGAAAAAACTGTGAAAATGACGCCACGCTTACATTTTTCAATATTGTCGGCACAAAACGGTTACCTCCATGTATGTCCTATCGCCATAGTTGTCTTACTAAGAATTATTATATATATCATTATTTGCGTATTATTATAGCGTCAAAATGTATGACATGAATGATATCTTTAGACATAAAAAAAAACACTGGTAGTCCGGCATTCTGGTAGTCCCCGATTGCAGGATTGATAACTGAAGGACATCTGATGCCATTTGAAGAAATTTGCTGCTGGAGCGCGTCGCTAGCCCGCGGTTACAGCCCACAGCCAGCGCTGGCTTTCGTGTCAGATTTGGAACACAAGGATCGCATATTTAGAAAAGAAAATAACACCCCAAGACTGTCAGCCCAGGCCTAGCACGAACCTCAAACCCTAGGTTCAGAAATGCAGCACACACATGATAGCACAGTGTTCAGGTAGGGACCAGCTGCGAAACACATATGAAAAATGCAAAATGTTGCAAAAAGATGCGCTGTTTCTGACACTGGACATTGTTTCGGAATCAGTGTTTAAGCAGGCAAGCAACGCATACAAATGTGTGTGTTATGATTTTTTTAATCATATTATATCTGTAACTGCAACTGATATTTATATGTATAAATAATTATGTGTAATATGCATATACCTGGAAAACCGTATGGACAATTTTTTTGTCCAGTATGCATTTTACCCGTGACGGCCGCTTTTTGTTTAATTTGCGTATTTTGGTTTTTGATAGTGAAGGGTTGCTCAAATCCTTTGGCGACACCGGGTTCGGACATCCTCCGACAATCTCCAAAAAAGGAATTTCAGCCCGAAGTGGGGCAAATTGGGAGTCGTGATCAGGTGCCCAAATCTGGCCACAAATACTGCCATATTTCCCACCAAATTTGGATGTACCCATAAAAATAGAGAGCGGGTAGTCATGGGGGGCGAGGTTGTGAATGTCCTGATTTTGTTATATTAGTCATTAAATTCATCATTATATCAGTCATTACATTAATCATTATATTAATCATTATACTATTCATTATATAAATCATTAAATGAATCATTAGATTAATCATTATACTTATCAGGATATGAATCATGATATGAATCATTATATTAATCATTAAATATATGTAAAATCATTATATTAGTCATTTTATAAACCATTCAAAGAATCATTCAAATTAAACATTATATTTATCATTCTATGAACCAATTATATCATTCTATTTATCATTCATTAATCATGATATTAATCGTTATATTAATCAATAAATTAAAAATTATATCAGCCATCACATAAATCATTACATTAATCATTTTATTAGTCATTCAATGAATCATGAAATGAATCATTCTATCTATCATGAAATGAATCATTATTTTAGTCATTGTACAGAAAATTGTACTAACCATTAAATTAATCATTAAATGAATCATCATATATATAATCATTATTTTAGTCATTATATAAATCACTATATTAGTCATTTTGTTAATCATTATATTAGTCATTCAAATTAGTCATTATATTATTCATTATACTAGTCATTGAATGAATCTTTTTACTAGTCATGATATTCATCATTTTATTCATCATGATATGAATCATATTAGTCATTAGATTAATCATTATACTAATCATTTTAATATTCATTAAACTAGTCATTATATTTGTCATTAAATTAAGCATTTTACGAATCATGTTATTAATCATGAAAAATACATATATAATCAGTATATTAGCCATTATATTAGCCATGTTATTTATTGTTACATTAATCATTAAATTAATCATGATAATAATCATGAAATAAATCATTATATCAATCATTATAATCATTTTATTAATCATTATATTAATCATTTCATTATTCATTCAATTAATCATTATATAAATATTATCATGATATTAGTCATTATATAAGTCATTAAATTAATCAACATATAAATTATTATGTTCATCCTTATAATAGTCATTATTTTAATCATTTCATTAATCATTCTATTCAACATTGTATTAATCATAAAATTAATCATTACATTACGCGTTGTTTACATTTATATATTCATTAAATTAGTCATTATATAAATCATTATATTAATCATGAAATTAATCATTTTATTAATCATCACATTAATCATTAAAGTAATCATTACATTAGTCATTATATAAGTCATTAAATGAATCATGAGATAAATCATTATATTTATCATTATATGAATCATGATATTACTCATGATATTAATCAGTATATTAATCATTATATTAGTCATTATATAAGCCATTAAAAGAATCATTAAAAATATTTATCATTCTATGAATCATGTTATTAATCATTATATTAGTCGATAAATCAAAAATTATATCGGCCATTACATAAACCATTATATTAATCATTATATTAGTCATTATATGAGTCATTAAATGAATCATGAAATGAATCATTGTATTTATCATTATATGAATCATTATAATAATCATTTTCTTAATAACTATATTAGTCAGTGTCTTAGTCATTATGTTATATAATCATTTCATTAATCATTATATGAATCATGATTATAATCATGATATTGATCATGTTATTAATCCGTATATTAATCATTATATGAATCATGATATTAATCATTATATTAAGCATGAAAATCATAATTATAACAATGATTACATTGATCATTATATTGATCATTATATTAGTCATTTTTTGAACCATGATATTATTTATTGAATACATCATGATATATATATGATATATATATATATAATCATTACATTAGTCATGATATAAGTCATTAAATGAAGTTTGGTTTTCCATGCTTTTTTTGCAATTTGGCCTGGGGGGCGCAGGTGTGCAAATTGTAGAAACGCGCATTTTTTGAGACGTACTGTGATGAAAGCATATTCACATGAAACACATGCAAAAAAATATGGAAAAACCGGAAAAAAAAACAAAAAAAAACAAAAAGTTCAGACCCATGGGCAAGGTCTGGGGAGAGGCCTGGCTGGGGACATGGGTCTGAACTTTTTTTTTTTTTGTTTTTTTTGGTTTTTCCATGGTTTTTTGCAGTTTGGCCAAAACCTCGAGAAAACCAAAAAAAACAAAAAAGTTCAGACCCATGGGCAAGGTCTGGGGAGAGGCCTGGCTGGGGACATGGGTCTGAACTTTTTGTTTTTTTTGTTTCTTTTGGTGTTTCCATTGTTTTTTGCAGTTTGGCCAAAAGCTCGAGAAAACCAAAAAAAACAAAAAAAACAAAAAGTTCAGACCCATGGGCAAGGTCTGGGGAGAGGCCTGGCTGGGGACATGGGTCTGAACTTTTTTTGTTTTTGTTTTTTTTTGTTTTTCCATGGTTTTTTGCAGTTTGGCCAAAACCTCGAGAAAACCAAAAAAAAACAAAAAGTTCAGACCCATGCGCAAGGTCTGGGGAGAGGCCTGGCTGGGGACATGGGTCTGAACTTTTGGTTTTTTTGTTTTTTTTGGTTTTTCCATGTTTTTTTCCATGTTTTTTTTTTGCATGTTTTTCATGTGAAGATGCTTTCATCACAGTACCTCTCAAAAAATGCGCGTTTCTACAATTTGCACACCTGCGCCCCCCATGAGTACCCCTTCTGTAAAAATACTAGTATTTTTTCAACATCATGAAAAAACAGTAAGCAGATGTCAACATACTGCCCCAAATACTGTCTCTAGACGCGACACTCATACTGTCGGAACCAGTCCGACAAATCTAAGATTTCAGGAAAACTATTGACGCGTAAGTAGAGGGTTTGCAGCCGGACATGGCCGTATTTGGAGGAAAAAAAACGTAACGGACAAAACAAAATCAAAACCCGTACGGACGGAAAACTTTGTTTTTATGGCTTTCCACGTTCCAAGTATATACGCTCCCTCCCACCGAGGTGGACGTGGAAACCCAAAAAACGTTCGACTAACATGGGCGTGCATCTGGTAAAAAAAATGTAAAAACAACCAAAATTCAGCTAGCAAGGACTCTGCCCTACAAAATGTAGCTAACAGGTGTCCACCAACATGGACGCTGCACAATTTCATATTTTTTGTAAGTTCCCCGGGAATGCCCCAAGGGAGAGTACACCCAAATCCTGGGAGCGTCCAAGTTAGCAAAACATTGAAAGATATGACTGCCATCAGAAAACACGGGTTCCAGAAACCTGTCGTGCACCGTGTTTTTTTTGCAGGACTGCCAAGGGATCGAATCATGGTTGTTGCTAACACCACCGCAGCTCACCAAAATGAAAGCTTTGGAGGTCCGAGATTGGGTCCGAGCTGCTGGCAACCTCTTGCTTTGGAAATGTGCATGGGGAAGTTGCATGACCGACCCATGGACAAGTCTACTGTACTACCATGGGCGTCCCTGACAAGCACAGCGGGCGACAGCATGGAGATGGTTCAGCGCCCAGGGGGGGACCACAAGGCGACAAATAAGGACAAACCAAAGGAAAGCCTTTAACAGGAGATTCCTGAATGTGACCCAGACTACTCTCACACATTGGTCTCCACAAGGTCCATGTTAGGCAGCCCCGCTGGGGTTTGGAGGACTGCACATGTTGTTGTCAACACCACAGCAGCTCAATAAAATGGGAGCTTGGAGGTCTTAGAGTCTTAGATGGGTCCAGTTTGAAGTTGGGACTTTTTTTGGCATGTTTGGTATTATTGAAATAAAGAAAATGCACAATACTGGAAGCCTCCTGTTTTTGGGGAAATGAATGAAGAAATTGCAGTATCCACGGCCGACAGACCGATGGAAAGGTCCACAAACATGGACTGACAAGTACAACGGGGAACAATGGGGTGACTGTTTGACAGGGGCTTCCACCAGAAGATTCTTTTGCACGTCCCAGCACCCAGGGGGGGACTACAAGGGGACAAATGAGAATATACCAGAAGGAGAGCCTTTAACAGGAGATTCCTTATATGCAGGCAAGACTATTCTCACACATTGGTCTTCTCAATGTCCATGATAATTGGCCAATCTTGTTGGGAAAATATGCATTGGGAAACTTCAGAATTTATGGCCGACAGATCGATGCAAAGGTTCACTAACATGGACGTTAAGCCCTAATAGGAGATAACCTGGACATTCACGGGTCCGAAGTTGCTGGACCATGTTGGAAACCGCAATGATGCCTATATAACCCCAAACATAACATTGTGGAATAGTCCTTGTGCATGTGCCGTCTGGTGTCTAGCAGTCTTGTGGACACGGTCAAGTCATCATGCTTGTACTCCCCTGTGCACAAAAGAGGACGCTGAAAATGGGAAAGTCAGCGTCTTTCACAACAAAACGTTGTTACTTTCATAGATTTGTTGGCTATAACATCCACATCAGCATCGGGCTTGCCAATTTACCCATGGGGACATGATTCACTGTGCACGCACTAATATGGACACGCATGAGTGCCCCAGATATCTTTCAAAATAGGAGTTGGACGTCGAAAATTCAAAATCGATGAAGCTCCACTAGCATGGACGCCGTAAGAAGCCAAAAATCTTAATTACTATGAATGTCCATGTTAGCTGAATACAGTTTTCAAAAAAACCTGTTTGAGTGTCCATGTTAGTGGAACTGTGACATGTGTCACACATTGTCACACTAACATGGACGCTGCAAATGGTGTTTTTTGTTTGGGTGCCCGAAGCCAAAGTGGAGCCAACGCGGACGCTCAAACCACCAAAACTGACAAAAGTAAGGGCCGACTAACATAGTACGTGCGTGCATTTTCTCAATTTTCAACGTCCATCTTGGTGACCTGGAGAGTATGCATATATATATACCAGTAGTACCGCACAAGGCGGTGGCGGAAGTTTCAAAAATGGAAAACCTATAGGAGAGGTGAGTTGGTGTGGCGCAAAAATGGCAGAGCGAACCCACTGATGGATTGAAAGGTGCTTGAGTGTTTCTGCCTTTCTGTCTCTCTTTTCGACATCTGAACCTCCAAAAATGGTCCGTACATGGTGTGTTTTGTACATTTCGACTTGGAAATGTGCTTCGCGCCACAACGGCATGCACTTTTTCGACATCTGAACCTCCAAAAATGGTCCGTACATGGTGTGCTTTGTACATTTTGACTTCGAAATGTGCTTCGCGCCACAACGGCGTGCACTTTTTCGTCATCTCAACTGCCAAAAGTGGTCCGGACCTGGTGTGTTTTGTACATTTTGACTTGGAAATGTGCTTCGCGCCACAAGGGTGCGTACTTTTTCAACATCTCAACTTCCAAAAGTGGTCCGAGAATGGTGTGTTTTGTACATTTTGACTTCGAAATGTGCTTCGCGCCACAACGGCATGCACTTTTTCGACATCGCAACTTCCAGAAGTGGTCCGAACCCCTGGTGTTTTTAACATGTTGACTTCCAAATGTGCTTCGCACCACAACGGCGTGCAACTTTTCATCTCTCATCTGGCCAGCTGGCTCCGCACCCGCCGCTTTAGCGAGCCTACTTTTCGACCCTCCGGAGCCCCAAATCATTGGGAAAACACAGTGTTTCGCGACTTTCCTACCTTTTCGCGCATCGGCATCTGCTTTCTTCTGACTCTTTCTCTTCTACTCTTCTTTCTTCTGATCTTTCTCTTCTCTCTGCCTCTTCCCTGCTCTGCTCTTCATCTGTCCATATTGTCGGAAGTTTAACTTCTAAACTTCCTTCGATTATCTGTGTGTGTGGTGCCCCATATACACACAACCCTACATACTAAAACGCCCTTTCCAGTTGGTATACGCAAAGCTGCTGCCAAGTGGTTTCCCGATTTTAACCTTCTTACTGCTGCGGATTGAGTGCATGTCTTTCGCGTACCATAGTCCAAACAACCCTAAGCGGTCGTCTTTCCCCGTCGTTGCTCGTGTGGCGCGAAGGTGTTGGAGAAAAAAAGCTAAAATGCCCTTTCCATACACTACTTTTTAGTGATACGTCATTTGCAAGAAGATAAGGACAACCCATCCCCTCCACTTCTTCTATGACATTGCATCCAAAATATCGCCACAATGAACAGCCATGATGCGTCCGGCCCTGGTTGCGGGCCCATGAGAAAAATGCCCCGCCTCAGAGCAAGCCACAACGGATCAGAAAGCAGCGCTGGCAGCACCGACCCAAAAGGAAAGCATGAGCAGGACATCTTAGCAAAAGGTCTGGCTACCGCACTCAATTCACCTGTGTGCCGTGCCCATCATGCTGAGGACGTGACAAAGAATTATCCGACCTGTCCGAAGACAACTGCGAGCATCGCAAAGCTCATCATTCCTGGGCCATGTTTACGACATTCGTCCAAGTTGACATGACACAAATGATTGCATGATTTGTGATGTAACTCCAGCTGTTGCAAATTCCATGCAGGATGCTTGCAGCACATGCTTGGGCCTTCGCAACTCTTGCGTGCAAACGCGTCGTTGGGCCACTTGGACCAATGCACCTGCAAATTGCTGCCGGAAATGACACCCACGGAAAGCTTTCAAGACTCTCACCAACACCACTATTGAATAAAAACAAAATCGAAATTGTTGAAGCTCTTCATAGCTCTTCATATCTTCGACCGTGACTAGAGTGTCGCATCATCCGGCTCTGTTTGGTATTAGGATCCTTCGGGACTTGTTAGCATTGACATGCTTGACTTGTTCACCACAAACAAAAACACATTCAAATCCCAGCAAGGCCAGCAGTGCCAGCAAGCAATTGTGCCTATGCCTTATACATCCTAAGACTCCATCTTCCTGAGCTGGAATTCCTAGCATACCAATATGATTGAGCTTCCATGATCATGGTATTGTATGACTTGGTATTTCCTTCGTATATACTTTGGATTTGCTTGATTGTGTCTTCAATTTCGTATATAACATTATATAATATAACCAATATCACCTATATTATATATATATATTATACAGTATTGACAATGGTGATTTTGTATCGCGTTCTGGAAGTCGGAGCTGAGCACCTCTGGGTGACAGATGAGGAGACTGCAAGGCCATGGCTGCAAAGCCCAACAGGATGGAAAATGTGGTCAAACCGGTCAAACCGGTGAAACCCAACAAGTGCAAAATAATGGTCTTTGTGTTCGAACTCGACAGTGGTATGGTCAAGGAAAAGGCAATGGTGGGAACAGTCCAGCGACAGTGAAAGAGCTTTAGGATATTTTGAATATTGTGATCTGGTGCATGTTGGTGGTCTTTGCTGTAGCATTGCTTTGCCAGAACTGCGAGTTGAGTTCAGGGTGGAGAGCCACATCCGTCTGAGTCTAAATATATACTTTTGTGGTGCAGCAGTATAACTTTCAATCATAATTAGGAAGTTCCTGAAACTGTCTTTAAACCCCAAGGTGATTCCCAATGACCATATTTGGACACTCTTGGCTCACAATGCTGCCCAGGGTTGCGCTACGTCCCCAGCATCCCTTGAGCAGCTTGCATGTGTCTGCAAGGGACAGTTCACTGAAGCTGCATAGAAGGTGTTCTTTCTATAGGTTTCAGACTATACTTTGGCTTCATACGGAGTCTGCAGCTGACAGTTTTAAATCCGCCTGCACCGCTTCCCTCTTTGCAGGAAAATGTGTGGTTCTGTCCCATCCGATTGATTGAGTGGAATCTGTTCTTGACGCATTTTGACAAGCTGACACAATCTTTACCTTTTGTTCCGCCTCTCCTCTGATTTTTCCCTATGGAAAACCCAGCAAATCTGTCCTCGTAGAAATGCCAGGCCGTTCCATCCTGAGTGCGTCGTCCACCTAGCCGCCTGCTTCACAAACAACACGATGCAAACACTGACTGCTCAAAACATGTCTTATAAGTTTTGCGTATTCAGCAGGCGGCTCCAAAGTGTGCGTCCAAATCAAGGACAACTACCTGAGCAGCGCGCTGGTAAAACGAAGGCACGTGATATGGTGTGATGGTGTGAAAAACCCACCCATTGCATCTCAATGCAGAGCACCTTGCATCCAGGACGTTTTGCAAGTAGGTTTCGTACGGCAATTGCTGTCCTTGAAATATGATGAGATGTTGACCACCAAGGAAATTGCGCGACAAAACAAAAGCAACCAACGAACCCGATTGCAGTCACGAAAACACTCTTGTGAAAGGAATTATTTCCACAACCTTGTACAGTCTTCCCCTGTAACAAAACCAGTGTAGACTGTGGAGCGTGGAATGGGGTGGAGTGCAGAGTATGGAGTGTAAAGACAGTGGAGTGTGGAGTGGGGAATGTTCAGGGTATGAAGTGGGGATTGTGGAGTTTGAAGTAACGAGTGCAAAGCGTGGATGTAAAGTGTAAAGTGTAGAGTGTGGAGTGTAAAATGTAAAGTGTGGAGTGCAAAGTGTAGCATGTGGAGTGTATAGTGTAGGGCGTGGAGTGTGAAGTGTAAGGGGTAGAGTGTGGATGAGTGTGGGGTGTAAATTGAAAAGTGTAGAGTGTCAAGTGTAAAGTGTGAAGCGTAAAGTCTGAAGGTAAAGTGTGGAGTCTAAAGTGTAGAGTGTGGAGTGTAGACTGTGGAGTGCCAAGTGCAAAGTGTCAATTGTGAAGTGTAACGTGTAAAAGTGTGGAGTGTAAAGTATGAAGTGCAAAGTGTGAAGTGGAAAGTGCGAAGTGCAAAATGCAAAGCGCAAAGTGTAGAGTGTGGAGTGTAAAGTGTATAGTTAGTGCGGAGTGCAAATTGTAGAGTGTGGGGGGTAAAGTGTAAAGTGTGGAGTGTAAAGTGTAGAGTGTGGAGTGCCAAGTGCAGAGTGTGAAGTGAAAAGTGTAGAGTGTGGAGTGTAACGTGTAGTGTCCATATTTAAAAGTGTAAAGATGAAAAGTGTAAAGTATGAAGTGTAAAGCTTAAAGTGGGAAGTGTAGAGTGTAAAGTGTAGAGTGTGGAGTGTCGGATGTGGGATGTCAAGTGTGAAGCGCAAAGTGTGGAGTGTTAAGTGCAAAGGGCGAAGTGCTAAGCCTAAAGCGTAGAGTCTGGAGTGTCAAGCCAAAATGTGTGGAGTGCAAAGTGCAGAAATGTGTAGAGTGTAAAGTGTAAAGTATGTAAATGTGAAGTGCAGAGTGTGGAGGGTCGGATGTGGGATGTCAAGTGTAAAGTGCAATGTGTGGAGTGTAAAGTGTAATAGGGCAAAGTGCAAAGTCTAAAGCGTAGAGTCTGGAGTGTGAAGTCTAAAGTGTGGAGTGCAAAGTGCAGAGATGTGCAGAGTGTAAAGTTAAAGTGTAAAGTATGTAATGTGTGAAGTGTAAAGTGTAGAGTGTGGAGTGTAAAGTGTAGAGCACGTAGCGTAAAGTGTAAAGTGTGGAGTGTAAAGTGTAGAGTGCGGAGGGAAAATTTTCAAAGCGTGAAGTGTAAAGTGTAGAGTGTAGAGTGCACAATGTAAAGTGTAGAGTGTAAAGTGTAGAGTGCGAAGTGTGGAGTGTCAAGTAGTGCCAAGTGTAAAGGTTAAAGTGTAGAGTGCAGTGTAGAGCGGGGAGTGGCAAGTGTAAGTGTGAAGTGTGGAGTGTAGAGTCTGGAGTGTAGAGTCCCGAATACTGGCCGGCTACGCACATGGAGATGCCACTCACGACGGGTCTTCACCAATTCTTGCACCTGCCGCGCAAACTGACAATCTCACTATGTCACCAAATCTTGGACGTTGTCACCACTTGACGCAGCCCTGACAATGGGATTCGCAAACAACACGCAACGAGAGACGTCTAAAGTGCTGCGCCTGCCACGAAAAATGGAAGTCATCTGAAAACTTGCATGGACAATCCTCCCCAAGTCATTTGTCTGCCTCGATGGCTACGATTACAACGTTTCAACCTATTGGTTCTTTGTTTGTCGGTGCCTTCTTGTCCCTGGATTGGTCAAGTCGGCACTGAATTTTCCCTGCTTTCTGATTCTGCCTCCGGGTTGCCTTCTCCTGGCCTGAGTTCTTTCCTCCTGCGTGCTAGTGCTATTTTGATTTTTACCCGTCCTCGGGTTCCTATGTGTCTCTCCCTTCCCTTTCTGCCGTGCTCCTCCTCTCCTCCCCTTGCCCCGTCATGAAACATGTCGGGATGTCACGAAGTGCCACACCTACCACGCGAAACGACGTTGCACAATGTTTTAAACCTCCAAAAGTGGCCACTGGTGCAGCACTCCCGCAGCCATAGCGACCGCATCGCGAACGGTTGTGGACGGTTGCGAACAGCTGCGGCGTCGAGTGAACGCGTCCCAACCCCAGACCACCCCAGACCTCCAAAGCAAAACGAGAACCCTTTGCTACGCACTCGGGAAAAAATGAACCTGCCATGAACCTGCCAGGTGGCTCGTTGAAGATGCACCCACCATGTACTGCAAAGTGCCACGCATTTCGCTGCAGTGCCTGGAACGGCGAGGGGGCACCGGGGAGCTAAGGACCATGAGTGACCAGGCACATCCAGGCACATATTTCACGAAAAAATACCAACCATTGCCACCCTGGTTTCAGTTTTGAAGCCTACAGCATTTTCACATCATTTCAATTCACATCAAGGTCAGTAGGCACTGAACAAATCTCTCTCAATCTTTCTGATTTCTTGACAAATGTATGATATTATGCATATACTACAGTATCATCAAAACTCGTTGAATATGTTGAGGCCAAATATATCCAACTATAACATATATTGTCAGTGAATCGTAGTCAATAATTATACTAGTTACTATTTATTATATAAGATTATATAAGCCTAAAATATTGTAGATGTGAAGAAATTGAGTACCTTAGTCTGTATGATTTGCATGATGCGAGGCCTCCAAGCGCTCATCACATCCGTTGTGGTGGCCAGGTGGCCGGCCAATGACGAAAGCTCGCCGAGGCTGCACCAAACGATTCGAGACGGCTCTGCCAGCCCTACAAACGTTGAGAATGGCTCACCTGGATAATATCTGGATCAATTTTGTCAATTTCAAAAAATAAAACCACACCCAATGCTCTAAAAATGGAGCCTCAGTGTTGCTGATGACCCACATGAGAGCCTCCGTGGAAACTTTGAATCGTGACAATGACAATTGCACGCGGTGGATGATCAAGCAATGTAGAAAATGTAGCTGTGCTTGCACTCCTATGCCATGCTGTGCTGCTGTGCTGACCTCCGCTTGCTTTCATTGTAGATCAGGCCTCCAGCGTAGCTCCCACTACTCGCCGTGCGGCATCTTCCGTTTCAGCCGTGACCAATGTTGTCCTGCCATCCACATCTCTTTGAGAGTCATGGGTCGTCACGGGTCACTTTGCGACACACACTCACTCACACACACACACACACCGAGACACACACTAGACAAGAACTGGATCATTGAAGTGACCCGATGGGAACTGAATCCCAATAATGAGCAACCAAACAAGAGCGTGGATCCCAGGTAGATTTCCAAGAAGTAGTATGCAATCTTGGTGATGAAGTTCCGAAAACCAAGATCGCGAGCAAGGACTGGTTCAAATAATTAATATGATTCAAAAAGTGAATAAGTAAATACCAGAGCGCGGCAACCGTGCAAAACTCGAAATAAAAGTGTCGTGGAGGGGTTCTCGGCTTAACCCCTTGCCATGTCAGTCGAAAATTGGAAAATTGAAGTACGTTTGCACCCCCATGCTGTCTGGTCTTCATTGGCCAGGACAAACAATCATGGGTTCCTGGCCTCCTGCTAGCGAGAAAGACTGAAGTACTGTAGAAGTTTTACATCTGTTCAGATGTTTCACACACACACACACTCATCATGAGAAATGGCGTCTAGCATCTCTGAATCATGCACCTACGGAATTCTGTGTGTATTGTTTTTGCGTTTCATGGGCTCCATTCTGACTTAGCGTCTTGGCAATGTGCACCCAGCAGCGTTCTTTCTGTGCACAACGACAGGAGCACATGCTGCATTGTTGCAGCCTTCTGAAGCGGTTGTGAAATGAGACACATTGACATAGCAATATATGGCGATTGTATGCAATTATCACCCATTTAATGGTTCTGGATGGTTCTGGATCATTTCTTATCATACTTCAGCAGCGCACGTTCATCTAGTTCGTCCACGCATGTCAACTTTGTCAAAGTCCAACTTGAAAGGTAAACAAGGAAAATGGAGATAAGAGGCTTGTTTGACGCAAAAAACATGAAGTAAATAGGTCCAACCTCTACCAGTACCTACACGTTGACCAAGGGCCAATATTTAATCTCATCATACCATACTATACCAAGTGGACAAGTGTAGCCGTGTCAGTGTTCAGCTTGGCTTTGTTGTAGCTGTTAGTTGGTGTATATGTTTTGATTCGTCGCAGTGAGCTTTCAGTCCATCGGTCGAGGGAGGGAAAAACTCCACAAAATTCACTGCTGAGTCAGCAGGCTTGCGGAGTCTGCAGGAGTCTGCATTGGTACTGAGATGTACTGAGACTGCAGTGTTATGCAGTGATGCTATGGTGAAACGTGAGCGATCCTAACTATTCAGTTCAGCACGGACACTGCAGTGAGACTTCTTCAGCACAGTGTGCGTGCTTCTCACTAGGAATAAACTGTAGTGAAAACAAGGGTTCAACTACTCAACAAGACTAGCATGACGACCTTGCAGCTCCTTTAGTTTCTTCACTACGGAAACACACAATCACACACAAAGCATGAACGATGCATTCCGGACCTGGTGCCGGACAGTTGAATTCCAAGTTGTTTATTCTTCTGGCAGCGAATGGTGTGCAAAATCAGACAACAGCCATAATAGGATTCTTCAAAACTCCAACGGTTTCATGACCTAGCAGAAATATGCAGAAATCATAATGTTGTTACTTCTTCTTGACGGTGCTCACCACTTCACGGATCGCCCTGTGGACTTTAAGCTTCATGTGGACCCAGTGGACTTTGAATCTCTCCAAAAGGATCTTCCGAAGAAACCAGGCCGGCAAGTGCTGCACGCAACACCTGTCGGACTGCTGGTGCCAATCTTACTTTCAAATACTGCAGAAAAGGGCTGCGCCAAAAGCATAGAATATCACAGAATTACACAAAATGCATTTGAGCAGTGATCAAAGGTTCTTTACGCAACAGCTTCGTTTTCTTATATACACACCCACAGTTTTGGCAGCTTGCTCTGTTTACCACAGAGGCTTACACATTGCCCCTCTTTTCCTGTAAGAATGGAGAACAGATTCTTGTGGCTCATCTGGTGATTGATGCAAATACCCCCACCTATACCACTGTTGAACTCCTCAAACGCCGCACCTAAACATTCCTATTCAAGAAATGTATTGTAACACACCAAACAGTGACCATACCGGACTTACCAGAACCATGCCCAAACTGCAAGATACTGCAAGCATGTGCGAGCATTCAAATACGGTACCACGTTAAGCTCCTGCCCATCCTGCCATAAAAAGAAATCCCTGATCACCTTAGCTCGATGCCGAAGGTGTGGATGAGCGTGGCCAGGGCTTTGAGAAGGCCGCAGATTTGGTGAAGAAGCGGGTCGAGCCGGCCGTCCTGCAACAATTTAGCCATGGCAGTGCACGGCCCAAGGTCTTGCAGCATGTCGCATCTGTATGCATCTGTGCAATTCTGTGGCAACATGTGGCAACATGGCAACGTCTTCGGTCTCATCATACCCCCATCATGCCAGGCTTTGCCCATGTTTGCCCAGGGATTCCTGAATGCTCCAGACCCACTGCTGGAGAAGACGATGGCCGTGAGAGCTTTGCACCTTCAGCGCAGTTGAGTCAACTCTCTCTCTCTCTCTCTCAACTGATTGACGAATTAGGTACACAACACAGCGGAGAAAGTCCTCAGTTGGGAACTGACAGCATGGGCACTGAGCATGTCCAAGCAGCAAGTCGAATAAAGAAAGCAAAATTTTGAGCATTCAGCAATCAAGCGAGGGAGGTTTGAAACATGTTGGATTCGAGAACACTTCCTTCGAGCACAACTCGGCTCAGGTCAGTACATTTCGATTTGTCTTGGGAACGCTGGTTCATGACATTGTTAGTTTTCAAGGCTGTCTCCTGTCATCCAAAGAATGCGGCCGAGGGTCCAAAGAATCTGTTTGCTTCTGCGACGATGTACCTTGACTTCTTTGCCATCGTCTGACTGCATCCCTCTCTCTCTCTGCCTGGCTGCCTGCCTGCTTGCTTTACCTGCAGGTCTGTCTCGAGTGTCTAGTCTATTCATGGCTCTGCGTCCTCTTGAGAGCGCCACTCTACTCACTTCTGGCCAGGTTCAGTCTTAACAAGAATACAAGATCATACAAAATCGGCAGACCGCCAACGTTTTCCGCTAATCATGACACCTGGACGGTGGGAGCCATGGCAGGAATTGCTTGCTTCAGTGGAGCCCCAAGGCCAGGACACACATCCCACATCTTCCCACTGAAACTTAGTTCGATGCCGAAGGTGTGGATGAGCGTGGCCAGGGCTTTGAGAAGGCCGCAGATTTGGTGAAGAAGCGGGTCGAGCGGGCCGTCCTGCGACAATTTAGCCATGGCAGTGCACGGCCCAAGGTCTTGCAGCATGTCGCATCTGTATGCATCTGTGCAATTCTGTGGCAACATGTGGCAACATGGCAACGTCTTCGGTCTCATCATACCCCCATCATGCCAGGCTTTGCCCATGTTTGCCCAGGGATTCCTGAATGCTCCAGGCCCACTGCTGGAGAAGACGATGGCCGTGAGAGCTTTGCACCTTCAGCGCGGTTGAGTCAAGGACTAGCAGTCTCACCAACAAACATGCATGCGGATTTCAAGACCTGACGCTGCTGCTGAACTACCAAAATCCATGAACCTTGGGAACCAAACATGGAGAGTCTGGCATGTGTTGGAAGGAGGTGCTTGCGTGCAAATCTTCGGAGAATAGCAGTCCCAGTTGCCAGTCTCTCAAACATATTGAAAGCTCCTGGATGAAGTGAGTTGCAACTACACCAAGTATACATCAATTATCAGGCATTCTCATGCATTGTCGGGAGCTGATTCTGCTTGACAGACCAGCAACACACAAACAAACAAACAAAAACACACGCCATTCAATGGTGATCTTGAAGTTCTGATCACCCACGGCTGCTGAAGTAGTAGCACTGAAATGCCTGAATTTGGGGTAAAGCTAGGGGCCTCTTGCCACCATCTGAATGAAGGTTCATCTTTGAGGTGGCATTTGACCCGGAAAACTATGGAGCACTCTTTTTAGACTTGATTATTTTAATCAATGTTCAACATTACGTCTCTGGATTCAGGCATCCAATATCATCCAATCCAGCTTTATCTATTCACAAGTAGGCCAAAAAATCTTAAGCTGGCACTGGCACTGGACCTACATCCTTTTGCATCTTTTGCCGTTTCATCAGGCAGCTGCCAGTGCTTTGCTGCAGCCAGTCCCAAGTTCGGCCTCAGAGCTTGTATAGGACATCAGATCTGACAATGTACTTGGTGCCAACGGTGACCATCTCCCCTTCATGCAAAGGACTTAAGGGATGCTCCCCATGATAGAAGCATAGGACAGATCCGCGGGTCGCTGGAACTTGGTGAACAGTGTATTGGTTGAATACACCATCTGGAAGCATAAAGCGCGTGCCGCCGCCTTCAAAGTCGTCATTCAAATACAGGACCCAGGTGAGCATTGACCAACGATCGCCGAACATATCATGGACCAAACGGCCATCGGCGATCCCACTTCCAGGCCAGGACCCATCAGTGTGTGGCCGAAAGATATCTCCGGCATTGTACTTGTAGAAACGCCACCTGGACATATTCCAAGGCTTTATTAATATGCGTTCTATATTCCATGAAAATATCCCATCAAAGTCTTCGGAACAGCTTTCCAATGCTACTTCATCCTTAAAAATATTGCATTTACCACTTTGAGTGTAGTAAACTAATTACAAGTCAGCACCAATAGTTTTGACACTTGAACCGAACAGCACCGACTATACAATCTGATCAATCTGTAAAGCATTTACCTTAGACTTTGTGGCCAACTGTTTGCAAAACGCGAAGCTTGTGACTCAATGTTCAGCTGCCAAAAGGATCCAAAAGGCCGAACAGTTACAGTAGGGCCCCGCTGCACCCCCAACACATTTGAATCCACATGAGCTGCCCATACCTCGCCTGGCATTCAAACCAATTGGGCCTTTCTCTTTGCTCGTGCCGTTGGGCAAAAATGCTAAGCAACGTTGGAACGCTTCTTCAGTCATTTCTGTATCTGCAATCCAAACACAGTTCTCATTTTGGCGGATGTGGCGACCCAGTGAGACAGGCGCATCCTCTGTGTACCCCATAGCCTCACTTGCAGCTACCAGTTGATCGCACTCCTCATCCGAGAACACATTGTGAAGCACCTCAGGCAGGGAAATTGCGACCCTTCTAAAGATGGCAAGTCACAATTTGTGACAATTTGTGGGTCAGTTTAGACTTTTCCTCCAACAACCAGGCCCCAAGAAAAAAACAATTGTGTAGAAGTTTACCAGTGAACAAGCTGCGAAAGCTCCTGGGATATTTGGAAAGTCTTGCCGTACAATGGCTTCCCTTCCTTTGGCAAACCTTAGAGTGGCTGTCATTATCTGTCATTTCAGCCAAGCAAAGCTCTTTAAACATGTGCAGGGGGGGGGGCACAACACATTTTGGTCACCACATGTTGTAATTGGGCAAATGGAGAAACACCAACAATCGAAATTCTATATGAAATTCTGTGTGATATTGTGTTGTACTATCAAAATTTGTCACCCCGCTCAGTGTGTCAGCTGAGAGGCTGAATCAGGCCAGGCTTGTTCGCAAATATAGGCAAGTCTTTTCTCACCGAGCCTTGTTCCCGCGCGACAATTCTGAAGCCTTCCCGGAATCCTTATACAGGGGGCACACGGGCCAAAGAGAACAAGGTGATGTCCACCCTACCTTGAAAAACGCTGGTAAGGCAAGCATCAGACTTGGCCGAAAGAAAATACCTAGCGCTAAAAATCAATGCAAGGCTCTCTGATCATCCGGGCTGCATGACACAATATTCCTGTTTGGTACCGACTCAAAAATCAAGCAATGCGGCGGCTGTACAAAACGTCGCAGTATGTACCAAAAGGGCATGCTTACGCAAAAACAAATGCCACATGATTGATTGTCTGTACGAATTATATAAAAATGAGATAAGTTTGTCTTTCCATTACCCTCGCATGTACTCACTTGACTTCAAATACTACACATTCCCAAAGAATCTAGACAAGGCCCTTCACATTCTCAAGCAATCTCAAAAAGGCCTGCCATGAGTCTGCACCTAAACCAATCAAGTACGATGCTGACGACATTTGTGGTCGCCCTTGCCTTCTGGCTGCTCCAGCTGCCACATGCAGGTGCGGACGAAGGCTGGCAAAAGCGGCGCAGCAAAGACCCAAGCCACGCAAACGCACCATTGCGGCTATAGCGGCTATGGTGGCTATGGTGAAATGAAAAAAACAGAAAAACAATTTGAAGATATTTGAAGTATATACATAGCTTCAGTACTCGTTGCGCTGTCTACAGAGTGGAACCACGGCTTCCTGCTGCCAGAATAACTGCCATAGAATTAGGGATAAAACATTATAAAACACATTCCGAAGTACGTCAAAGGATCCAGTCCAAAAGCATCAATCATAGTGCTCGCGTCAACGCACTGGCGCTCGAACCCCAATTACTGATCTTCCTGGTCTGAATTGCAGAATTCCACAGGTTGAGCCAATGAGAGGCTGGTCTTTTGGCAAGCACGTGTCTTTAAAGACTTAATTTACAAATTTAGGATGATTTGGGGTCTTCAGAAGCCATACCAGCCTCAGCACCCTCTGGTGGGCCTTGCCTCTGGAGCTGGTTCGGGTGGAAGGTCTTGAGGGTGGTTTTGACGAAGGTGCGGAGGCACCACTGGGTGGCCTACAATGAAAAACAAAGCGCAACGTGCATAGCAAAGAATGCAAAGGAGTAGGAACGATGAGCAAGGGATGGAAAAAAAACGGGCGAGATCCTCCGCTGGGAAGAACATTGGAGTAATGATTTGCGGTCAATGACCTGTCCAGCCTGTCCAGTGTCCAAGAACAACTCCCAACCTTGTTGTGCTGGGGGTAGAAGCTGTAGTGAACTTCCTTTCCGCCGCCTTCCTAAGATACGTTTGGCATCGCTTGGCGAACAAGTGGTTCAAACTCAAACGGCCTTTCTAGATGCATCATTGCATCATTCTGCGGTGACTCAATGAAACACCTCGTAACCCATAGCTGGTGGATGCGGTATGTTTGGGAAACAAAAACTTTGAACGAGGGCTGAATGAGAAAGATGAGAAAGTGATGTGCACGTCGTGCAACTTCAACATCTTTGTATGTCATGTATGACTCAATGAGATACATTGAGATACTTGATCTGAGATTCTCTTCCATCTCTTTGTCGCTGGGCTCGCCTCAGGAAAGCAGCCCCTTGCCGAAGTTGTAACGGCATGTGACCGTTTGTCAACTGAGTAGCCCACAGGTACCGCACTGAACAAATAAACCCACAAGGATCGGGTGGCATAGAATGTCCAGAATTAATTCAGGACTGCACTATATGTCATTATATAGTACTTCAAGCAGCATGATCTAAGGTGTGGTCACAAATTAGGAGATTCTAAGAGTAGTGAGGGGAACATCCATCAGGTTCCAAAGCATCCAGTCTTCTTTTGTAGAAAAGAAACCCACAAAGAACTATAGAGTGATCTGTGAGTGAATCTTGGCCATGCTCCTTTCTGTCATTTCCTGCCATTTCCTGTCCATTCTCACATATTCTCACTTGCATCTTCGGTAATCTTCGTGCTTGCTGAACCTGTGGAAGACACTGCCGCCAAGCTTCAGCGCTCCATCTCCGCATCTTCCAAGTCCTCCGGCTGTGGAATATCCGCCTGAGCACCTGAAGACAAACGCGAAGGTTCACTACGATTGACTTTCTAAAATACTACTTGATCAAGTCTATCCATTTTCATTCTATATAGTTGAAGACTTGTCCGATCTGGCTTGTTTGTTGTTGTTTTTTGCAGTGAACTTCCAGCATGTGGTTGATCATTGCTGAAGTTGGCTCACTTGGCTCCTGGGATCTCCTGGGATCTCCTGGGGTCTCCTGGGGTCTCCTGGGATCTCCTGGGGTCTCCTGGGCTCCCAGGTCACGCCTCCCAGAGCAGCGATCTCCGCTCCGGCATGGGGGCCAAGCACTTCGCAAGCTCGGTGCCGATGCTGCTCTGCAAAGTCCTGAACATCGGACATCGGTGTGGAGAAGCTCCTGCTGTCGATTGGAAAGAGAAGGAGAACGAAACACATGAAAGAGAATGATAGAGAATGATAATGATAGCAATTATATAGTAATTACAGTAAAATATTTGGATGTATGTATGTATGTATGTATCTATCTATCTATCTATCTATCTATCTATCTATGTATCTATCTATCTATCTGTCTGTCTGTCTATCTATCTATCTATCTATCTATCTATCTATGTATCTATGTATCTATGTATGTATCTATGTATCTATGTATCTATGTATCTATGTATCTATGTATCTATGTATCTATGTATCTATGTATCTATGTATCTATGCATCTATGTATCTATGTATCTATGTATGTATCTATGCATGTATCTATGTATCTATGTATCTATGTATCTATGTATGTATCTATGTATCTATGTATCTATGTATGTATCTATGTATCTATGTATCTATGTATGTATCTATGCATGCATGTATGTACGTATGTATATATTGACGACGATGACGATGATGATGATGATGATAATGATGATGATAGAAAACAAGAATGAGCTAGCTTGGCCCCAGCCCATGCCTGAATCGCTTTGAGGTATGGTGCGCCAAGGCGAACCTGCTCAGCAGCACACTGGCGTTGGTGAGGAGCAAATGCAAAGACCGAGCGCAGCTACATCACAATTTGATCAATTTGTCCCGCGCATATTCCAAGACTTCGACCAACAGCTCCAAGCCACAAATCCCTAGTCAACTACTCCAGACAAGTTCCAATATCTCAACAGAAACATATATAGCCTAACACTGAAAGGCAGGAAATTGCAGGAAGCCAGTATAGTACCCCTCAGGCTTTGGAACCTGGGGCTTTCGTTGGGGTCTCGGGCTGTCTGCCAATGCCTGAAAGATTTAGCTCACAATGGCAGATGCAGTTCAGTAACCCAGCCCCCAAAATGATCCAAAATGATCCAAAATGTATAATAATCAACAATTAGAACATTATAGAACATTTATGAACCTGCCTGCTGCATCCTGCTGCAACCTTTACCACTTGGGCTGTAGATGAAACATGATCAAACAAGCAATGCTTTGACCACGCTTTGTGGTGACGGTTTAAAGTGTTGAAACTTAAAAAATGTGTGCAGTACATTAAAATGTTCTATTTTTTCTGCTGCGCATCTCATCACTGCTACTGTACTCTGTGCCTTGCCTGTCGCAACGAAGTTCCGCTTGGTGCAGGCGCTGCCGGGGGCCGCGGCCTGTGAGCCAACACAGGCGAAGGCGCCCATAGCACTGCACCTTTGTGGTTTGGACCTTGGTTTTGCTGGCAGCAAATGGTTAGTTTGTGATGCGATTTGACGTGTTAAATGTGTTAAGTTATATCATCATGAATGTTGTATTGCTCTGTGCAGGGGAAAGCAAGGATATCAAGAACAAATAGAACAGCGTAGAATCGTATCAGTGCCAAAAAGTGGCCAAAGTGCTTCGTCTTTCAGGTGCTTTTGACCAGCAATCACACTGCATTGCGCTCTGCTCAGAGTCTTGGCCCCACACTCCAGGATGGAAGCTTAGGGCAGCTTTTGGATCGAGGCGGATTGGTGGTTTCTGGCTCAGCAGCTTCCCACCATGAATCCCTCAGAAGTCAGGCGTCTTCAAGCAATTTGTTCCTTTCCATGAACTCGCTGTCAAGTTGTCAAGCACCTTGAAACAATTGTCACAAGTGTGTCCTTTCTCGAACTCTGAGCATACCCAAATTGAATGTCTGAGGGTGGGCAGCTCCACGTCTGTAATTACATGTAATTACACATTCATAGCATGTCATCGCGCTCCATTTCTTTGAGTCTCACATGTGTTTGGTGAAAGCGGGTTGAGGTGAGGGACTCCATCCCCTGACGTTGAAGGATTCTCTGTCGCGTGGCCTCCAACGAATCCCACTGCACTATGCAAACTATGCAGTAGAACAGCAGCACAACGCACCGAGTTTTCATGATTTTTGATGTGATTGTTCTCCTGCTTTCATACCTTTCATTGGCAGCAGCAACATTTTCATACATTTTGCACAACGCTCCTGCATCCTAACAGCACACCATAGCAACATGTAGTGTCCTATTGTGTCCTATAAGTCCTATAAGATCCTTTAGTTGTGTTTTTCAACCTGATGGCCATTGATGGCCGCTGGAATCCAATGGACTGTCCTACTTCCCGAAAAAAATCCACACCTCCCGACGTAGGGCCAAACGTTGAGGATCCAGCTGGCCTGTCAGAGAGCCACAGCAGCAGGGATATTGAATTTGTGGAATCAATATATGAATTCAATTGAATTCATACAATACCTTCTGGAATCCTTCTGGACCAAATCCATCCAATATCCCTAGATGTCCCTAGATGTTTCTAGATATCCCAAGATATTCCAAGACCTCCCAAGCCTGTGCCGACCAATTGAACCGCTTCAGCGTTCTCTGTCCCAAGGAAGCCCAGCTCCTGCAAGGCACTGGGTCGTCCATACACAACACCGACAAGGTCAACAAAGAGCCAAGAGAAACCTGGTGAAGCGCAAAGCAAATCCAGCCAAAACCAATGGACTGCTTGGAGATGTTGGTGCTTCTGGGATCTTCTCTAGCCAACTCTTGTCCCTCAAATAATTATATGCGTTATGTCATCTGATGCGATTGACAATCGTCACCCTTTGCTCTTGCAAAATCTGAACTGAATTGAAGCCTGCCTCTCCTGTTTCTCCGCTGCTGCATCTCCTCCTTTCAGTTCTGGTGCTAACAATCGCTGGACAGCACCTAGCCTGGAACAAAGCATCTTTCTTGACCGCAAGACACGGACTTTGAACCAAACGTCCAAATTCTGCAAACACAATTGGGCATAAAGCAGTGGCAGCAGTGTGTGACTGAGAAAATGATGCCTGCCATGCGGCTTTACTGATTTCACACCAGGCCTTGCCGTGGAGAAGCGCAGGTAGCAGTTTTCACCTTTGCAGCGACTCTCTGCAGCATTGAACATCTCGATCGGTCAGTACACTTGCAGCATGATCAACCTAGGCATTGAATATCATCAGCTACTTTCTTGTTGAACATACCCACAACAAACAGCCTCAATCTTCTGGAAAACCTTGCCAACCCAAACAGCAAGTATGCATTATATCTCGCAAGACTGAAGCCGCCCGCAGTTTGACCCATCCCGCTATCCGAGCAAAAAAAGGAAAGCAAATCAAGCTATACTTTGTTCAAAATGCGCATCAATGAGGTCTGTCAGATTCTTTGGGCTTCCAAACAAACTCCAGCAAACTTTTGTTGGAACACCAGCTCCTGAACAGCATAGAAAAGCTGTCACCAACATCCTATTCCAAGCCTCATCCTTGATACGAAATGCTTTTTTCACAAGCTGTGTAATGGGCCTTGAGGACAACGAAAAGGATTACATAGGATTACAACGCCAAGAAATGGCAGGACAACTGCGAGCGCAGAAAATTGAATACATTCCATGCCTTTCGCAGCTCGACGTATTCCTCGACAGTGAGGCGGGGATGCAAACGCAAGAAGGCCTCAGGCACCTTAGTATCAATGCTAGGCCATACAAGAATGATGTGTACAGTCTTTCTTGGGACCAGAATTTGAAAAGCAACAAAAATATACAAAAATCCATTCAACTTGCCATTTACATGAGGATTGGCATAGAATGTGCCAAGTCGCCTCTTCTTCTTCCTGCTCCTGGCACTGCTTCAACTCAAGCTTGCACATAAATAAAAGAGCTGAGTGTGACAGTGGACCATGCCGACAGGATATGAAGAAAATAAGAAAACCCACCCTACTACACAGCAAAGGAAATAACTATGTAGTCGAGTCATAGTTTACACTGATTGCATGAGTTCTACTCGATTCTACCCATATTAAAAGGATGTTTTAGGCGCAAAAAGGATGTGTATGTTTGAATTGCTGAAGATACTATGACCTTTGACAGCTTAACTTCTTGCAGGCAGCCCAATTAGCAAGAGCAGTGTAAGAGCCGCAATAGCTGATACATGCTGATACCTGTAACATGCACTCTCTAATCTCTCTAGATCAGGGATCAGGGGATCAGGGGACCTTGGTCTTGAACCCAAATGAATTCTATCCCTGCCGCGAGTACCCAGGGCTGAATCAACCTGTCCTGAAAACTGTCAGCTTGCCGCTCTGCGTTGCGACGTTGTTCCTCAAACCTGGCTCAGGAAGCTGCACCCTGGAACTATGCCCCTATGTTGCCTATGTTGCCTATGTTGCCTATGTTGCCTATGTTGCCTATGTTGCCTATGCTGCCTATGCCTCAGCCAAGTGTCATCGAGTGCCCTGGGAATGCCACACCCAATTCAGTGACAGGAAGAGGCTTGAAACATGCTGGGATGCACTCGATTATCACCCGATAGACCACTTCGAACACCATCTCAGGATGCACCTGCAGCTTCCAGCCACATGCAGCTTGAGATCAAGTGATTGCAAACATTTGCAAACTATAGGCTATAAATGGCTATAAATAGCTATAAATGGCTATAGGCCACAATGAACTAGAAGCAGCTAAAACCCACAGTTGCAGCCTGCAGTCCACAATTTCAATCGTGGCTCCCCAAAGTCCTTATAGAATCTGCGAGGAAGGCAACCATTGGCCCGCCTTCTCTTGGCATGTTGGACAAACCAAACTTCTCAGGAGCACAGCTGGTGCAGTGCGGGACACGCTCTGCGCTCTGTGGATATATTCCTTGGAAAGATATGGAAAGATTGTGGTGAAGCATTATGAAGCAGCAGAGCTCTGGCAGCAAGCTGGATTTCACTTTCTGATGCAGAACCGTTGAGCACTTCTTTTGCAAGCACAGGTTTATATCCGTGTCTTAACTTAAATTATGACATACATATATATGCATATGTGTATATAATATGCATATGTGTATATAATATGCATATGTGTATATAATATGTATATATATAGAGAGAGAGATATAGACATAGATATATACATCATGTTTTGAGAGATTGTATATAACATCAGCATGTTTGCTTCAATAAATATAGGATCATTTCAGCCTGCTGCAATTCAGTCCAAGGGGCAGGGACTTGCAGCCTGGTATTGACCTGCAGTGACATGACATCTGGGATGAAATGCTTCCCGGGATCGGATCCATCTGGCTGGTCTATTCAAGTATATATATGATCAAGTCAGGCCTCCAAGGGCCGGCTGGAGCCCTGCAATCGCACGGAAGACGCAAAGAGAAAATGCAATCGATCCTTGGACACAGAAACATATGACAAAACTGCCAAGATTTGCGGTTTGCAGTTTGAGTGTCCTGTTCCGGAAATGACGTCAAAACAGTGCCATGCTGAAGGCTTGCGTTATGCCACCCAGATGCCCTGTAGTCCACTTTGAAGTTAAGGGCTAAGCGTGTGATCTTCACACCTCGGCATACACTCTGATCATGTGAAGTCATGTCAGTCAGGTAATGCCAGGAACTGAGTAAAAACAGAAACAAGAACAAGTCCTAAGTCATGCTGACAAAGCACGGTCGTTTGTGACACCAGCCACATGCTGAATGATTGCATCCTTGGTTAATAAATTGGTTTCCCTTCATCACGGACAAATGCATACAAATACATACAAATACTGCAAAGCAAACATGGCTCCCACCGCACCAAGCTTTCCCGCTATTGGCTTTTCAAGTGCTGAAATGAATACTCGTGAGATCTACACCAGAGGCGTGACTGCAAGTTTTCTTTGTCTGTTGGCTCTTGCTTGTCCCTCGCTTCAAACCCTTGGATCTGAATCTGAAACTTTCGCAAACATATAGGTTTCGCCCATTTCGAGCAAAGAAAAACCACGGTGTACTCAAATGTTTGGTGTTGCTCAACTTACCAAATGGCCCATCAGCCAAGAGGCAGCAATTTGATCGACCTTGTTAGCTAACGTAGCTCCCCTCACTGGGGTAACCTCACATTGCTGGAATGCTGGCAGAAATGTGGATACTGTATGTACACTTGCCCTTGCGAATGAAGCACAAACGCACTATCATACCAATATCATACCTATCACGAAGGTTGGATTCTGTCCTGGCGATAGAAATGGCACACCTTTGCACTCCAGAGCCGTGTGATTCGGAGATTCAATGGATATTTCTTTGCTGAACCTGGACCTACTGCACACCTGTGCTTTCCGGCGAATATTTCTTGGTTCACCCTACTGCATGGACTTCGGGTGCAAAATGGTGCAAGTGTAAAGCATGTCGTAAAGCCAGAATATAATATGGCTGGCCTCGGAGTGAAAGTCTGGACCTTCGAAGGTGACTGCGCGCTCATACATGTCATAGTGGGTATCATTCAAATTCAATCCTTGGTCACCGAAGCCAAAGTCATTACAACATTCCGTGCAAGAAGTAAGGGGTATATAAAAAGAAAAAAAACATCTACACCGCTCGCCGATGGATATGTAGAAGGCGGAAACCTCATCGCCCTCGAACCCGAATGCACATCACAAGCTGGATTCCAAACCTGTTTTGAGGTTCATCATTACGCAACACTTGTGCAACACAATCTTTTCAAAAAAAGAACTTCAGAGATGCGTCACACACTCTTGAACCACACCCTTCTGAAAAGGCATTGAGACTAAATATTGTCATGACGTGTCATGACTCATGACACTTTAGAGATCTTCTTGCAAGACAATCTTGTAAGACAAGTTCGTTTATAATGTTATAAATATAATCTTACTTCGACACTCTTTGTAAGGCACTCTTTGTCAAGGGTGAATGCGTTCGGCCGAACCAACAAGCTCAGACACCAAGCTTTTCAGATTCCAACTGTACAGTGTGCGTCATGTCAAGACACTCTTCTGACATGCTTGTAAAACAATGTTGTTTGAAGACACTCTTTTGGGACATTCTGGTTTGCCACTCTTGTGGGACACTCGGGTGCGGACACCCTTGTCAAAACACTCTTCTCAGACATCCCTTTTTCCTGGAAAGACTTCTCAATCATACTTCCTCGACAGATCCAATATGTCGAGTAATATTATGTAATTAATCATTACCAAATAGATTCAAATAGCAATATTAGCAATTAATCTAGTATCTCCATCTATCTCTATCATCTCTGGCTGGACAAGTGGGACGTCTTGGGACACTTGGGGCCTTTGCCAGGGCTCGATTAATCCGGCGCTCGATGAGGCACACCTTTGGCGACCACTGAGCGCGGATCATATTGTTGCCTCGCTGTGTCTCATGATGCTACAGGACAGCAGCAAAATTGCAACAAACGTCATCCACGGATATCCATGGCATACTGGGCATGTCAATGTAGTGATAGCAAAGCAAACTCGACGGAGCAAAGCGGACATCTCACGCTGAAGTCCAAGACTAGACCACTAAGTTAACATTCTGTTCATCAAATTTTCAGCCTGTATTGCATGTTTGCATCGAGAAAGTCGTAATTAGCCCTCCAATAAGTGAGTGCTCCCCAAGGTACGTGCATCGGGAGGCTCGAGAAATTTCTGCAACAAGCCGTCTCCTCTGTTCATCTGCCTCCGCAGGTTCAACATCTGAATGTGCAATTTTTCCACCAAACACAGAACTGCAGCACTTGACGATCCCTCTCTTCCACCTGTTGAATAGTAGCTCTCGCAGCTGTTCTTCATTGAGGTACTCGATGGTTGTAGGTGCCAAGCCAGTCTCCACCAAGCCTTCATGACCCATTAGACCATCGTGCATGGCCAAAAGAGTAATGCAGCAATGTATGATAATGTATGTTGCAACGATTTAATAATGATTATTATGATGATTCTTTCTTGATTCTGGGGACCACAATGGACCACAGTGTATGTATACTTTATGTATATGTATGATTATGTATGTGGCATCTTCTAGGCGAGGACCTCAGGACAAGAGAGCATATTGCCTCTGTGTCCACATCCACGTGGACGATCATGGACGATCATGGACGCACCAAAGGTTGATGGATGTTGATGGTGTTAATTGATGTTAATTGAACAGAAGGGAACATCCACCTCGCTGGGCATCGTCCACGTCTAAAGATGTTTGCACCTGAGTAAAGCTTTCGGCTTCTGAAAAGCTTTCCGCAGACTAACCAGAATCATAGTGCCAAGATGTGCTTTTCCATTGCCCACATGCATGGAAGGTGTTCACATCGAGGCGTGTGAAACACGGAAAGAATAAAAGACTCAATCAAGAACAACAGTTTCACTTCACATGATCCACTCGCTGTACGTCTGCCTGGGGCCTATTTAGGCTGGCACATAGTAGGCTACAATCCCGCAAGCAAGAGGTCGCTTTAGAAACTCTCTGAGGATGTACCTGGGCTTGGGCATAGCGACGCAACATGGCAAGCCAAGCCAGGCGAGGAAACCCAACACACGAATCCATCAAGCACCAGCACAGCCCAGGCACTCTGCATCCAACTTGGCTTTATGTTTGCGCTTGATGGTGCCATCCACAGATGTGAAGTACCAAACTGACCTAAACATTGCAAAAATCACATACTGGGATATGTATATAGATACTATATATACATTCTAGCAATTTCTTGCCCATATTCCAGGGCCGAACATATTCCATGCCAAAATAGCTGGGAAATTTCAGGGAATTGCGAAGACCCCTTTCAGGTGAAATTTGTATTTCATACAGTTTGCCAAGTATTCCTTTTCTTCTGGCACGTACGTTGTCGACTGCACATGTTCTTCCCCAAAGAAGATCCTTGCTTTCAACAATTTCTGGAAATGTCATAATTAAAAATGTTGAGCTTTCCAAAAATGGATTAATAATGTTCTTATGGAAATTTGTCATCTACACTTTTCACGATCCCAAAACCCAATTCATAAGCTTTAAGCTTATGTTCTGGCACGCTTGGCTGGCCTTTCATCAGCAGCGCCATCCCCATCTTTCTTGACATCTTTGTGGCCCCGCAAAGAGCTCTGCACAACAGGATCTGGGAACACAAATCATCGACGATCCTGTTTTCTTCCGTGCAAAATAATTCCACCGATAGAGTACGATGCCACCCCTGGAGTGCGCTAATTTTCTGGAATGCGAAAATAAAACAGTATGCGTGGCCCCCTTCGACCTTCCCCATGAATCCAACACCAGTTTTTTCCATCATATACCAGAAAATTATCACATTTCACCCTGCTGAGCTTTTTTTTTCTTTTTTCTTTTTTTTTGGCCAAAATTGCCTGGAATGCGATAGTATGTGCAACTACAGACGTCTCACGAAAAACCGCTACCTTTCCCATATTCCAGAAAACGTGATTCCAGGCGATTTTAGCCAAAAAAAAAACGAAAAAAAAAAAGAAAAAAAAACGAAAAAACGAAAAATTACCGAGTACGAAGATTTTATGGAGTGCGAAGATCTTGCAGAGTGCGTGGATTTTATAGTATGTGCGCGTCCCTAGCTGTGGAGTGCGATGTCCCATGTGGAGTGCGAAGAATTTGTGGAATGCGAAGAATTCCGAGTATGCGTGGCTGGTATAGAGACCACATAGGGAAATTTCGCGGCCAGAACCAAAATTCCAATCCCAAAGCCGGCCCAAACTTCCAGGGGCACACCAGTGGGTTCTATTTTTCCAAGTTCACCTTGGGTGAGGTCCCGGGGAAGAAACTTGCTAATTTTTACTTAGCCAACCTTTAAAAACGTTACCTTTGACAACCCTGTCCTTCTTCTGTAGACAAATGAGGAAACTTCCTTATCAAAGCAGCCTTCAATTCATTCAACGTCCACAGCTCCTTTGGAACGACATAGGGGATAGAAAGCTGTGGAGGGGCATTCAATGGATTCGCCGTGGGCCAACTGTTCCCTCCAGATTGAGCTGAAATGCCTATCAAAGTAACATACCAAAACCCAGGTCTGGAGTACGATGAAAACATGGTATGCGAAGATTTTCTGAATATGGGAATGTTGCCTTTAGATACATACATATATATGGTGCCATCCACATATGTGATTATATATATGTGATTATATCTATACTATGGTGCCATCCACATCCGGTAAATTGGCATAATCTGAGAGCTAGGTGCCAGCTCCATCGCTATGATCTGAGGTACGGACGGACAGTTGTACTTAAAAACGATGGTGTCTGGAATGCCTTGCTTTCAAGACCAAAGGCAGCGATTCCAACCATGCTCAAGTAGTACTACAAAATTCATCACAATTCTATAATACACACATATATATATATATTATAATATATTACATATTATATCATTAAAGCATAATGTGTCACACGCCGCGTGCAGCTCAACTGAGACGAATCAGCCAAATCATGTCAAATCTATCGTCCGCAATGGTCTGCCAAGTAGACTATTCTAGCGCAAGATAGTGCAAGCAAGCTGCGCAAAGTGATAGATTGCTGACTCAGTAGATCTTTCCTCCAAATTAGTTCGAACCTGAGGCCGGCAAAGGATGGCTCACCAAACTGCAAGATGCCACAGGCCAATGGCATGTTTGCCACCATCACTCTTTTTGTTGCTCTGGGATGTGTTCTTGATATTTCTTGATGTTCTTTAAGTTCTTTATGTGACACCATTATAGACTATAGACTTACATAGACTTTCTATCAGGTGGTTGGGAAACTCTACTTCCTTGATGTTCCTTGGCTTCCCATTTTGTAGGGAGTATGGAGAACACTAGCTCCGAATCATTCCGAATCGCTCCCTTCATCTCCCTTCTAACCGATTCTAACCACTGGATAGCTGTTGTAATTACACGTTGTAATTTACATGTGATCTCCCGCAGCTATTGAAGCAAGAAGCAGCTGTCGATTCACGCCATCCCCTTGAAGGTGCCGCGTCACTTCGACATCAGGCGCCATAGCTTTTTGCCACAAATGGCGACGGAGTCCCAGAGAGCTACAGTCTACAGATGTTGTGTGTGTGTGCAACATTGAGCAACCAGGCTAGATTCGGCTAGATCATGATAATGCATATAGCTAGGCTAGATAAGAAATGATAAGAATACTCCATGATTCATGATGTTTCAAAATCTTCAAAATCTTCACATTCAGGTTCAGTTCTCAGTGGTTGAAAAACAGCCAGCATGCGGCAACTCACCCTCCCCAGCAGTCTTGTCAGTGTCCAGCCATTTCCACTTTGACTTGCTGCGACTTGCCTGACGGTCGGGGTGCAAAAGACAAGATGGACGATACTATTGGAAAATTATTGACTATGATAAGAGATATAGGCAAGATTATTGGAAATATCTATGATATTCTATTCTATAGGAGATATAGTCTATTATTATTCCAATAAGAAATTTATTCTATGATATTCTTGCCATGTCTTATCATGTTCAATTCCTATTCAATCTTCAAGAGAAGCTTTCCGTCACTGCAACCGTGTCTGCAAGAGTGCCGGCTCACAAGAGGGGAGTGTTCTTTTTCAACAGCACTTTGACTTTGCGCGAAATTGGCGGCACACAACGGGGGGATCCCGCAGAAGATGTAAACAGACCTGTCCGATAGGAAAATCACAACAGTCAGACTGGGCCATGCAAAGATGCGAAGTCATGTACCGGCTTGCCCTGTCATCATCTGCTGAACAAATCGTAGGAGTTTCCTAGGTCTTCCACTTCTCCACCAACAAGGGATGCAATGACGCTCCAAAGAGGATCTGCTCCCACACTCTGGGATTCGTCAAGCACCAAATCCCGAGATGCGGACACAGGAAACCACACACCATTCTGCAACTCTCGTTCCAACTCACCGGCAGCCCATTGAACACGATTTGAGAAGAAACGAAAGCGAAGGGAAGACCCAGTATTTTCATCCAACCACTCTCTTGCCTGACGCAAGTTCCTGCTCACAAAAAGCCCACTGTCCCCCAGTTCTTTTGATTCCGGAACTCCTTCATAAGGGTGCAACAGCAGAAGCGGCGAGCGCTCAGGTCCACCCCAATGTAGCGGCCGTGAAGCAAAGGAGAGCGCACCTTCTTCTTCCAGATCTCCAAGGAGAATGCCAGTGCGGGCTGTCAGCGATACCCCCTCGGCATGGTTGGGAGAAACATCTGTGACAAGAACCACTGGCATCCAATTGGAGCGCTTCCAACGATCAATGTCAGCGACCAAGTCCAACCCGCCAATGCCAAAGAAAGCGGAGATCCGCAGTACCCAGTCTGCCAAATCTGGCAATAGACCAACAGATCCAGCACCAGCCCTACAGGCAGCTGCAGCAAAACGCCGGGGATCTGCTATGAGTACCTGGCCCGGCTGAATCTGGAGAGAATCGGTCACTCTGGCATGAATCTGTCCCGAGCTTCCTACCTGCGGCTCAAGTTTCCAGGTCCTGTCAAGAAACTCACGAGTGGAGGCAGAGGTCCCATCTCCTTCTGTGCCTGGTGTGCTCTGCAAATTCTCTGATTGGCATCTACTCGAAGTCCGACCTCGGACCTGTGTTATCCATCCTGCGTGCCTTCCGAGGACAAAGCCAGGGAAGAGGGGCCCAAGCATGGTGTGAGCGACGTACAAGGCAGCAAAGACCACGACACATTTGTGATGTTTTCCATGTCGTGCAGCGTGGTGTGCCATGGGACCAGATTCACTCATGGATGTCTTCATCCGTCTGAAGTCTCTGTGAAGGAGCGTGCTTTATCTGTTGAATTTTGCCTTCATTTGAATTTGTTGATTTTTCTCCTAGTTCTTTCAAAGATTCACATTGACTACATTAAGATCATTAAGTGAATTATATTGAATCTCTCACATGCTACAACTCACATGTCCCGTTTGTCTCTTCCACAAAACGAAAGCTTAATGGAGATATGTGGAGGTTGTTTGCCAAAATGTGAGTGTAGTTGGGATAAAGTAGCCTGTTAACTAGGCTAACAACGGTCATAGTAGTACAGTAAATACCACTGAACTCGTGCCAACAATTTGATACCATCACTGGTGCTACACATGGTATTCTTACATTCAGATGAGTTTGAAGCGCAAGCAGCTGCAAAAACATGAAACTTGGAACAAAAACAAAGGCAAGCACCTGTTGCCAAATGCATTGCTAAGACCAGCTGATATTACTATACAATCCACTGCCAGCTACAGCAAGCTGCTTCCCCCACGAAATCATCGTGGATCATGAAAAGGCTGCCTGCAACACATTCCGCCGGAGCTGTCGCAAATACCTGCGTCGGATTGCTTAAGCTCCAGAAATGAATGCAAGAAGAAAGCAAGAGAAGTAGCAACAGATTGCTCCGTACAAAATCACAAAGAAATCACATCATGATATGATAACATTGTCTGGACCTATTTCATGCAGTTACCTCCCTGCAGCAGGAAAGTAGGAAACGATAAAGGGAACTGACAAAACTAACCAAGGCAATCCAAGGGAAAACCAGTGGATACTGGATTGATATATATTATATTTAAATAATCGATTTATCTATGTGTATATATAATTTTATATACAAAAGATGCTGATGAGGACTTGCTGGCATAGTCTAGCACCAGCGCCAGCTAGCCTGGCGGAGGTTGCTCCACCACAGAGAAGCTGCTTATCTGTGGCTCTTGGCATCTTCCCCTGTTCAGGCAAGATGCCAACCGGAAGATTGGACAATCAGCTTCAATCGTGGTACATACTGCATAGATTGGCAAACCACACACAGAAAATATTGTAATGACGCATGTGTATATATATATATATTATATCATATTAAATATATATATATATAATGTTATTATAGTGAATTATAGTGATATATCACATGACAGAAATGTTCATGAAAGTTAGATGTATGCACACTGGCGATAACTGTCGTATACATCAAGAGAGCGAGACAGAGAGAGAGAGAGAGAGAGATATATATATATATATGCAGACTTGTGCTTGAAGGATCTGCAGGCTTCAGTGTGAGTCTTGTGATGTAGCCTGCACAGCTTTGAGCTGTTCCACAGCATGTGGCAGCTTGGAAGCCAAAAGCCCAGCGCGCAAAGGCCTTTGCAAAGCCGAACATGGAGAAAAAAAATACAAAACGCGCAGAAAAACGGTCCGCAATGTCCGCAAAAGCGAGGCGTCCAGATTTTTAGTACTTGTTCCGCAGTGTTCCACATGTCTTCAAGATTCAAGTGGGGCAAATCAGCAAGTGCGATGTCGCTATACTCCCGAAGTCTTCTGAGCAAGCTACGTTTCCCAAAAGCTGGTTGCGTCCAGGTACTTCTCTAGGCTTAAGCCGAGTTCTTCAGCTCCAGCCTCGACCTACCCACATTGACCCAAAAACGTGTGGAGCATGGCATGGCTGAAATCTGCCAGGCGCCTCTCTGTGAAGCGTCTGCAAGTCTGCGTTGTATCCAATCCACAATTTTCCACATCTTCCATCCGGCCCTGTCGGCCCTGTCGGCCCTGTCGGCCCTGGCACCAGGTCGCGCTCTAAATCTTCTGCTTTTGTAGACGCAAGTCCTGGCTCACCAGGTCACCACTACCATCTGCCAGTATTCTACCAGTCACCTGCCCTCCCCAAAAAGTTCCCTGAACATCCCTGATAGCAGTACTCTGCCTGATCTTCATCGTGGATCAGTGCTGTACTCTTAGCCACTCAGCCTTTTCAGTTGTTGTGTGCCATGCCAGGAATCGCTGGAAAACGCTGAACACACACTCTAACCTCAGAAACCAAAAGACTTTTTATTGCAGAATCATGCAGAAACATGTAGAAACATCTAGAATCTAGAAACATGTAGAACCATGTTTTCTGATCAGCTTGGCAAGTCCTTTTTGACGCTTGCGCCGAGGCGGCATTAGCCTCTTTGTCGGACATTAGCTCGGCATGAATGGTCAAGTCCACAGCTCAAAGATGCTCAAAGCATTTCTTTTTCATATAGACTGCATTGACTGCATGCTTTATGTTATTGATGTTCAGTGCATTTTTGGAGACCATCTACATCCATCTACAGTGCCGACTTGTCATAGCGTTTGTGGCACTTTTTCAGCAGCTGAACAATGGTAATTTACTTTGTTGCACTCACAGCCTGAATTGGTGCCGCGGATCTATGGGAATTGTGGCGTGGTTTAAAGCATAAGTTTACATATACGCTAAAGCAACCAGGACGAATTATTCACAGCATATCAACTGCATGCATTTAGATATATTTAGATGACATGGGTGTGCAGGCTCTTGTCGCAGAAGGCCATTTCCTTATATATCTGAAGCTCGAGCCAATAACAGGACGATTCAGCAGGACAGGAAACCACCGAATCATGAAGCAGTCAGTCTGTCGGGTAGAAACTCTTGTAATGAAAAGCAACTGCTTGACAGAAAAGGAGAAATCAAGCCAAAAACAAATTCCACATGAATTTCGCTGTTGAATTCTCCAGTTGCACCCATGATGGTAGACCCCGGATCAGTTTGCTTCCTCAATGGAGAGGCCGCAGTGGAGGAACTCTGACAACTCCGACCTACGAAGTCACTAGTATTAGCTCAATCTCTAGGACAGGTCCGCCCTGGTCTCTAAGCGCTCTTGCAGTCATTTACGACAATGCCAAACAATTCCTCAGGTCATTGTGGTAAAAGGATGTAAAAGGATTATAAAAACATAATCACAGTATATTAGGTTTATATAGATTTATAATATATAATAATAGAATAATAGTGAAACCATGCCACAGCCAGCTTTTGGCAAAGACTTCAGCTGCACCACAAACATCTGCTCACACATCTACTTCCCCCGTGGTCTAGGGCCACCGGCTTGAGGGAAGAGCAGTCCTGTCTCTATCTGCCGCTTCATGATGCAACTGTTCGAACTGAATGTCCCAAACATTCCTAGACTCCCTCGATTCATCTGCAGGGAGAATAACGAACTGTAGGAAGATTGCAGTAATTAGTGTTCTAACACGATGTATCTGCAACATCCAGATCCAACAGTCAGGGGGGTGTGGAGTGCCCTGCTAGATGGGCATACCAGTTTCAGCACCTCCTTTCCCAAGAGCTGGCGCAGAAGGAAGTGAATCAAGCCACATGGTGCCTGACAGCCCCAGCTAGTAAGTCTTCAGTAGGCAACTGGACCTTGTACATTGGAAGTTGTTCCTGCTCTGCCACCATGATGCCCTGCCTATTTTGGATGTGGCTTTCCCTGTGATGTAGCTGCTACAGTCCAAGGTCAGAGAGTGTCCAAACACTCGGATATATTCGCACATCCTTATGATTGTCTTTTGCAATGTGAATTAACGAATGCAACCAGCATCCCACTTGGCTACAGATTGCTTCACACTTTGCCGCATTTTTCCAGGCAGTGGCGACCAAAAGTCGCGTACATGCCAGCATTCTCAAACGCTCACACCACCACGGATGACTCGGTCACGAAGTAGCGCTGCACCATCTCGACCAGAAAATCCTATTTAGGCAGGGCCCCCCAAGTGATACAGTCAGCAGCAATACAAAATAGGATCAAGCCACCAGAATAAAAGCACAATGCAAAAAAGCAAACATGGGTTCCATATGGTTCCATTGATATCCATTGATATGGTTCCATGCGATGGGGCTCATTGATGCTCATGGTAGGATTTGGATGGATTTGATTTGGCATAGCTGCCATTTAGCAGAGCAGCCAGTCCTTCTTGAAACGAAGATGATTCCCTGGAGTGGAGTGAAATTCGATCTTCTTTGCCTCGTCCAGGCTCTTCAATCCGAACCAGTCCTCTTTGTACCAAGGTGCATCACGCATAGTCACCAGCTCCGTGCGAGAGCCATCCTTGAAGTAGCCAAAGTGCTCACTCTCCTTTGGGTGCACCATGGTATCGTCCTCGGCCATCACCAACACAAGCTTTTCCAAAGACTGAAAGTTCTGCTTGTAAGTAGAGTTCTGGTGCCCCTGCACCTCATTGTTGATGTAGGGCAAGAAATGCCCATGAGTCCTGTACTCCACCAGGTTTTCTGCATCACGGTAGTAGTTTGCCTGCGCCAATCGGTTCTGCACAAAGGAAGAGTAGACCCCGGCATGCGAGACGATGGCATCAACCGCACGGCACAAAGGTCCAACACCTGGCACACTCATGGGACACTGTGGAAGGCCATTCACGCCCATCATAACACCATGCATCGACAGGAAAGTCTTCACTGGTGGATTGTTGTATTTGTGAATGTAGCCACGGATCACAGTGTTGCCCTGTGAAAAGCCAACTGCATTGAAACCGCCGCTAAGCTTTGCATCTGCGCGTACCACACGAGCAAATTGGTCAACCTGCCTTAACACAGCCACGGGCCCATGCACAACCATGCAGCTGTACAAGTACCGACATGAGCACAGGCCTAATTGTGTCACATGACTTGCTGTGATCATGAATCTAAGCCTTGCTTTGACTCGATGTTTGACCCGTGATTTTATATAACTGCCATGCTGGCCATGCTGCTCGTCCATGGTCATGAAGAAGCCGTTGGACTGATCTTGCGTGTCGCAATCTGAGAGTTTCGTGGGGTCGGAGCACAGCTCCACACTGTGCACGTAGGCATTGGCAGTTTCAGCGATGAGCTTGCGCAAAGGCACCATGCCCATGGGGTTGTTGCCTCGTCAGGAGCCATGATGTGCCTCCTTTCCACTATTTTCCACTACTGAACATAGAAGATCATAGAAGTGCAAGAGATGCAAGATTTTGTATCTAAAAGGTTGGGATTTGTGCGCCAAGTTGCCAAAGTCGCCCATGCCATGCATCATCACCTGAGCTGTGGGTAGGACTTGGTGCTGGGAGTGCACCATAGTGCGCCTATTTCCGGCACTTTCTCATCTTTCTCTTGATAATGGCGAGGTTTATGTGTCTCCGAAGTATGTTATGTGACATTTTTAAGACAAGGGTACACCTGTTCCGGTACAGGTACGGTACAGGAGCATCACATTAACCTGAATGCTGAATGCCTATGAATGCTGACCGGTCAAGAGACCACTGGAAGTCCCGCTTTCGCATTGCTCCTTCCAGCCATTGGCTCCTCAGTGAACTCGAGGATGGCGGCCATTCCAAAATCGGCCAAGCCTGGTAAATCAAATGCAGCCGCCATTGAGATCAAAGTCGCCACACCTGAAATGAAGACAGCTTGCAGTAGATTAAAGATTATGTCCCACAGGGATGAACAATGATGTACAGATATGTGCAGTAGTCCATACGATTTGAGAAAGGAAACAGGAATTTCGGAATGCCTTTTAAAAAATATTTATATTGAGAAATGGCAAATCCGACACATCAATCAGGCTTGAAGCTGCAAACGATCATTCCCGTTGGGCCTGTGTCAAAATAATATTATACTTGAACTCTTTTGGTCGAAGCCTCTTACAACTGTGTATTCAAGACTTCCTTCTCCGAACTCTGCATGCAGCAAAGCGTTGCTCCCACTAAACATTTCGTTCAGCCCGAGAATCCTGCTTTGAGCGCCATGACGGTCGTGCTTGGGCTCTACAGTGCTTCCACTTTTGAGAATACTTGAGCCAGCTCAGACCCGAAAAGCATGCGTCGTCCTTATCATTGTCCTGACCACCACCAGCAGTAGCACCAGCACCAGCACCAACCACGACTAATCAAAGCATTGTCAAAACACATTGAACATACCATCCCATTCTAAGAATATGTGTATATAATGCTATTCATCTGTGCTAACTGCATGTTGAGACCTTTTTATCTGACGCTGGATAAGACATCTCCGTTGCCACCCTTTCTGCTCTTTTTCTCACGGCATCCGTATTCCAGGCTCGTGTCCTTCAGAACTTTGAAACAAAAACACTGTTGTACGTCAAGACTTGTGTGGCTACACTTCGCCCAGCACAAGTTGCAAACAGCTACAGCCTATCATGAGGCTGTCAGCCACACTATGGCGGCTTGTTCGACGCAAAGTAGCGCGCAACCAGTTCATGGAGAAACTCCTGGCAGCTGACCCCCATCCTATGACCAGCACCAAGCTGCCAACAAGCTTGGTCCTCTAGTGACGCTAGTCAAAGGAGCACTATACCACTACATCCTTCAACACACACGCACACTGCATCTAATAACACGACACTACCCGACATTCACATCCAGCACATTTATTTCATTTTATTTCAGTGCTTCCATCCTAACAACAGATCAAACATGGTGCGAGTATTTTACCCAAACATACCCAAACAATAAGACAGGTCTGGAGGCGCAGGCAGTCTGTTCATGAGGAAAAAAACATGATGGTTGCAATGGTTTGCATATGTTTGCCCCGTGCACACGTTTTCTCAAATTTCATGACATTGACTAAACATGATCAGAAACCACCTCAAATAGAACAACCCTCGATCAAAGGGCAAAGGCCATGAAAGCTGCTAGGGCATGTATGGTTATCGCTGCCCTGCAAACTTCACAGCAAAACATAAGACATCCCAAAAGTGTTGCCTTACTGAAACGAAGGTGATCACCTGGCGTGGAATAAAAGTCGATCTTCTTTGCCTCGTCCAAGCTCTTCAATCCGAACCAGTCATCTTTGTACCAAGGTGCATCACGCATAGTCACCAGCTCAGTGCGAGAGCCATCCTTGAAGTAGCCAAAGTGCTCACTCTCCTTTGGGTGCACCATGCTGTCATTTTGCGCCATGACAAGCACCAGTTTCTGAAGCGACTCAAAGTTGCTTTTGTGGACTGAATTCTGGTTCCCTGGCCCCTGAATCTCATTGTTGATGAATGGCAGGAAATGACATGAAGCTCTGTATGCCTTCAAATTGGCAGCGTCCCGGAAATAGTTGGCCTGTGCCAAATGATCTTGCACAAACGAAGAATATATACCCACATGTGAGATGATCGATGTCAAAAGGCGACAGAGCCCAGATGTCAATGGACAGTCTGGCACCCCATTCACACCCATCAAAACACCATGTATAGACAGGAAGGTGTTCACAGGTGGATCATTGTACTTGTGGATGTAGCCCCGGATGACCTCAATTTTTCATGTGTGCGGCCTCTTGAGAAATAGTTGACATGTTGATTTGTCAGTGCTCCACGCATCAAAAGATCCAAGCACTGAAATATATAAAATCATGCAAAAGTACTGGAATCTGCCAATCGAGAAGCGGTGTTGCCCTGTGAGAATCCTAGAGCGTTGAATCCACGATACAACTCGGAATCTGCTCGCACAACTCGAGCAAATTGATCTACTTGCCTGTTCAACATGTCATAATGGAAAGACACAAACAAATACACAATCAAGGGTTTGGAAGTTGGAAAAACCGAAAAAATGCACTGCACGCGCCCTTGACAACTTTATGATGGTCACCTGGCCAGAATCAACCCATTATGAATCCTTTTTGGAGCCAGGAGGAAAATAAGGGGTACACACCACGATACATCTAACATCATCTAACTATATAGATCCCGGGTCTTGCAAGTGCGAGCCCAGAAAAGTACTGCTGGGTAAAATCCAACAAAGTGAAGTTGCTTGTCAATTGTGGGCTGGCAAACTGACATAAATATCAAAACCTGTCCCTTGCGATCCCTTGTGCTAGACTTGTCACTTCTCCATGGTCATGAAAAAGCCGTTCTGTTGGTCGTCATCAGAACAGTGTGACAACTGATCAGGATTCGAGCAAAGCTCAACGCTGTGCACGTAGGTGTTGGCTATGCCGGCCAGCATGTTTTGCATAGGTACCATGCCCGCTGGGTTGCTGCCTTTAGCGTGCACAGGTTGAAGGAGTTATATATATATAATACACAAATATATATATATATATACACACATATATACATATGGTGCAACATGATTCAACAAGCTTTTGGAAACTACATTGCCCTCTCACTGATCTTCAGCACTTGAACTTCAATGAAACCTTCTCTTGACATCCAAGCAGCCGTAGTCGCCCATGCCATGCATCATCACCTGATTGAGGGTGGCCACCACCTTCATCTACCGTCGATCTGAGCTGAAGATCCACTATGATCCATTGCTATCAAGTTAGATGTCCAGCAGAGTCTCTCGCAAGATTCGATTGTTTGGACACTTTGTTTGGACACTTTGGATGTCTAGAATAGAATACCGCGTCTTCATGATCAAATAGTTTTGTGTTTCCACCAAAATTAATATTCATTGCATAAGAGACACGGTCCGCCTCCGCCCAGCAAGTTCAAAGTGTCCTTGTTATTCTTTTTCATACTAGATCCTCATTCTATCCTATTATGAATATACTATTTTTGTCAGTCTTTATGGAATCCTTTGGTTTTGTATGGAGAATGAACATGTCAGAAGCAGACCTGAAATGTCCCAGCATTGGCCATTTGCTGGTGGACTTGACGGCATGTTATTGCGTGTTGATGTCAGCAAAACAAATTCACGTACTTAATCCAAAAAATGTGTATGCCATAGGAATATTCACAATATTATGTATGGTATGTATACATATGGTCAGGCACACATGATCAAAGCCACAAGTGATGACAACTTTTGAAAGTATGCCAAGGTCATCCTGCTCTGCGCCAAGCTGCAATTGGCAGCTCTGCTTGTGATGTCTTCTTTTGTCCTGCCGTCTCCGCTTTTCGGAAATGCAGAATATAAGGGTTGTCGCTGAAATTCAGCTGGCTTCTGTCCAGTTTCTCCTGCAAAAAATCCAAAGACTGGAGCCCACACCCCCCAAAAGTTGATCAGCAATTCCGACATGTCCAACCTGAGAGGAGGGGGCGAAAGCCAGGGACTAGTTGGAACGGAGACAGGAGAGTGGAGAGCATGGCAGGGATTGCGGTTGGGGGTTGGTTGAGGCATCGTTTGGGAGGCTGAGGAGCCGGCATGGTGAGGCCTGGTTTGGGTGCGCCCGTGGGGTGTCTTTTTGGAGAGAAGGAAAGAATGTGTAGGAAGAAGGAGCGGGGGAAAGAAGTGTTGTAATGGTGAAGAGCGTGTTTGAGGAAGTGGAATGGCGGGCTCTTTTAAAGAGGTTTTGGGGCGCAAAGGAGCCCGGAAGGGACGAGGAGGTGTCGGCGGCAAGGGAGGGAAGGAGGAGTTGCTCAAGTTGAGGGTGATTCCAACCGCCGTCCAATCCCGATCCAAACGCGCTCCAACCGCCCAACAGTACCACTCCTACTCGCATAGTTGCCTCAAATTGTCCACTTTTTCCCCAAATCCTCTGCTCTGACTTCATTCCGAAGGAGCAACCTCACCTTGCCTGGCCTGCAGCAACCATTCCAACCACATGCACCCCCGGCCACGCACCTCCCTCCTCCCACCCCCAGGCATCAGCAGCCATCTGCAACCTTCACCCTGCGGGCTCCTTTGCTTCCCAGCAGCCACCTAAAAGAGCCTCACCCCAAAAGGCCCGCCCAAGCCACGCTCTTTCTTCCCTCCAACCTTCTCGCCCCATCACACACCTCGCCCTGGAACTCCAATCCGTACGATTTATTTTATCCTTCCATTCCCTCAGTTTTTCCATTGTTTTTCCATTGTTTTATTCGATTTCTCCATCATGTTACCCTCCATTCCAGTCTCAGGTGCACGTCGGAGGACGGACCAGGGCGGAATCGAACCCCACCGTCACCCAATTGCCACCTGGTACATCAGCCTCAAAATCGCTTAAAATCGACCACGGGCAAGTGCCCCAATTCTCACTTCGTTCGCAATGAGCAACTTCGCCATGCTTGACAGCTGGCTTTCGCAATTTCAAAATCTCTGAATCTCACAGCCATTTACAAAGAAGGACTCGTTCTCCATGACAGACTCAAACAATACTTAATGGCGAATCAAATGGCAACCAAATTCTGTCTACTATTTCAAATGTATAGGCAACATACACATATTCAACATATATGAAATAATTCAAGATCATGAACAATTATGTTCTGATCGATATAATGCATACATATCTATATCATTAAATATCTGGGCGTGCATTTTTGTGTTGCACAGCGTCAAAACTGCCGCTGCTCCTGCAGCTGCAATAAAGAAGCGTCGCAAGAGTCATCATGAGCAATAGCGACCACAAAGTGCCCAAGAATAGCAAAGCAGCTTAGGAGGAACGACATTGCAAAGCGGGGGTGGAAATCAAGGGGGGTTGTGCTTGGCTTCTTTGAGTTGATTATATAAGTCGTAGTTTGCAGGCCCTTGGCTATTTGGACCGCCATATAGCAGGAAAGTGCGCAAAAGAGTAGACCATAGCAAACGCCAAACACAGAAAGAAACATAGCTGAAAGTGATGCCAAAACATGTTAAATTACTCGCAGATCTTGCAGTGGTACCAGAAGATTGAGTGAATGGCTCACGCTTCACAGTTGAGCCAAAAAACAGCGAGAAGTGCCAAGCACAAAATCACTTTAAGATTTTAAGGTCCTTCCTTGACCCTGCTCGGCGATGCAGAGCTGGAGGCCCATTGAAGAACAGTTGCAGCATGCTACAGCCTTCAAAATCCCAACAGTTCCCTACCAGCCTCAACTGGAAATGAAAGCGTCAACGATGTGCGCGCTGTCACAGGAGCCTTGGTATCTATGCAGCGGTGTGCAGAGCTGACAGGATGCACTCTGAAAGTCTTCAATACGGAGCCAAAAAAAAAAAACATGCGAAACATATGGAAGGGACCAATGGGCCAATGGGCACACATGGGCACACAAAACATTGAAATTTGACAGAACTGTTTAAAATTGTTTTATATACTGCAATTGGCGCTAACATGGCGAATGGATGATGCCGGTGGCGAGTTTGCCTCTGAAGTGTGGCAAAAAAACATGCGGTCGACTGTCCACCCTCTGCCGAGGGGCGCCCAAGATCGTAAGCTGCAACGCTGCGGTCCGGCGATACGACTCGGGCGGTGGATCCTCAGGTCACTCTCTCAACCTCCCAACAGCCACTTGGACTCGGCTGCGTCCATGCAAAACATTTTTCAACTTTTCAACGTGGAGGTTTACCTGGGAGGTTGGGCAGCCAAGCTACACTAAGTCCATGTTTGGTGGGCTACATCCTATATCCAGTACCATCGAGTGCATGCCCAGGAAAGAAATACATCGAAACACAAGCATCCAAGATTCGACAGACGTCAACAGGGCAGGACAACATCTTGTATCATCTGGATGGCTTCCGGAGTTGGGACTATCTGTGACTTGCCAGCACAGGTAGGGCCACGGCATACCTATGCAGAAGATGGCCCAGGTGCCTTGCAAAAATTCACCGATTCTATGCATCACATCATGTCATTGTGTTTTACCTAATGATTCTCATGAATCTAAGTCCAATGTATTTCTAGATGTTTCTAGTTTGACTTCTTCGAGTTGAGGTTGTAGGATGTCGTAAGGTTCATTCGGAACTGCAGTGACAACAGTGACAAGCCTTTCAACAAAGAGAGGTTTGTCAACTACGGTCGTTGAACGCAGTTAAGACTTGCGGCGAGTTGCGCGTTGTTCCGCAGGATCTCTGAGTCCTCTCCTTGTTGCGCTGCAGCAAAGAGCAGGTCCTGAAAAGATCAGGCCAGTGAGGCCAGTAAGGCCAGTACCCTCTGGTAAACATACAAAAAACTATGGAAAATCACCATTTTTAATGGGAAAATCCACTATAAATATCTATAAATCACCATTTTCAATAGCTATGTTAAATTACCAGAGGGTAAGGCCAATCATGGCCAATCATGGCCAATCATGGCCAATCTCCAAATCCCTGGCATGGTGCTATGACTTGCCATGTGCCTTCAATAAATGCTGTCCGTGTCGTGGAAAACCCTCCCTGAAGCACGTGATAAAGCAAACAACAGGTAGCACGCGTGCGCTGTCCTGCTCCATAGCTCTAGCACCGGCAATGCCACGGGCATAGCCAAAGCCTCAAACTGCTCACATGAAACTGTCCCGAAATTCCCAAGCCAGGCTGCTGAAGTACACATTGGAATCTGTAAATTGGCTGTGTGAGTTCTTTGTCTGGAAGGCTGAGGGATGAAACGTTCCAGGATTGGTTCTTCAACCTCCATGATGAGTGTGTGAATTGACCTTCCGGCAATTTGAAGCACCCAACTGGACGAAATATCATGATATATCCAACATTATCCAACTCTCTTCGGTTTTTGAAACCTCTGGACAGAGATCTGACGTGTCAGTCAAAATAAATTATGTATGACACTGTATGACTCAGTGTGAATCTACGCGAATGAACCAGGCAGAACCCGCATGTTGCCGCGGCCATGAGGTCATGAGGAAAACAAAGTGATACAATTGACAAATAGGAAACAGTAGCAATGTTCACCTATGACAACATATGACAACTATGATAAAGGTATATACAATGCACATATATAATCATATATAATCAATATTGATTTTAATGATCCGGGTTCTGTCTCCCGCCTTTTGCCACCAGCAACTGCAGCTGAGTGCTTGCCTGGCTGGCAGGGAGAACAAAGAGAGAGTGAGACGCATTTCCATTCATCTACAGTATTCTACAGTACTGTACCCATTAAAAAAAATTGACTAAATTGATATGAATTGCTGCTTGCGAGTCTTCGTCTCTTCAATCCGCAGCGAATAAACTTGCCGAGAATACCGAAGCTGTGAGAGGCGCAACCAAAACTCCAACATTCCAGAAACTTACAGTAGTCTCATATGGAAGCAAACGAACAAGTGATCGGCATGGAAAGGAAATTCTACATGATCACCTGTAAAATAATGTAAAATATATGTGACGAAAACGCACATGATTTTACACAGCGCGGCAGCATAATCCGCCGACCCCGCTTGCAGCAGGGGGAGCGCGTCAGAGGAGGAATTACCAGCAGCAAGGGCCAAGAAGTCATTACAAGCAGCAAGGGCAAGAAGCAAGAAAACAAAAAAGAAGAAACAAGAAGCAAGAAGCAATTACAGGCAACAAGCGGCAAGAAGCAAGAAACAAGAAGCCAGGAAGCAACAAGCGGCTGGAAGACAGGTCAGAGAGCTAGTTTTCTTGTCGATTCAGAAAGCAACGTTAGGCAGGCGGCGGCGCCGTTTGTGATGAGGCTTTTGGCGGCAGGAAGACAGCTCAGACAGCTAGTTTTCTTGTCGGTTCAGAAAGCAACGTTAGGAACTGGGGGCCGTGGCCCGCAGGCCCGGTCCGTCCTTCAGGGCCCTGCTGTTTTGCTGTGGCGAAGGCGCCGTTTGTGAGCCTTGACGGCTGGAAGAGAGCTAGTTTTCTTGTAGGTTCAGAAAGCAACGTTAGGCACTGGGAGCCGTTGCCCGGAGGCTCGGTCCGTCCTTCAGGGCCCTGCTGTTTTGCTGTGGCGAAGGCGCCGTTTGTGAGCCTTGACGGCTGGAAGAGAGCTAGTTTTCTTGTAGGTTCAGAAAGCAACGTTAGGCACTGGGAGCCGTTGCCCGGAGGCTCGGTCCGTCCTTCAGGGCCCTGCTGTTTTGCTGTGGCGAAGGCGCCGTTTGTGAGCCTTGACGGCTGGAAGAGAGCTAGTTTTCTTGTAGGTTCAGAAAGCAACGTTAGGCACTCGGAGCCGTTGCCCGGAGGCTCGGTCCGTCCTTCAGGGCCCTGCTGTTTTGCTGTGGCGAAGGCGCCGTTTGTGAGCCTTGACGGCTGGAAGAGAGCTAGTTTTCTTGTAGGTTCAGAAGGCAACGTTAGGCACTGGGAGCCGTTGCCCGGAGGCTCGGTCCGTGCTTCAGGGCCCTGCTGTTTTGCTGTGGCGAAGGCGCCGTTTGTGAGCCTTGACGGCTGGCAGAGAGCTAGTTTTCTTGTGTAGGTTCAGAAGGCAACGTTAGGCACTGGGAGCCGTTGCCCGGAGGCTCGGTCCGTCCTTCAGGGCCCTGCTGTTTTGCTGTGGCGAAGGCGCCGTTTGTGAGCCTTGACGGCTGGAAGAGAGCTAGTTTTCTTGTAGGTTCAGAAAGCAACGTTAGGCACTGGGAGCCGTTGCCCGGAGGCTCGGTCCGTCCTTCAGGGCCCTGCTGTTTTGCTGTGGCGAAGGCGCCGTTTGTGAGCCTTGACGGCTGGAAGAGAGCTAGTTTTCTTGTAGGTTCAGAAGGCAACGTTAGGCACTGGGAGCCGTTGCCCGGAGGCTTGGTCCGTCCTTCAGGGCCCTGCTTTTTGCTGTGGCGAAGGCGCCGTTTGTGAGCCTTGACGGCTGGAAGAGAGCTAGTTTTCTTGTAGGTTCAGAAAGCAACGTTAGGCACTGGGGGCCGTTGCCCGGAGGCTCGGTCCGTCCTTCAGGGCCCTGCTGTTTTGCTGTGGCGAAGGCGCCGTTTGTGAGCCTTGACGGCTGGAAGAGAGCTAGTTTTCTTGTAGGTTCAGAAAGCAACGTTCCTTCAGGGCCCTGCTGTTTTGCTGTGGCGAAGGCGCCGTTTGTGAGCCTTGACGGCTGGAAGAGCCTTCAGGGCCCTGTGTTTTGTGTGGCGAAGGCGCCGTTTGTGACCTTGGACGGCTGTAAGAGAGCTAGTTTTCTTGTAGGTTCAGAAAGCAACGTTAGGCACTGGGAGCCGTTGCCCGGAGGCTCGGTCCGTCCTTCAGGGCCCTGCTGTTTTGCTGTGGCGAGGCGCCGTTTGTGAGCCTTGACGGCTGGAAGAGAGCTAGTTTTCTTGTAGGTTCAGAAGGCAACGTTAGGCACTGGGAGCCGTTGCCCGGAGGCTCGGTCCGTCCTTCAGGGCCCTGCTGTTTTGCTGTGGCGAAGGCGCCGTTTGTGAGCCTTGACGGCTGGAAGAGAGCTAGTTTTCTTGTAGGTTCAGAAAGCAACGTTAGGCACTGGGAGCCGTTGCCCGGAGGCTCGGTCCGTCCTTCAGGGCCCTGCTGTTTTGCTGTGGCGAAGGCGCCGTTTGTGAGCCTTGACGGCTGGAAGAGAGCTAGTTTTCTTGTAGGTTCTAGGTTCAGAAGGCACGTTAGGCACTCGGAGCCTTGCCCGGAGGCTCGGTCCCGTCCTTCAGGGCCCTGCTGTTTTGCTGTGGCGAAGGCGCCGTTTGTGAGCCTTGACGGCTGGAAGAGAGCTAGTTTTCTTGTAGGTTCAGAAGCAACGTTAGGCACAGGAGCCGTTGCCCGGAGGCTCGGTCCGTCCTTCAGGGCCCTGCTGTTTTGCTGTGGCGAGGGCGCCGTT